AGCAAACCGGATACGGTGGAGGCTCATATGGACGTCAACAAGAGTATTCTCAGCCGTCATATGGAGGATACCAGCAGAGTGGAGACTATGGGGAGAAGCAATACGGTAGCGAATACGGTCAGCAAAGGTATTTCGCTCCTTAGTATAACTAGTGAATAACATCGAGTTAGAAACTGACATGTGGACAGAACCTATGACTCTGGATACGGCCAGACGGGCGGATATGGACAACAAACTCAAAGCTATTCCGGAGGTGACAGCTACTCGCAAGGATACGGGGGCGGCGAAAGTAGGCATTCTAGTGGGTATGGACGCCAGGAATACGGCGAAAGCGGCTCGTATGGAGGAAGACGACAATCGAGATCACGCGAACGAGAGTCAAGACAGTATTCCAGTGGACATTATGGTGGCCGGGATGAAAGACGCCATGGCAGTGAAGAAAGGCAGTACGGAGGCGACTACGGCCACTCATATAAAAAGCGATACGATAACGATGGTGACTCCGGTGACGAATATGACCGACACGGGCATCACCATCACCACCGTCACCGTCGGGGATCCTAGCGGTCGTGGTTGGCGGCTGATGATTGGGCCTTTAAGACATATGGGCGCACAACACTCCAATTGTAAAGGGAGTTTCGCGGTGTAAGAATAAATGCAGCCTCCCCATCCCAGGTCGTAGTTACGTTTTACACAGGCAACGATTTTGTCAAGTTGTATCAAATTTCTACCTGCCAAAAATCCGATCGGGGAATAATTGTCCCCAAGGTCCTTACTGCAGTAACTACCTAGCAGCATTCCCGCAAAGATTACATCTTTAAGCCCAAACGAGCAGGTCTTCTCCAAAAGAACCTTAATTCTGGACTTTATATTGGGAAAAAGGAGATTGTGCATTGCCTTATTTCAAGACGGCTCCCGTAGGGATCCTACAACCCGAGCGTTCGAGGGTTTTGTGCAACGGTTCCCCATTCACGCGGCTCTTGTGAAACAACGGCGACGTTGACTTCTATGTGTTATTTCCACGTATTTAGATCCGGAGTCACCAACTAAGCAAAGCGGGGCTTCTTCAAGCGACCGGGAGGAGCGCCGTTTATATTAGTAGTCATGGAAACTGGCGACATCATAGAACTTTGTAATGCTCTGGTTCATCCCACCGTCCAGGGACAGGCCGTGCTGGGAGGAGCAGATATTAGAGTTGAATGCCTGGTTTCTCTTAAGAGAAAGAGTCCATCCATGGGACCTCATCGAAGAGGGGAATCTAGCAAAGTAGATGAAGTGGGTTGAACGAACCCACACCAAACACCAGAAGACACGAGATTAGACACCGAGAGCAAGCCAGGATGTGATATAGAAATGGACGGCAAAAAATAGCTGAACATTGGTGAGATGGTAACGACGTTGAGTGTCCGGAAGCGCCCCGGGTCGGGCCGGACCAATAGGAGCTGGAGGAACCCGCCGGATTCCAATCCGCCACCCAACTCCAGCGTCTGACGAATTTATCACAACTTGCATTTGCTAAATGGGAAAGGAGGCTCACAAAGCTAGTTCTCCTGGACAGGTAGTCAATAGGTAGTGCAATAGCATAGATTAACCAACATCCACCTCCTTAAAACTACACAGACAGCATGGTTTGACAAATAATTACAGTGGTAGGAAGTGCTTTGGAAGATATCACATTAACAAATATGAAGTATGTGTGCAGGTAGGTACCAAAGAAATTTGCCTCGCATAGCCCAACCAAAGCCATCAAACCACCTAGGGATTATTAATTCTAACACACCTTTGCATCAGAAGGGTTGCTGGCTGAACTCAAGTTCTCACAAGACGGGTAGAAAAATGCCGCCACAGAAATGATCACGTACGCAGCAAGCAGGAGTGCACCTTCGAGATAATTTGTCCTTCCATCCAGCATTAGGTAGTTGGCAATGAATGCTGATGCGAACAGCGAAACAGTCTCAAAAAGACTGAAATACAGCGACATGTTGGTGTTCAGACACCAACCCAACAAGACAATAATGGGCGTTACAAAGAGAGCAATCTGGATACTGCTGCCAAGGGCAACACCAATAGCCAAATCCATTTTATTCTTGCCAGCCATAGCCACCGCCGTAGCGTGCTCTGCCGCATTACCCACAATCGGAAGGATAATCAAACCAATAAAGGCTTGACTGATCCCTGTGTTCTTGACGAGATAATCAATGCTTTCCACAAGGAACTCTGCACAGGCTGCCACTAGCCCTGTGGAGACCACGAGAAGAATAACGGCCGCCATTCGAGAGAGATGTGGCTTCTCCTCGACCTGCGAATCTCCGTCGGACTCGTCGTGAACTGGAATAATCGGCATCAGATGGGGAAGTGGCTGAGTGAATGGGACAGTTGGATTATGGATATAGGATTGGTGTAAACGATCAGGCAAAGAGGTGGTGCGACGAAGAATACGTGGGCTGCCGTTGTACGTCGTTGAAACCCGTCGTTGCGTGACTTCTGTGCTACTTAGCCTTGGTTGCAAAGTGGGGATCAGGTGTGGAAATATTCTTTCCCGCGACACTCCCCGGAGCATAAAGGGCTTTTTTGCGGTGTCGGAGGTGGTAGGAGTAGGGGCAGGTTCGGTAAACCCGACACGGCGCTCTGGAGGTTTATTCTGCTGGGACTCTGAATGTTCTCTGGCTTTATGGCATTTGCTTGGCGTTTCCTCTTTCTTCAACGCCATGCGATGCCTTTTACGGTGCCTCTTTGTCGCTTTGTTTGAAGAGTCATGGGACTCGCCAGTTTCAAAATCATGGGTAGTCACACCTGGGTATCGCTGATGAGATATAGCCGCATCTTCACGATCAGCTTCATCTCCACTGGAAATGGTCTCAGGATCAATTGTCTTCGCCGGTGAGAAGGAAGCATGGTCCGTTAGTGACATAGTCCTGATTGAATGTGAAGCTGACGTGACGCGGTCTAATGTCTGTGTCGACGGTATGGATTGTGATTCTTTCGATAAACTAGTGCTGGACTTGCGGCGTCTTCTTTTATTAATGGCTCTGCGAATACGTTTCGCTGTAGTTCGCGATCCCGAGCTGCTATCTGTGTCACTATCGCTTGATGAACTGGATTCGGATGAACTGCTAGAGTTTAATATGTCTGCTAAGACACCAGGATGGGATTCTTCATCGATTTTATGCTGTGGCGTACTCTCATAAATATATGCATGGGACTTGAGTTGGAAGAGCAGATAGAGAACGTAGACGAGGAGCAGTATCTATTTTCGAATTAGAGTAGGGCAACAATAGGGCAAACAATAAACCTACTACACTGGTTCCTCTGCTGACCTGTATAACAGCTTTATCCGCAATAGCAAGGTTGTTGAATGATGCGTGAAATGCAGTCTGAGAGGTTGTGTTAGCGGTGTATTCGTAGAGCCTAGATGGTGACGTACCGGCAGAAGCAAACTCATCACGCTGAGACTAAGAAGACATGCACTCATTTGAGTAATGGCAGGATTGTACAGCTGAGAGAATAATATTAGTCTGCAGTGTTCCAAATAAACGGGACTATGCAGCTCACTTGTTCTCGAAATCGGAGTCCACCGAACAGAAAACACATGCCGAGGATAAGTAGCAGATTCGCTAAAATGGATCCTAGTAAAGAGGCTTGAACAATGCGAACTTCGTTCTGCAGGCAATGAATGATCAGCAAAAGCCAAGGCAGGGGTGCCAGCAGCAGCACGTACCGCTACTAATGCAAGGCTATTCACAGTGAGCATAATCGTCAGTACCGGCCGAAGAATGGCAATAAATGTAGACATTAAAGTCTCTTATGTGAGCATCAAATGGGCAACATACATACTAAGTATGACGGGTCAGTACCAGAAGTTTTGTAAAACACACAGGTGTTCCTTACAAGATGATCAGTTCCACAGCATTTCCAAAGGTGACATTGAGCAAAGCTCCAACTTTGTCACCCATTTTTCTTGCAACACTCTCCGTTGCAAACCCGAGCAGGTAAGCCAACGGGATGATGGCCACAGCATTGACTGCAAATATAACCGTAGGGCTTACGGAGGCTTCGTCTCCCTGGCGACGATGTAGAGCTCCCAGGGCGATACCAACAGGTACGAATATGAGTAAGATGTTGATCCAACTTGAAAAGATAATAATATTTAATGATTGCCGTATTCTAGTGAGAACAGGCAACCTTTCGTTGTCCGTCACGGCGGTGGATTCTTCACGATGGCCCAGGGTATCAGGGGGCGGCGGTGCTGGCGGAGGGAGGCCAGAGGAGCTTGCATCGCAAATACCCGCGCTGGCGTTCTTCTCATTATCGTGCAGCGGAGCAATGCTGCTCGCGCATCGACTCTCGTTGTTGTGGTCAGTTGCGCCATGCTTATGAGAAGGCTTGTCTGTGAGAGGAAGTATGGGGGTGTTGGGGTTTCGATTGTTGCTTGATTTCGTTCGCAGCCAGGCACCAATCCAACTATGAAGTGGCGATTCGCCAGAAGGTTCGCTCATCGATGTGTTAGATGGAGTTTTAGAAAGGTGGTGAGAAGTAGGATTGCCGAAGAAAGACAGGAGCGGCAACGCAGCTGGGGAGATGCTCCTGGGATTCTTGTTGGGAATCGTGGTCCGTTAAATAGCTAAGCATTGCGCAAATGGCGGAAAGCTTGCTGGCAGGTTCCACGAGCCACTCACCGGGGCACACACAGGCAAACGCCCCAGCCAATCGCAGTCCAATGATGTCATGGGACACCAAGCCACAGGTGGGGCGTCCCACGGCTGACTTCTAGGACGACAAAGCAGGGATTGTTTAACGTCCAGAACGCCATGGAGTAACTTTTGTCCGACTTTCGCATCCATCCACCTATTCTCCAGTAGCAGGCCTCTGGGGGAGGGAGGATCAACTTCCGGGTTGGTGGAGATAGCTTGCACCATGAAACTCGACTACGCTACAAGGTTACACTTGTCGTCAGCTATTTCAATTTGGATGGCGTCCTTCGTTGCTCAGCAAGAATAACAATGGATGTGGGTGCATCAAAAACCGATGAGTGCAGAGTGAAGGAATAAAACACCATCCTCTCGTGCTAATTGGAATTGTCGGGGTTGGTTAGGTGGGTAGATATATCACATCCGCTCCGGTTTAGTAGCCTACGTTCGTCAGCCGGTGGTTGGCATTGGCCTCTACGCCGATAGACATGACATGAGATCGCGCTCTGGTGAAGGACAGTCAAAATTGACAAGCAGTCAGCATACAACCAACTCGGCGATATCCTACCAGAGACTTTTACTTGGGAACTTATGGGTCAAAGACGGGGGCTGCGCAAGAAATGTTGTTTAGGTAGGGCAAGGTTGATCTCGAATTCTTCGAGTTGCTTGTATCACTTTCGCAATCGGTCTTTGAAATTAAGGCATCGGGAGAAGACAAACTTTTCGTTGTCGGACGAGGGACCCGATTCTCCGTCACTGTCCCAGCTTCATAGCGCGGTTACGCGTGGCAGGGAATGTGACCTGTGGCGGGTTGAATGTTATCTCCAAGGACGTGGGATGGATTTGATGTATATCCCGGCTCTTTTCAAATGGTATATATATTATACACTACTTAACTAATAGCCTGAAGTCCGCTAAGCTTCACCAGTAGAATCTCCCAACAAAGGCTACTAACCGTTCTCGACGGCTCTATGCTGAATAGATATATGTGCTAAACAAAGGCTGGAGACTAATGAGGCCGGAGCTGATGTATGTAGCCGCAAACTATCCTGCTTCAACATGCAGACAGATGGGTTATATCTCCGTTTCCAGGAACTGACTTATCTTATTTAAACAAGATAATTCAAGAATGATGAAAACTTTGTGTTCTCAGATCGCCGAGTGCAACGCAGACATTTCACACTGTCATTTCTAAAAGAGTCGACCATAGCGAACAGAAACCTGGTGTGTTACGCGTACAAAGGTTGACTGTGTAGGAATATGTTCCAAGGTCCTGATAGATTGAATTTTGACATGCGAATACATTCACTCTGCCCATGGGAGTGAGAAATGTGATCTGAGATTTTGACTTTAAGGTTCAATGAAAGAGTAAACAGACTTCAGGTAGCAGGTACTTATTGGATCAAAAGAAAGTTTCCAGCGGAGACTCTCAGTTTTGGTTGAGATCTTTTTTTAAGAATCCGTTGGCGGGTATGCTCTCCTCTAACCATGGGTCATTGAACCCAAATTAACCTTATCCGTGTGTTGATCAGTTTACTACGGAGTTAACTACACCTTGGTGCAGTGTGTCGACAACCGTCTCCAGCAGAGCTCTCCAACAGCAAAGGCATGCATCTTGAAAGTGGAAGTACCGGCCTGTGGGTAGTTAACAGGCGCAGCAAGGCGTAGAGTTATTACTCAGCCGTCATTTCTAATCTCCGCTCCTCTCCCCAAAGAACAAATGACGCAATTTGCAGCAAACGTCATTCCAAACGTTGGATCTCAGTGACCTGGAAATAAAGTCCCGATATTAGAATTTCCGAAGTTGCAAGCCCCTTTTCTCAATCGGATATTTAGAGCCATGGGTTGATACCGGTGCCTCTCCGCCATTTCCATATCCATATTTCCAAAGAGCATGGACTTGGGGTGTGCCTGGAAATATAGTGAGGGCCACATTCAGCTTTCCGACTTTATCTGTGGCATCGTATTAAAAAATTCGTGGCTCAATTGAGAGGATATCTCTAAACAGAAATAGTTCTTTCACAGGGCTCTCCACATGAATGGGGCGAAGTGGCGGCTAAACAGGGAGGCTATAGTAAAAGAGACCATGCCTTCACTGTTCACTCGCAACGCAAAATCAGTCATGTTCACCAACATGCCGCCATGCCCATCTAAAATCAACGCACGCTCAAAGGTATTGTGTATCTCACCATATAATACAGGGCCATGATTATCTAGCTGATGTGCTCAAAGATGGTTGTTTGGAATAATAGGGGTATCATCACCTCGCAATACGGTTCAAGAAGGTGAGTAGGATTGGAAGCTCTGGGCATTGCTAGCTACTTTCAAAAATTTTTGTGTTGCAAGTAACGGTCCTTTGAAAATGAAGTACAGATCAGAATATGATTTTCCACGTTGTCTCAAGCCTGTAGAGAAAGAACCAGTTAAGAATAATGATTGCTTTGATGAGAAGGGAACGCCAACAGCTTCAGCTAATATGGACGATATAGACATGGTGCTGTTCTCAAAGACTGTAGCTCATATGTGAGGTGTGATTGGTTTTTATGATTCCCTCCACATGGTGTGAAGTCAGCAAACACAACGCAGCACCTGCAGAATATAATCCCCTCTAAGAGTCTGCAAGTTACTGGGTGGGGGAGAAGAGAGTCAAGGCTGCAGCAACTGGAGCGACTGCCATGTTTGTCTTTTGGGTTTCACAGTTTGGTTTTGAAAGGAAATTTACCAATAGTTTCAGAATCTTTGATGGCATCTGGAGATGTAGAATGGCTCCAATAGTTGTCGATATAGAAGGAGAGCGAAATGGCTGGCGAAGTTGTGTATATATACTCTTCCTTTTTTCTCCCTTTTCGCCTCATTGCCTTTGCATTTGCAAACCAGGCCATTTTTGCCGTAGGATATACCTGCCAGAACTGGAGGTCCCTAGTGTTCTCATAAGCTTCAATCCAAGTTATTTTCCAAGGATTCTGCGCGCCAATGGCAAATAGCTCGCGATTGTAGGTAGACTGGAACTCAGGAGATAGATGGGAATGCAATGTGAGCCCGGTTGCCCTTCCCGCCGCGTTTAGTGGTTGAAAAGCGCAGTGTATGGATTCATCAAGATCCATAGCATACGTTATGCCATGCGGGTAGCTTTCGTTGGATCTGGTAGTTGGGTGATATGATAGAGGTAACTGGACGTCTACAGCGATGATCGTCTGGCAGTTCTCTTTCATTCTAGCAGTTGGGAGGGAGGACAAACGTATGTATGTATGGAGTACATACACACATTCCGAGCTCAAAGGGCGCTGGACACTGTTAGAGCCGAATTGGCTGTATTGAGATTCACCGCTCGTATTGACGACCTCACGGAACCGGGAAAAGCGAACAAAGTGCGCTGAAATCGGCGGGCGTTGGATGGGAGACTATCGAGATCTCAGGATTATTTATCTGTCAGTTACGGAGTACAAATCACAGAGAATAAAGGTTTCCGCTCTTACAACCTAACCATCCATCCTTCGCTGAGAAAGCCACAATCCGCGCCGAACAATGAAAAAAAAAGAACAAAAGTCAAAAGACGGTCACCGACACTCTCTTGCAGCACGATGTGTTCGGCTGCAGCCACTGCTAGCGAATCAGAGACGGTTCCGGTCATTGTCCTCCAAACAGACTCCATCCTCCGGCACTAACTCGAGCCCGGCAAGCCACCTTCAGAGTTTTTTATTTGCAGTACGGAGTACCTTCGTCCATCCACTTGGCTGGACTCTGGATGGAAATAATGTCGGTATTTGTCGGTTGGCTCTGCTGAAACATTCTCTACTAAATCTGATATGGCTTTGGTGAAAGCCATCTCTTTCGGGGAGTTGCGGCGCCACGTAGCCGCCAGCAGCTTCGTCGATGGGCCCGTGGCGGCCGTTTGTTAATGGCCTGAAGCGCCTTCTTGACAGCCCATGTGCCCCCACCTCCTTCTTGGATGTCATCTGCCAATTCATGTGGCATTTTAGGGTGGCAATTTACTCCGTATTTAGTTCCGTCTAAAAATGGCCCATGAGCGCTACGCCGAGGAGACCCGGGTGTTTTCATGCACTTGTCTCACCATCCTGTTAGAGGTGGGAACTTCCACCAGACTTGTCGACAATACCAGTCACTCTTTTTTGGACACCGAGATAGTGATGACTTTGCGGGGCATTGTCTTTGGTTCTCTTCTTATTGCTCTCTGTGCATATAACCGCATGGGAGGCGTTACATGTCCCTGGCAGCCGGTCCTCTGTGGGCTGATCTGTGTTGGAAGCTGACCTACCATGGTGCCAGTCTGAGATGAACTTGATACTTATTACTTAATTTTACCTTGTATTGAAGTTGTCTGGATGCCAGCTTCTTGTCACTCGCTTTGTCTCGTCTAAATTTCTATCCTTTCTCCATCTAATTACAGATTCACAGCTGCACTGCCCAAGTGCCCTTGTCCCACACTGCAGGCCTCCAGTTCCTTGTGGCCCCTCCATGCTTTATGTTAACAGAATAAAGCACTCTTGCCTGTGCACTGTATGTGCATTTGCTAAACTTGGATCCAGAGTACCGTGTGACCTAGAAGCCTCCAATCTTCTACAGAGCTTTTTGCCAGTGCACCCTTCCCTATCGATTGCACCAAATCCCAGCTGAAAAGGCTTTCCGTTTACTCGCGGTTTCAATTATAAGTTGAAATCCCATAATCCCCCACGGTAAAATGGACCAGGAGTCGGACGAAACGGATAGTGTGTACGATACTGCCAGCTCTACAAACAGTAGGCCTGGCTTGTCGAATGACACTCACTATCAGGTAATGTACATACATCGTTCACTTACGATATAGTGATGATAAAGCAACCACTAACGGTCATCTAGCGCCGCAGATACCATTCGAATGAAGTCCATAATGCGTCCGACACCCCTGAACGATCGATGTCATTCCGGTCAATGTCCCGCACCCCAAGTTCAAAATACAGAAATTCAGATCTTGTTTGCCAAAAGAGTAGGCATGGTGAGACTCCGCGATAACTTCTGTGGCTAACATCATTCAAGTTCCTCCTGGAGAATACGCCGCTACAATCGACGAAGTGCTGGCCTTGAACGATGCAGAGCCCGTTCAGAAAGTCAACAGCGCGGAAGAGCGCCGCAAAGATGATGACCACAACTCAATTAGCTCGCAGGTTTGCGTGTCGCCATCATGGTCGCGGGCTGCTCAAAAGAGGCGTGAGAAAAAAGAGCAAAGGAAGAAAATGGAGAAGGAGCAGAAGGAGCTTGAGCGGAGGTTAAAACAGGAAGCTAAACGAAGAAAAGGGGCTGATTCACGGGAGCCTCGACGGCTGCAGAAGCGAGCACCCCTAGCGGCTTCAAGCAGAGCCTCGAGTGCCCATAGTGCGTTTCCGCTACCGTCTGCCGCTTCATCGCGTGGATCATTTTGGTCCAGAAGAACATCAGGGGCCAATTCCATTAATGATCAATATCAGGGTGAGGTAAAAAAGGAAAGTCGTAGATTTTCTTTCGGTGGAGATAATGCATCGGGGAAGAAACTAAAGTTTCCCAATGTCTGGCCTCGTCGATCTACTAAACCCAAGGAGCGGCAAGGTGCTGATCAGCCATCTGCTACAGAAAATACCCCACCCGATACCAATAGGCATTTTCTCCATACGGTGAAGAGGCATGGAGATTTGCGAGCAAGCGCAAAGGCGTTTGAAGTGATCAGAGGCGCGCGAACATCCTTCGATCCAGTATCAGCGCACCCCAAGATGCGTCAAAGTATGCCTGATGGTCGGCGTGTGGGAAATATGAATGGCAGAGCAGATGAAGGGGACATCGCTACGCAACATCGAGTATTTGCAAATCAGGAACTACGAATGCCGTTCGAGCCAGTTCACAATATTCGCTCTCAGAGGCAACCTTCCGAAGCCGCAACACTGAGCCAATCTCTAGGTTCTCGCGCGATCACCGGCACGGACTGCCTTGGCATTCAAATCAAAGCAAGGGGACCCGCTGATAAGGATGCACGGAGCAAGATTCCGAGCGATGAGCGCCATCCAACTCCGGTTGTCGGCTTGAAAAATTCTGAAGATGGAGCTGAAACAATAGACATGTCCCCGGTTGAGCATGGATCGCCCAAAGATACCCCTACTATGAAGGACCCCTCTTCCCCACATTCTCCTGTGCAAAGTACGAAATGCGAAATGACCAATACTCGTGAAGAGGAACATTCGTCTTCGCCCGGTGCCAAACAGTCCCAGCCACTTTCTCGAAATGCCTACACCCCCAGCAGCCAGAACGAATCGCAGCATGGTGCGGCAAGCGTCACACCTAATGGCAGTGAAACTCAACCCATCGAGCCCACGCCTCCGCAAGCGAATTTTTCTAGGCTCGAACACCCACGTATAGCTTCCAACCACATTCGGGACGCTAACTTCCGCTCATCACCATTGGCTGGACCACCTCTTGTTGTCCAACATCCTGAGAAGGGGAATGACACTTCCGCAGCTGAAGAGCAAGGACATTGTACTATTGAAACCGCACAAAATCCAGCTAGGCGCCGTAATTCCTTACAAGCATACATAGATTCCAAGAGACTCACCATCCCGCGGTTTTTAGGGCATGGTAGAAGGAGCAACAGTGGTGCCAGTATGGACTTGGTACAGGGACGAAAGAAAATGGGTCAGGCTGGGTCTGCCGTGGCATCTTCAAAGTCTGAATCGACTACGGTTGCTTCGAGTCCTTTGTCCACTACTACTAGTCCACCGGACAGTCCGAACAGTCAGAAAAATGGATTTTCGACTGCGAAATCAACCGATATAACGGACTCTTCGCGGCCCAATCGAAACTCAAACGATATTATGCAGAGACTGCGCATGGGTGGTGATCAAAGGGAAAAGCTACGGAAACGAGCGGTGTCGGTAGATATCAATTCCAGATCCGATTCCAAAACGCCAGAAACAGAAACACTACGTCATACTGTCCATGACAAACCATCTGGAGACCGCAACTCGCAGCCCAAGACGCAAACGCCACAGAGTCTGGATTCCCCTCGTCTATCTGCAAACACCGGGAAGAAAATATCGGCTAACCCTTCTAAAGAGCCATCATCCGCCACACCAGGGCCCAGTCATTTTCGACGCTCCACGTCCGACTATATCCCTACCTCTCCAAGCTCTTTAAGCCTTCACCGAGCGCTTGGTGCGTCACCCCAAGGTACTGGATCAAGCCGAACGCCTGGCCAACAAATTGCAAAAATGTTTGTCATATGTTGCCAGTGCAAACATTGGCACGACATGACTTCCCAAGCCTATGCAAAGTTAGCCTTTCCCGATAAAACACAGGATCCTGCCCATGGGGCCGCGGATACTGTTACTTCTCCAACCGGACTCGAATCACCATTGAGAGTTTTTGGTGGATCGCCATTAGCAAGTCCTAATTCGTCGAGGACGAGCCTTGGAGTCAAGGAAGGAAAGGCACCTGTTAAACCCATCCGGCCAGGACACAGCTCCACGTCTACCTTGTTAAATCACTCTACGATATGTTGCTGGTGTTACCATCAAATGGCAAAGGCTTGCTGCGCTGGCTGGACAACAATTGTTACTATGCGCGAACGCCATCATTGAAAGGCGTTGAACACCGGCAAGTCGGACGATTGGACCTTGACCAAAGTCCGAATAACTAGGTATTAGGACGTTCTTGGAATCGAAAACGTGCCCGTACTCAATGGTTTGGATTCCCAGTTCTTCATTCTACTCAGTCTTATGAACTTTTGAATCCTGCCTTTTTTTTTTTTTTTTTTTGGACATTTTGACATCTTGATGCACCAAAACATAACACAAGTGTTTTCCAACTAATGTCATGCATTACATGGAGACTTGATGCATTCGGTCTTTGCAATCATTTTCTAGGTGCTAAAAGCGACCCTCTTTTTTGGTATTGCTGTGAAGTATAATTGCTGTTTTTTTTTCGGTTACCACATGAATGGGATATGAGTTGCATTTCGGTTGCGCAAATTTGGAAGTATGATTCTATGACCTTGTCTATTCTCCCCTTTTCTATTCTAGATATATTTGTACTGTTCCTTGAGTTCCATGGTTCGGAGCATACTCTAAAACATACTACATTGTATAAAAGTTTTACATCCATAGAGTTTTTTGTCTTGTTTCCTTTCTTGTGTGTTTTCCACAAAAAAAAAAAAAAAAAAAAGGTAAACCATGGTATCTTTGAAATTTCATCACCGGCAATGATTGTATTTACATCATAATGACTTGTTCCGTGGCTGCAACTCAACTTTCTCTTCTTCATTTGCCTTCATTCGAACGGGATACTGTAAAGAGGTAACCAAATGGTATCCCAACACACAAAAGCAGTACTCACGGCCTGTGTTTCCATTTTTCTTTTTTTTCCTTTTAATTTTAGCTCAATGGATGAAATCCGACACATCGCTAACAGCCGCTTGCAGCGCTGCATCAACATCATGCTTGCGAAATCCAGGTGCCCGACCAAGGCATACACCTCTACGGGATAGTTCTACAGACAAGAGAAAGAAAATGTGTCAGTTTTCTTAGGTTTATAAAGGCAGCTTATGATTCTGCTTTTGGAAGAATAAGTTTTAACTTACGTGTAACAAATTTGTCTACGTCTAATATTAGGGACGGTGTACTGTCGAACGAAGGGCTTATTGTTTGCTGTGGAGGACCATTTGACCTTAGAGATGGGTCGTAATCAAGACCGAGAAGGTGCATCATCTGTGAGCATACTTCGTTTTGGAAGGGGTAGTATGTCTGGGATATTGGATTATTTGCGGCCGTCGCGAATCCTGCTTGTGATGCTGGGTCATCAAGCGTAGCGGAGCACGGCGATGCCGCCGTAACTTGTGATCCGATAGATGAATTTGTTGATGGAGAGCTGGCGTTGGATATCCGCGCAGCAATGGCTGATGGAGGTACAAGAACGTAGGATGATAGGCTACTCAGTTTGATCCCCTTTTCGAGTAGATATCCTTCCACGTCGTGACAATCAAACCAGTCCCCGCCAAATCCAATAGCTTCGATGAGTTCATCAAGACTTTTGAACTGATGTGGTCTTTCGGCATTGTGAAATGGGAGCGGTCCAAACGCCCGTTCAGGCGGATGCATATTTGGCGGGAAAATCACGTTCCCGAATTCATCTTGGTAAGGGTAATGCATACCAGCTTTACCGATGTAGAAAAACGGTTTGTTCCAAAATTCAAGAGGCTCACCAGCTTTCCTCTGGAGAAGGGTGGAAAACATATGAGCTACCCTATCTCTTTTTGCGAGACTAAATGTAAATTTGAATTTGCGATATAACCTCTCTTCATTAAAGGACGGGTCAGTGAGGGCTGAATATCCGAATTCCAGGCATCGGCGATGAAGACGCCGGGAAAAACTAGTTTCCTGAAAACAGTAGGTATATCGATGATGTGGGCTTGGTTGTCGAGGAATGAATGCTGAGCTCTTCAATGGCGATTGTGACTCCTCGTCGCACCAAGATTTATAATTGAAAAAGTGATTACTCGCCATACTCGTGTCCCAGACATCGGGTAACGTCGCGATATGAGAACATATCGGAATGGTCGCGTGAGTCGCTGGTACGTTCGCATAAGAAGCGATAAGAGTCTCAGGTTCAGTGTAATCAGGTCGGGGATTATTTCCCGAAGCATTTAGTGAACATTGTTCATTGTTTGGAGCTTCCATAGTGGCAGCATTGCCCGATTGCGCGTCTTCCTGCGGCGCATCATCTTGCGAAATTTCGGACGCAAGCTTAATAAATCGCTGTGTAGCAGAGCGTAATCGTTGTGCAAGTTCCGGCTGCGCAGACAAAACGCCGGATTTGAGAGCATCGTCATTGAAAGCTAAAAATGTCTTGTTCATTTCATCAACTGTGCACTCCAGTTGCTCCACCCGTTCGTTGAGTGACGCTATAGTGGCCTCTTTCCGCGATCGATATGCCCGCTGAGCAATCCTTATTTGTCTTCGCCGCCGCTAAGCATGTGTGAGTATCCCATGCAAGACTCAATTCGATATAAAACATACATCAGCAGGCGTCTCATTTTCGGTGTGAAGACGAGGCCGACCTCGCTTCTTGGTAATCTTATCCTCTTTTGTCACCGATTCAGATGGAACCGCCACAACTTCCTTTGGTAACACCCTTTTCTTCTTTGAACAAGTTGCCGACTGGCTCTTGTTGCTGTCTTCATTCAGATGTCCATGGGCCTCCTGTGAAACCGGAGTAAGTGCCTCAAGAGCCCTTTGTGAGGAATTTTCCGCAGGAGTATGGTAAGACGGAGTCTGGGGTGCACTTGGAAAAGAGCTTGCTGAAAGTATATCCAAATGCCATTCTGGAACTAAGGCGGAGTACATAGTAAATAGGATTTGGTATCCACGGAGAGAATGTGTAAGCAGCACAGAAAGAATAGCAAGGCCCAGTGCAATAAACAGTTTCTTTGCATCTAGATATTGATCTCTACCGAATGACCGCACAGACCATGGTATCTATGCAAAATGTGGAGAGCAGCTGAATGTTGATTAATCGTTGTGACATTGAAAGTGTTTGGGCTAAAACCGTATGTAAACATATAGGAATAAGTAGGTGATTTAAACACTGGAGACGGTAATCGCATGCAAAGGTGTATCCAAGAAAAGGCACAGCTGGGTAATAAATTCCAAGGCTCCCCAGCAGCCCAAGCGCTCACAGCTGAATATCCCCATGATCGATCGTCCATTGCCCCTTTCGGCGTTACGAAGAGGTTGTAGATTTGTCATCTAGTGAAAGCGGCGGCTGAAATCAGGCAGCCGAGGCTATATCTGCCGTTGTTATTGGCCGACAAATGAGAAGGATCGCGCCACTCCCGCCGCTTTAGCTTGTCTGTCTCGGATAGCGATATACTTGGCGCTTATAATACGTTGAAAGAGTTAAACGTTAACCAAGCCCGGGTAGCTCAGTCGGTAGAGCATGAGGCTTTTAACCTCAGGGTCCAGAGTTCGAGCCTCTGCTCGGGCGGGTTTCCTTTTTTGGCTCTACATTTTTTTTTCGGCTTCACAAAATTAAAGAATACTATTTTGGCAACTGTACGGCGTAGTAGACAGCGATGAAAAGCGTGCGCTTCCGACATATCATACAAACATTTTAAGATTATATAAAGTACTATGTTGCATACATAAATTTTACCACTTTTTGATCTCGCCTTGCTTTGGAGGCTCCATTCTTACGACCTTATCGCAGTTAAGAAGGCATAGTGGATCGAGAGCTTGCTTGATCTAAACGAGGAGGTCAGCCACGGTACGATAGCTCATTTCCGAACTGTAACTTCTTCAGTGAGAAACGTACCTTGCGCATAGTATCCACGGCAGAGTCGCCGAGTTCGTGAGGAAGATAGTCTCGTTTAATAAGTCCCACTCCATGCTCGCCGGTAACTGTTCCCTCCATTTCAACAGCTCGTTTCACCATTCTATGGACGACACCTTCAGCAACATTACGTTCGCTATCATTGAATAATAAGATAGCTTGTGCATCGGTGCAATGTCAGCATCACCGCGGCATACCAAGGACGCCCTGATGAACTTACCGTGGAAATTTCCATCACCCACATGTCCACAGATACCTCCTAGCAGCCCTTTTTTTGTAATATCTTCCTTTGTCTGTTCGATGATATCAGGCAATCTGCTGATCGGTACCGCAACATCAGTAGTCCAGACGTGATCGTTCTGGTCTCTTTTCATCGCCATGACACTCCACAGGGCTTCCTTCCTTGCGCTCCACAGCTCCTGCATCTCATCTCGTCCCTGAGCAAATTCAAATGACTGGCCCATCGTATCCTTAGCGATCTTCTGAACAATTTTAATCTGCTCTTTGACCCCGGCGGGCGTTCCGGTGAACTTGAAGAAGATAGTCGGGGCCTCTTTCCATGTCCGTCTCGTCGTCTGGCTGTCGTTGATGCATTTCATTTGAACGTCATCCAGGATTTCGACACCTGCAACTTGGATACCTTCACCAACGACTCGAGCAACGCATTCAGCAGCACAGTGAATCGATGGGAAAGCAGCTACTGCGACACTTTCGCTCTTTGGCTTTGGCGTGACCTTTAGTGTGGCTTCAGTAACGAGGCCCAGCGTGCCTTCGCTGCCAATAAACAGTTTTGTAAGATCATATCCGGCGCTGGATTTCCGGGGACGCTGCCTCGTCTTGATGATAGTTCCATCGGCAAGAACGACGGTCAATGAGAGTACCCATTCGCGCATCGTTCCGTATCGATAAGCGTTGGTCCCAGAACAGCCGGTTCCCACCATACCTCCGATCTGCGCACCTGGGCCAGGATCAGGAGGGAAGAATAGCCCGCGCTTGGCAAGCTCTTCATTTAAGTCTTCCCATCCAACCGCTGGTTGCACTACAACGTCTAAATCGTCCTCATGCAAAGCTATGATGTTGCCCATGCGGGCGAAGTCGACGCAGACGCCACCTCGCGTGGGAGAGAAGTGTCCTTCCAAGCTCGTGCCGCCCGAAAAAGCCGTAACTGGGATCCTTCTATCATGGCAAACCTTCATTATGCGAGAGACTTCTTCTGTGGTGGAAGGGAATACGACTAAAAATGGCCTCTCGCTCTCTTTCGCGGTGTAGGACGACCAATCCGATCCGGCGTGCGCATCCAGGTCAACCTTGTCCGTGGAAACATTTTCCTTCCCGACAATGTGGATAAAATCAGACCAGGCGGCTTGAAGGTTACCCGGTGAAGTATCGTGATGAGGCTTTGGAGCACTGTATAGAGGCGTAGTGGACGATTCCGGTAAGGCAGCAGGTCTTAAGGATCCTAGGTAGTAACATCCAAGTGCCGTGACGAGGACAGCTATGCCATTGTAAGCTTGAAGGAAAGAGAAAAAATTTCATTCCACACGAAGCAATTGGATAGAACAAAACGTACTGAAAGTAATTGCTGTGTTTCGCAAAGCAGACGAGTCTTTTTGCATCCGAGCATACCGCTCAAGCTCTGCCCGTTCACGCTGTATTCTCTGCTGTGTACTCTCATACAGTTGACCTTTGAATGTCGGTCGTTCCTCCGCTCTAGCGCATGTTGTTCCGAATGATCTTTTCGCATGGGCTCTGTTCTTTGGAGTGGAATTATAGACAGTGGTTGTGATCCGTTGGGCCCTTTTGGCTGCTCGCGCGGCCTTTGAAGCTACTTCGCGAGAGCTGAACATCGTGGCGAAGGCGGGTGGAATTCGTGCACAATTGGCCCAGAAGGATTTCTCTGCTCGATGATCCTGCGGTTAACTGTTGGCTTTTGAGTTTCCCCGAGCATTAACACATTGCGGGGTCGAGATGCGGTCTCTGGCGCAGCTCCGGAAGTGCTTCCACAGGTTGAAATTGGAGATGTGATTGTCCCGGAGCTTATTTCTCCTCACCGCAGAGCTCCGTTCGTCCTGTTTGCCGACGCAATGCCACGGACTCTTTCGACTCGCGGTTAGTTCTCTCGTTGCTTTCGGGCGAGAGATGCGAGTATTGTACATAATACATACGATAACGAGAACTACATACTCCGTGCATGGTTGATTATTTGTTAACTTGTTAGTTAGTTAGCTGTCAACCGCATCCATCTCTCCATCTTCCGCGCCACAATTTTTCCAATGTGGGCGAGAGACTTGGCGCCGAACCTTGGGGAAGATATCCCGTTTGTCCATTTGATATTGGAGATTCAATCCCAGTGATTATCTCCGCCTACGCCCCTGCGTAACATCAGAGTCCATGGACACTGGTCGCCTGACCTGCATGGCAGTGAAATGCGACCTCAGCATCTCAACCACGGATATGTTTTCGGGACTTTCCTCTTTGACGACGGAGGACCTTCCACCTCACCTCATGCAGGCTCTGTGAGCAACGGAGCTTCCGACTTCTTTTCCGGACAAATGTGCTCAAGCCCTCGTGTACCCCAGGGAGACAAGGTCCTCATACGATATCCTTGCCGTGGTCTGACGAGCATAAATACCACCTTTGGTTCGTTTAATTAACATGATGCAGTTTTCATCCGTCTTGAACAGCTAGCTTTTATTGCCCAAAAGAAAAAATCTCAGTTCAAAATGGTGCAAGGCGCCGCTCGTCGAGCAATCTTCCCAATTGACCAAAAGTGGGAGTTCAAGCAAGCAAACGATGAAGGTGGCAGGTTTCTTCCCGTTGCGCAGTTCCCTACAAACATTCACTTGGACCTCATGCAGCATGGTATCATTGAGGATCCATTCGTTGGAAAGAATGAAGACAAGGTACAGTGGGTTGGAGAAAAAGCATGGGTGTATAGGACTACGTTTCCCACGCCTCTAGGCCTCAATACTGCGATTAAAGCAGTCCTTGCTTTTGACGGTCTCGATACATACGCCACGGTGAATCTCAATGGGAAGACAATATTGATGACCGAAAACATGTTCGTTCCAGAAAGAGTCGATGTTACTGAGATACTCGAACCCAGGAACGGCGAGAATACGTTGGAAATTACGTTTGAGAGTGCATTTGAGATCGGAAAGAGGTTTCAGGAAAGGCATCCCGAGCATATCTGGGGTTGTTGGAATGGAGACCCAAGCAGATGCGCCGTCAGAAAAGCGCAGTATCATTATGTGAGGTATACCTTTGATACGGTGGTGTCGTCGCTAATATTATGGTTTTAGGGGTGGGATTGGGGGCCAATGCTCATGACATGTGGGCCCTGGAGACCGATCAGGCTTGAAACTTTTACGTCTCTTATCGCTGATCTATATTGCCGTACTGACGTTGACAAGTCTCTTGAGAATGCTGAAGTAGCAGGGACCGTTGAAGTGGAGGGAGAAGGGGACGAAGTAATTCTACAGCTTCTCTACCAAGGTGATACGAAGGCCCAAAAATCCGCACATATAGATGCCGGCGTTGCAACTGCGACATTTCTCATCCGGGATCCTCAACTTTGGTACCCAGCAAAATATGGGGCCCAGCCGCTATACATTGTACGTGCAATCCTACGAGGAAGCGGTATAGAGTTGGATAGCGTATCCAAGCGAATTGGGCTCCGCCGAGCGAGGCTAGTACAAAGACCATTAGATGAAACTTCCGGTGAATCGTTCTTTTTTGAAATCAACAACGTCCCCGTTTTCTGCGGGGGCAGTAACTGGATCCCGGGAGACAATTTCGTCCCGAGAATATCGCCCGAGAAATATCGAGAGTGGCTGCACCTAGCTGTTGATGGCAATCAAGCAATGGTCAGGGTCTGGGGCGGTGGTATCTATGAAGAGCAAATATTCTACGATACTTGCGATGAGCTAGGCTTGCTTGTCTGGCAAGACTTTTTGTTTGCATGCGGGAACTACCCAGCGTACAAAAGTTTTCTCGAGACCGTGGAACGAGAAGCTATAGCCAATGTCAAACGCATTAGGCATCATCCGTCTATCGTGATTTGGGCAGGGAACAATGAAGATTACCAGTATGCGGAAAGTGAAAAGCTGGAATACAACCCAAGTGATCAGGATCCGTCTAGCTGGCTCAAGTCATCATTTCCTGCTAGGTACATCTACGAGAAACTGCTGGTTGATGTGATGAGTATGTATAGTCCTGACACTTATTATCACTTTGGTTCTCCATGGGGAGGCAGAACCAGCGCCGATCCACTCGAGGGAGACATCCACCAATGGAATGGTATGCCATTTTCAAGTCGATATTCTATATGTCCATGCCGGTTTGCTCACATGTTTAATTTAGTCTGGCACGGGACCCAGGAGAAATATCAAAATTTCGACAAGATGTCCGGTCGGTTTGTTTCGGAATTTGGTATGGAAGCCTTTCCCAGCATCCAAACCATAGACTCTTACCTCCCTGGCGGGAACGATGACCATGACAGGTACCCACAGTCTTCCACTGTTGACTTCCACAATAAAGCTGTCGGGCATGAGAAACGAATGGCTTTATACATGGTTGAAAACATCAGGTACAATTTTGATCCCTTCGAGCAATATATCCATTGTACGCAGGTAATGCAGGCGGAATGCTTGGCCACTGCTTATCGGCTGTGGAGACGCCAGTGGAAGGGGTTGGGGAAAGAATATTGTGCTGGTGCATTGGTATGGCAGATGAACGACTGTTGGCCAGTGACCTCATGGGCCATCGCGGATTACTACCTCCGGCCCAAGCATGCATACTACGCAGTTAGACGGGAGTTGGCACCTATAATCGTCGGCCTCAAACGCCCAATGGGAGAGGCATCAAATGCTGGGCCAGATATGCGAAAAATCGATATATGGGCATCCAATTTCACACTTGAGACCAAAGAGGTGCAAGTGGTCGTGAAGATCTTCGACATTGTCACAGGAGAAGAAATACATGTTGAGACTCTCTTTAATAGTTTTGTTCTGGAACAAAACCAGAGCACTGAAATTACACAATACAAGATCCCGCCCTCCATAGGTGATAAAGAAGGGACAACATTCCACCTGGTAATAGCGGCATATCTCTTTGAGAGCGGAGAACAAATTGCACGATCCATCAACTGGCCAGAACCGTTGAAATACGTACATATCCAACGGTCGAGCGAGCTGAAAGTGGCGCTTTCCAAAGATTCATGCCAAGTTCAATTATCGTCCTGCATTCCTGTGAAAGGCCTGGCACTGTATTCCCAGCGAGAAGCCGTTAAGTTTGAGGATAATTGCGTTGACCTCGTCCCTAATGAAACGCTCCACATTGGCGTTCGTGGATTGGAAAAGGGACAAGAAACTGAAATTTCGGTTCGATTTCTGCTATAGATCATAGTGATGTATATCGCCTCTTCTATCCACATCCACTATGTCTGCAAACGAAAGCGATGTCGTGCGTGAACTTGATCTGAGGCGTCTTCCCAATAGGGCGCGCAAAGAATTAGTTAGTTAATTGCAGACTAACTACGGAGTACTCCGTACGGAGTACTCCGTAACTAGACATTTATTCGCTAAAAAATAAGCAACTCCACATTCTTTGCCATGGAAACCTGGTAACTATATCAGGTTCGGAGCCTCGACCGCTTTGCCCAATTCCGGAAATTCCGGTTGACAAGCCGGGATGCGGGAAGCTTATGCTGTCCCACTTGGCTCCCCGCGATCTTGCTGGAGCTGACCAGCTCCGCACGCAAGCGGATTGTGGCACAATGCTTCGAGTTTTGGATATTTAGCTAAGAGGAAGAGCAGTGAACGAAGCTTTCTTTTTCATTTCGTTCTTTAGCACTTTCTACTGGTGCTCCGCACTTCGCTATCTCATTAAACTGAAGAACCAAGCAAGGGACTGAACATGGGTGCTAAGGTGAGTGACATCATCGTTGTTTGGATGCCGAGCCCATGTACAGCGAAGACAACACTTTCCATAGGAATACAGAGGGCTCGCGGGGCTAATCGTTATACTTGGAAGAACCCGTCATTTGTCCTCGAGGCCGTCAAGAAGGTCAAGTTCGAAGACCGCCCGGTCCCAACCATCCAACACCCACATGATGTTATGATTAACGTCAAATACACTGGCGTCTGCGGTAGCGATGTACGTGTCTACCATTCTGATTGCTTTTACATTGATCGCAAGCAACTAGAGCCCCGTTGCCACTAAAGGATAGCCCGGTTAATGTAGGTGCACTACTGGGACCACGGCGCAATCGGCCACCTCGTCCTCAAAGAACCCATGGTCCTCGGTCACGAGTCCAGTGGGATAGTTATCTCCGTCGGACCGGGTGTCAGATCGCTCAAACCTGGCGACCGTGTAGCTCTTGAACCGGGTGTTCCATGTCGGCAATGCGAGGCCTGCAAAGGTGGCAAATATAACTTGTGCGATGACATGAGGTTCGCAGCGACGCCGCCGTACGATGGCACCCTAGCGAAGTATTACATTTTGCCAGAGGACTTTTGCTATAAGATCCCAGAGAGTATGAATCTACAAGAGGCTGCACTGATGGAGCCGTTGAGCGTCGCTGTGCATATCACGAAGCAAGGAGGAGTGAAGCCCGGCGATCAGGTCGTTGTTTTCGGCGCTGGTCCTGTGGGATTGTTGTGCTGCGCGGTTGCCAGGGCATTTGGTGCGTCGAAGGTCATTGCTGTGGATGTTCAACAGGTTCGATTGCATTTTGCTAGGAAGTACGCAGCGACGGCGACGTTCATGCCAGGATCCATTCCCGCGGCGGAAAATGCGCAAAGGCTGAAGGAGCAGTGTGGCTTAGGTCGTGGTGCGGATGTTGTGCTTGATGCATCGGGCGCTGAGCCTTCCGCACAAACAGGAATTCATGCTTTGAGACCGGGTGGAACATACGTGCAAGGCGGCATGGGCAGGGCCGAGTTTTCTGTTCCAATCATGGTCGTATGCACGAGGGAGATTAGTGTGAAGGGAAGCTTTCGTTACAGCAGCGGTGATTACAAGCTTGCTCTAGAGCTTGTTCAGACCGGAAAAATCAACGTTAGGGATTTGATCACGAAAGTCGTCCGCTTCACCGATGCAGAGCAGGCAATCATCGAGGTCAAGGCAGGCAAAGGAATCAAGACATTAATCTCTGGAGTAGAGGATTAGCTTTCATCGTCTGGCCGCGACCGAAGGAAAAACCATTGTAATGGCCATGTTCCGTCGAAATTGAAACATGCTTTTTGAATGACTGCTTGCCCGCATATGAAAATCCCATTATACACCAAAGGAGCACCGAGTAGGTTCTCCAAAGCACAACCCCATTTTCCTGTCGCGAAAAATGATATATTATTAGCATTGGGATGTACTTGGAACTATCTAGCTGTTGCTGCGAAATATACGCTTAGAAGTAGTATAACGCCGTGGTGAGAAGCCAACTTCAAAATTGCAAACGTATTACAAAAAATACGTGCCCGCAGGGCAGGTTGTCCGACCAGAGCGGACGGATAGCGAGGATAAAATGAATGTGATGGGGTATCATTTCGACGTGAATAACATAAGTAAACATTACAGGGTACAGGAGCCAGGCGAAATGAGGAGATGGGGATATCGGGAAGAATCATCGATCAAAGAAAGAAAAGAAACAAGATGTGGTGGCCAGAATCAGGTATCTCTGGTCAACTTCCATGTAAATGCGTGCGTAGGAAGGAAATGCGAAACGGTCCAGTGTCAGCAACAACCTCTTCGTCTGGTTGTACCTCCTAATCGGAACACGTCTTCCCATTCTCGCATGGTGGAGGATCTGCCACCTTTCTTGCGGCTCTTTCCTTGCCGAAGTTGGACATAAGAATCATCAACAGTGATTCCACTTCGGATACTTCCGCCATCGCTGGCGCTCATGCCAAACATGTCTCCGTACTGAATTCCGCTCTGCGGGTCATCTGGATCGATCTCCCCAAGCTCGATCTTGGTGAGAATTATTCTCGCCAATCGAGTAAACAATTCGTCCACCCCTTCCCCAGATAGTGCAGACACTTCCACAGCAACGGGAATGTTATTCTTTGCTGCCCACCGCGACGCTTCTTCCAAGGACACCTCACCCCCGTCTGGCGCAATTGTGGCGGTCATCCTTGTCCCAGCGATCGGGCTGTTCATCGATCGAACAGATCCACCACCGGAATCAAACGCCCAGGGCGACTGTTTACTCGATGTACTATTAGGCGTGGCTGGTATTCTTTGGCCCTCCTCCCAGTAATCTCCGTGATTAATAGGGTCTGTAATCAGATCACTCTTGTTTCCAGCTAGTAGCACCGTTAAATTCGGAGACGCTAAGGCTCGAGCATCAAGTAGGAAAGTAGGTAGTGCGTTAAAAGAGATGTGAGATGCGACATCATATACTAATATTGCACCTGCAGCACCGCGATAGTACGAACGCGACACGGAGCGAAAGCGTTCTGTCCCTGCGGTGTCCCAGAGCTGTAGTTTTATACGTTTCCTTCTCGAGCCGGTTCCGATCTTTACGATCTTCGAAGAGAATTCAACACCGATGGTCTGAGAAGATAGAACCCTCCCTGTGCAGTGTTCCGCAAGTTAGCATCCAGGTCTAGAAAAGAGCCGTAGCCAGGGGAGATGAGGACAAATGACATACATTCATTCTTCACAAATCTATGCAACAGACATGACCTAGGCTAGGTGTCAGTAATACCGCCAGGCAAGGCTCACGAGGAATGCAAAGAAACGGACTTTCCGGCACCACTTGGACCTAAAAGAATGACCTTTGCTAGGTAGTCATACATGCTCCCTAGCTCCTAAAGAAGCAGAATAAACAGTTGTTAGCCTATGCGGTGCTAATATCTGTGGCGGATTGCTTTCCCCTCACCTGGTTCTGATCAGGAAGAGATGATTGGGAAGAGGCAGTAGAAGCACCTCTCTGGCGCGCCATGACGCTGGAATTGAAAGAAAATGTGTTATCGCCTTCCCGTCCCGAGGTGCATATTAGGCTGGTAATTCTTGATGTGAGTTCAGGACAGAGAGAGTGGATTGATCGTCGTCCAGCTCGCCAAGTAATGAGTTGGGCTAACGGCCCTCTTGAGTTCCTGGCGCAATGGGGTGATGTTGTGGTTTCCGGCTTGACAACAAATCAGCACTAACACTCTCGCACATGTGACATCTTATTGCACCGAAAACTATCTTGGAGAGTCGCTCTGCGGAGTAATGAGAATTGATTCTTGGTCTGCCATTAAAGATACAATGAGAAGATGAGAAGCCCCTTGTGGGCAAACCCTTTGCCCAGATGTTGGAGACTCGATGAAATCTATCCATAAAATTCAATTGTGGTTTCTCTAGGTCTTTCAGCTTCCACCATGGTCCACACTGTTGATTGTCGTTCTGTTGCTTGTCCAAAGGATCTTTTTTGGCTCAATCTACTTCGGGTCTCCTCGTTTTGCAACCTAATTCACGCGCTTGATTTGTGAGCGGTGTATGGCTGTCTCTGTCAAGTTGAGTCCTGGATTCAAGACTCTGGAATAGTCCAGAGTTACCGTTGCGCTCGCTGTGAAGGCTCCACAAGCATGCATCTTTATAGCTGTATACGTTGCGAATTACAAGAAATAGCGGGCCAGTCTCTCCATTCAGAACAATCGGTACCATCATATACGATAGACCATGTAATTATGTCGATGGAGCTGAACTCCTGCAGCAATGGTTCAAAACGGTTGTCCGAATTGCTTTCAGGTCGCAAGACCTTGATGCGTCACCGTTGACCCTGGAAAATACCAGACTAAGAACTTGGCCTTTATCAAAACAGCTAGTACAAAGGGTATTTCCACTGTCTCTAAGCCCGGGTGCTATGGAGATTGGATATAGCCTGGCATACATATTCCGGCTATATGGTATCCTTATTTCAATTTCTTTTCCTCTCCGTCTTCCTCGTCAACGCTGATTGCCTTATATCCGGAGGCAACGGAATTTTGTAACCAACCATTTGCATATGTGAGACTCGATGACTGGCACTGATGCATAGTTCTATGCATCGAGAATGGATGATCCCAATATTTGGTTCATCTTCAAATCGTTCTCGTTCATTATTTCAGCGGATCTCCATATTTAAAATATATGAAGGTTCACTTTGGGCTTTCGCAACCACCCAGCGAGAGGAATTGAATTCAATTCACTTTCTAGCCTCACAATACCTCCCAGTCCCCATTTACTGCCTCCTGCATGAGTTTTCATTCGCCATAGCAAGACAGGCTACAGCAGCCAAAATCTCCGCTACGCCCGCACTTAAATGCCCGAGGTCCAACTCCTAGCCCCGCCGAGTATCAGCGTCGAAATCAAGATAACGTGAATATCCACCTGCATATTTTCTGACACTAGGGTGGGACTATGCCGGAGGACCAGTTTCTTGGTTACTTCCCGGATTTAAAACTAAGGAATACAATCAATGCGGGCATCGCAATGGGCCGAAATGCTCAATTCTTACTCTACAGTCCTAGCCCTTTATCGATGAAAATACCTTTCGTGTTTGCCGCCAGTATCAACACGTGGAATATACCCTCCTTGAGTATGTATACTTGGGCAGTCTTATTTAGAACTAGCCAGCTGGTGCATAAAGTTTATGCCAATCAAGCAACTGTATGTATGTATGTACATATATGTTTATCGAAACACCCCATCAGTTGAGTGAAATAGGACAGCTGCCACCCAGTGCTTTCATTTCAGTACGGCAGCGGAGTGAATTTTTTTTCGCTGAACATCTATTCCCCCTCCTGAATGGACAACCCGTGGATCTTCAACTTCAGGCATGGAGCACTCAAGATAAGTTGAAGCCTGCTCAAAACTAGGTGCCACGCCCAATGTAGTGGTGAGTTGCAACATATATATAAATATTAGCTGGATACTAATGCATATTTCAGCTCATGCAAAATATCTAGTGTCTAAATTGTATTGGGTCCCTGAAATTTGCGTGCCCTCTAGTGAAGGCATCCCACCGCTGATCGAGTTTCATATCATGCTGGTAGATTATCCAGTTTAAAAGGGACTTAATATCAACAGAATCACTCCTGACTTCTCAGTTAGCATGTCATACAAAATATTCACCAAATCAGGGGGTTCGAACATAAGTTCACTGTTGTTCAAGCTTATGGTTCCATTATTGTTACAGTAATGCCTCTATATAACGAATCAATTTTGGAAGCCCTGTTCAATTCGTTATATAGAGCTAGCATACAAAATAGGTTCTAATATCCTGGTGCTGCTGATTTTCAAGCCTCCGAGCCCCTAATCTTCTCTCATAATGATTTAACTGTTGAATTAGCTCTGTATCTCCCTTATCCTGCCACTCTTCATACAAGCCAAGCCTTTTCACCATGTCAAGGGCCTCAGTGGTGCTGATTTGCAGATCAGCTTCCAAATTTATAGTCTCTTTCTCTTTCTCATCCTCTGGCTCCAGCTGCTCAATTATATGGCGCTCTAGGTCTTCAGAAGAGTCCTCCACTACTTCCTCTGCAGAATTGAGAAAGTTTTCAATTTTCATTAGGTTTTGAATACCAGAGATCATGCAGAGCCATTGAAAATCATTGGAGATCTGTATAATTAAAAGATCTTCAGACAGAACATCTGTCTTCTTGAACAAGACTCTCTGAAAGCAGTGTTGAATAGTGACAGACACTATATTAATATTCCAAGCCTGTATTCTCCAGCATAAAGCCTTCAAAATGTTCATTGTAGTAAGAGAATCACAGTTTGACTTGTATTCTTCAAGCATATAGATAATCCACTGCCATTTCCAGTGGCGCTTCCAAGAATATATAATCCCTTGATCTAGTGGCTGATATCTGCTCATTACATTTGGTGGAAGCCAAATAACCAGTGTATTCCATAGAGATTAAAGGCTCTTATTGATATTTTCAACTGCCAGTTCATAAGCAGAGAAATTATTCATTAAAAGCACGACTTGACAGCCAGTTTGATGTATGGTTGACAGGCTGGTCAAGATGTTTGTATTTTAGAAAGGATCTCAGAGACTGAAGATAAAGCAATCTTTTGTGTATATAGAGCCTCAAACCACTGCTTCAAGGCCTTGTTGGAGAGGGAAGAATTGAGAGCTTTGTGAAAGCATAATTTCTTCTTCTGCTTGATCAAAATTGCAGTTCAGTGGGGCATTTTGGTCTTTTTTAGTCTCATTATAACAAATTATTAAGAAATCTTGAGAGATATTTAACAAATTTTGTAGTATAGGTTAACAAATATTCTGTATGAAGTTTTAATTTTGGAAGAGATTTTCGTTTGTTATATACGGAGTAGAGGATTTGTTATATAAGGTGATCATTATAGGCATTCCTGTACTCCATATGGAGTAGTGCTTTGCAAATGGCTTTAGCATCTCTCTAAGTCATGTAGCTGTTTCTTTTTCCGATATGTTTGCAGAGCCCGATAGTGGTGCAAACTACTCCGAATGAAGAGGGTCAGAACACCCCTGCAACTGACAAAGTTTGGTGTCGTATCCATCCATGAAAGCTCCGTTTCATAGCCAAGATGACTCTGCGACCGGCATTCTCCTAGATCACCGGTTGTGGGAACACTGATAAAGCTGAATCTATTAATGGTGTGTACTCCGTACAGAACAAAGCTAATAGCAACTAGTTTGTTCCAGGCCATTTGTACTCCGTACGAACAATTCTCATGAACTGCGGAGTACTTGTTAACCTCTGCGGTCCAAACTGCAGAACAGACCAATCAAGGTCCGCTCACCTTCGCCATCGAGTGTTTTCTTCAAAACAACAACACAATATCTTACATCTGAATGTAAGTGTCATGTTCATGTGTGCTAGGAATTGGATGTTGTACAAGCAGAATCCATTGTACAAACACTTTTTTTCCCCTACTACAGCAGCATGTCATTTCTCTCCACTATAGGAGGATCATGTGTGCATCATCCGCCATGAAAGAAAGGTGAGGTGATGCGAGAAGCCAAAAGGTGTAATATATCTACATCTAGGGCATTGTGCGAATCGATAAATGGTTCAGCAGCACAACTAGATGCAAGCATAGATGGAAGGGGGCAAAGCAGCTTTATTTTATGAGCATTCAGGATGGCAAGCTTGCTCTCTAGCTATTAGGAGCAGCTGAATAGCAGATATTGATATCATAATTTGCAATGACTTGCAATGCAAACTCATGGTGGGCTTATTGCACGCCCATGCGACTGTGGAAAATATTATTGCTGATTCTTATGCATATGTTGAACTATATCAAGCTTGGACCGGAACCACGCTTGTTAATGCTTTGTGCTCCAATCCGACTAGCGTACCGAATGGAATCGCCAGTGGAGTCTTCTGAAAGCGGGATGAGTTCAATGGAACCCGCGATAATCGATACTTTGGTTCGAATTGGGGAGAAAATAAAACTGCAATTCCGACACATATGAATACCGTCTGGACTAAGCAGAACATTGGAAGAGCTTTGAATATGTGCATATATTTCTTGGGATAAGTTCCTCGTTGCATAGTGAAAGAAGAACTTGATAAGCTTTGCTGACTTCCTGCTAGATGACTTCTTTCTACCACATCTGAGCCGTCGATTGCTAGACTATATCTATTAGCAATCCCAGTCACATCCGCCACCCAGCCACCTTTTGGGGATATATTTTTGGGTTTAAAACTCCATCACGGGGCAACAATGACTCTCGCTGAGGTGAAATTCTTGATTCTGTTTCCTGAATACTTGGGGTGTTGAACCGCAGTTTTAAGGCAATTCCAAAAAGATGGCGACATTTGGTTTCTAGGCACGAGCTTGAACCGACGTTTGTACAATGATTGCTGATGGCTTATCTGATAGCCCAAGGAATTCTGCTGTCTGGCTTTCATAATTGATGACGGGAAACTTGTGAGGGCCATTCTGGCTCAGATGGAACAACGTCTCAGGGAAAGACTGTGGATGGAATTGCGCGTTTTCGAAAGAAAGTGAAGATTGAAAGGCCTGAGATAGCGGACAGAGCTGCACCTCCAGTCCGCATCCCGGCTGACATATGGTGCTAGCCCTTTTTGATGAGCTCATTCATGATTGAAGTACATACATATAGACCTACGTGGATAAGTTAGTCCAACTTTGCGAAAACCCGCAAGTTCAAACCGTCTTCACTGCTTTTCGTTGGTTACTCTTCTCGAGGAGCGGCTAAAAAGCGCCGGGGTGTTTGACCAGCGTGTCCACTCGCGCTGACCGCCAGAAGCGAAAGTGAACGACTAGTCGCATCCTGCTTTTCAATGGATACAAAGAATATAAAATAGTACACAGCCGAAAGCATGTGATTCTTTTTTCTCCTGTCTAACTAGCGAATATTTATTTTACAGAACTACTCCGTACATCCCAGGCCTTTCGTCCCAGAAAACTGTACATGGCTCTGTGCGTTCAGGGGTCCTAGTACGAGGTAACAGAGGGATTGTGATCACCTCTCCTGAGAACTGCGAGGTGTTCATTGGGTAGCTTGACTGAAGCGTACTAAACTTAAGGATGGAGGCCCGGGAAGCTGCAGACTTGGTGATAGTAGGTGCTGGTATGTAACTACGCGCCTTTCTTCGAGTCGGAAATTGACAATCTATGAAACCTGGGAGACGATGCTCAACGGATAAAATAGGAATCAACGGCTTAGCCGCCGCTCGAACGTACTGCACGATACATCCCTCCGCAAACGTAGTAATTCTCGAATCTGCGGCATCCATAGGAGGAGTATGGGCGAGAGAAAGACTCTATTCAGGCTTGCGCCTGAACAACCTCTTGGGAACGTATGAATATAGCGATTTTCCGATGGACGAAGCGTTCGGCATTCAGCCCGGGCAGCATATCACTGGAGAAGCGACGCATCGGTATCTCATGGCTTATGCGGAAGAATTTGAGCTTTATTCGAGAGTCCGGCTCCAGTCCCGAGTGGAAACCGTTGAAAAGCTCGATAGAAAAAGCGACGCCGCCTGGCTAGTGACATACACCAAATACAACGATGACGGGGAAAGCCAACGACAACAGATATTTACGCGGAAGTTGATAGTGGCAACGGGAGTAGCTTCCGAGCCTTTTATACCAACGCTGAAAGGGGCCGAAACATTCGATGCTCCCTTACTTCACAGCAAGGATACGGCCAGGAAGCAACGTGAGATTACTGAGGCAAAACGCGTGGTCGTTTTAGGCGGCGCAAAGTCTGGATACGATGCGGCATATCTAGCGGCATCTCACGGCGTGGAAGTCGATTGGATTATTAGCAAGTCCGGTCGAGGTGCCTCTTGGATGGCACCTCCGTACGTAACTCCACTGAAGAAGTGGCTAGAAAAGCTGGTGAATACTAGATTTCTGACCTGGTTCAGCCCCTGTTCTTGGGGCGAGGCGGATGGTTTTGGAGGCATCAGAGGATTTCTTCATGGCACGTTCATAGGCAGATGGATTGTGGACGTGTTTTGGAAAATCCTAGCAAACGACGTTGTAACTCTCAACGGTTATAGAAACCATCCGGAAACAAAGAAATTGGAGCCATGGACAGATGCATTTTGGTCAGCAACCACTTTTAGCATCCTCAACTATCCAACACATTTCTATGATTTGGTACGCGATGGAAAGATCAGAGTACACGTTGCGGACATCTCACATCTTTCACCAAAAACAGTTCATTTTGTAGGAGGGCAAGCAATCAAGACTGATGCTTTTATTAGTTGCACAGGCTGGACAGCTCTTCCAACCATAAAATTCCTTCCAGAAGGAATAGAAGAGCAAATGGGGCTTCCGCACAAAACCCAGAATGTGAACAAGCTGGCCCGCAAGGCAGATGCGGAAATCCTATCGCGCTTCCCTCGACTACAGCGGCAGCCGGAAGTGAAGAATCCATACGGGGGCGCTAGGAGAGATTGTACTCGCCCAGAAGACCACGAACCATATAGACTGTATCGCCATATGGTGCCACCGGACTTCATTCACGATCGCAGCCTTGGATTTCTGGGAACCGTGTCAAACTTTTCTACAGTTTTAACCGCCCAAACACAAGCTCTTTGGCTGGTGGCGTACATGGATGGAAAGCTGGCTCTTGACACCTGCTCACCCACGTTCGAAGACGACTTGCATTGGGACACCGTGCTCCACAGCCAATTCGGGAAGTGGAGATACCCGTTTACCGGTCAGCAACGATCGGATTTTGTTTTCGACGCAGTGCCATATCTGGACTGGCTATTGCGAGATTTAGGGCTCAAGGTGCATAGGAAGGGCGGACCTTTGGCGGAGATCTTTGAACCGTATGGCCCCGCGGATTATCGGGGTCTCATTGAAGAGTGGCAGAGGTCACTCACCCAGGAGTAGATGCGGAGAAGGGTATAACGGACCATGAGTAGATCTTCTGCGCTCCGTACGGTTTGCTGGCTGGTAAGATTGATCGACAGATCATTCCATGGGGCTTCCAGGGTTCTTTTAAGATGCCACTTAGCTGGTGGGATTAGATAATATGGCTACCCCATCCAATACACCAGATAGTCGTGCAGCAGACAGAGAGATACATACAACTGCAAAGTTCGAATCCAATACCTGGGAGCTTGTCGTTTTTGGCTGCCCAGATTGTGGCAGTTTCGGGTTGGGGCGCAGCCAGCACAACCAGCGAATGACATAATTTTCCGACTGGCTCAGCCACGATCTGGGGTCACTGAGCCACTCTTGCTGCTTACGACATTAAAACGCTTGAACCGAATCAACTCGAGTAGTCGTTGTGCTGGGCGCACGTAACTCAGATTCGACAGACATCAAATAGCCCTCTCAGGGCCAAAAAGACAAAAGCAAAGGGATAGAGATTTTTATGCCCAAGTGAAGTAAGCGTCAAGGCTCTCCGAGAGGTCATAACGTCCGTCATGTGTTTCAGGGCACTTTTCCGCCGGGGTGGAGGCAGTAAGATCGGGACCAACCCACCGATCAGCCTGGAGATGGAGTCCTCCCAAGAGAAAAAGCGAAAGGGCAGCACAGTGTCATCTTATCGGCCGGCGTATACGACGAATACGTTGAATCTCAGTACCTCGGACGAGAAGCAGCAAGTGTTTGGACAGGACACGATATCTCTAACTACAGCAGGGCATATTTCTAACGGCGGCAGCAGTAGGATACCAGCACAGACCTGTGATCCTCCATCAGGGCCTCCGCCTGGTTATGCTTCTCAAAACCACACGTTCTCTCCTCCCCTAGGTCCACCTCCTCATCTAGGAGCAACTTCATTTTCTCAGCCGGATCACAACTGGCAGGCCATTCCCGACCCCGCGGATCTTCCCCCACCGCCTGCTCATGCCTATCTATACTCCAACACCGGCAATGCAACTGAGGAAGATGCTGAGCGAGCCCACGCTTTCTGCGACAACACTCCGCTCACACTCCCGGTGGATCCCTTGCCGGAAGTCTACCAAGCCGCTCAAAGGGCCAGCTTCCGTCCGGTTAAACCAAGCGAATATAACGGGTCCCTTTCTGTCCCAACTAACGGCAGATGGGAGGGCCGCACCACCACCGGAAACCCGGACTGCATTATATGGACTGACCACCCAATGTATTTCGCACGGGAAAATTCTCCTCTAGTCACCGAATGCTCAAAGACTATCTACTTTGAAGTCACGCTCCGGAAATTATCTGGCGGTACACCCACCCAGACTCCCGGTTTCTCCATTGGGTATGTGGCACAGCCATACCCAACATGGCGTTCCCCCGGTTGGGAGCGTGGAAGCCTGGGTGTCTTTTCCGACGACGGATGTAGATTCATCAACGACTCCTGGGGTGGGAAAGAATTCACAACAGAGTTTGCAATTGGAGAAACTGTCGGCTTAGGAATGAAGTTTTACTGTGTGGGAGAGACACCATTCGGAGTAGCGCCGCAACCTCCAGCCGTGGACGGAGAGTTAAACTCCTTTGCAGTTGAAGTATTCTTCACGCGGAACGGAAAATTAGCAGGGAAATGGAACCTTCACGAGGAGATAGACGCTGACCAAGGCAGTCTCGAGGGTTTAGAGGGAGATTTTGATTTGCATGGAGCTATTGGATTGTTTGGCGGAGTGGAATTCGAAGCCTGTTTCGATCCATCAGGATGGAAATGGTCTCCACCTGAATAAATTTCCGCCCATTTTTACCCATTTGCTCTCATCCCATGGGTTTTGTTACTTCTTGTCAATATATACCTAATCAGCCATCTAAACGATAAACCGTTGACAGTCTTGTGAATATTTGCCGCACATGTACTTGGTATTTTGGATACGTATACCGGATATACTATCACTCATATATTGCTTTGGTATTAAAGAAATCTGACCGATCGTCGAGTGTAAAATCTGTCCGCCCTAATTGAGTTTGTAACATCCTAAATCTATTGCTATAATATCACTTGTCGTAAGCTGGAGCGTACAGATTGAGCTTGTGTCATCAAGCGAGATTTACCCAAGACATCAGCCACCGTCGCTCACCTCAATTTCATGGCGAATGGCGATAAAAAAGCGAGAAAAAAAGAAGAAAAAAAATTCAAGGCAGAAACCATGTTCCCGCAAAAGAAAAAAAAAAAAAAAAGAAAAAAAGAAAAAAAATTAATGACTCAATCAACTGTCGATCGTGAACGGAGAATTTCAAGAAAAAAGTTCCCGTCATGCAAAATCTCCCACCGTCGGTTTCATAAGTTGCACACGACGAGGGGTGGGGGGAAGAGATAAAAGAAAAAGAAAATATATAACTACATAGTTATATAATCATAATGCGCACTCCAAATAGGGTAGAATGATAGTTCTAGCCTAAGAGACAGAGAAGCCGGCATAAGTTAGGTGCTTCATCATCGACGAAATCGGGGATGAAAGGCCTTGAAGACGGCTAATCTTGAAAAGGTTCATCTTGGATTGAGATAGTCTGTCTGCGGAATCAAGCGACAGCTTTGCGTCGGGGAATAAGCCCTAAGCCCAGTGTGGTCGCTCTGCAGGTCTGTATTTCTCTATTCCAAAATCCGGACTCCAAACTTGCATGGATGACAGTCCGCATTCGGACTTCTGGATGTAACTCCTCCGTAGGCATGCAGTGAATCTCACGACGAATGGCGAGTAATCGACAATAGTTGGGCAGAAGGCTTTCACTATCTGGATGATCAGTATCCACGCGTAGGGCCAGATATATGCACTTCGCTGTAGAGAGTACCGAGTACTTACGTATTTCCATGTTTCCCGTGGTTACAAATGTAACGACTTTCTCTCACCGAAGGACTTGAGAAGTACCTCCGCGGCAAAAGATACTCATCCGGCCTCCTAGCCCATCAATACGAAACAAGAACCGTTGAGTCCTCACAAAAAGCAATTATTTACCGCGTTGAATGCAAAACAGCTTCGAAACATTCAAGTCAGTACTCGACGCGGGTCGGCGCCCCTGAATATCACCCGGCAAAGCCTCGGGCATCCCGGTTTAGCTTGATTTTAGCATCTCGGGGAACACCAGGCTTGCTTCCGGAGGCGCACGTTGCATGCAGCCAACCCTGCAACCTCTCGAACAGACGCGATGGTGTCCAGTGGCGGGCTGGAAGCCTATCTCAAATGAAGATTCTATCGGCCATCCCAGAATCTCATGCTTTGCCCTTTTTTTTTTTTTTTTTTTTTTTTTTTTTTTTTTTTTTTTGGTTGCCAACACATGTCGCTTACAAGATCTTGTTGGGCAGCAAGCGTAACGCCTTGTAAGGGTAACGGGATAGGCTGATCCACGGGAAAGATCAAAATGCATCTGTTCCTGTTCCTCCGTAATCAGAGTCTCACCGCTGAATTCCTGCTCCCGGTATTTCCGTACAGGACTTGCGCAATTCCGATAGTAGGAGCCAAAGCGCTTCAAGGTTATTGCTGGACCAATAATTAGCCTTTTCAAAACTCCTTCCGTTCCTGTTGACGCCAACTCCGAATCTCAGAACCACGTGGAATGATGAAAGGAAGACAAGAGGAAGATGTCTCGTTCAGCGCATCATCTGACCTGTCGCCGTATGGATGGATATCCGGCCCAACCTTCTCTCCTTCATACCAAGAGATTGAGCAGCTGGTGGGGCAAAACGTGGCAGTCTCCTTTCGTTGCCTTTGTGGACACGAAAGGCTACTCTTCGGTTAGTTAAGTTGAACATCCCTGGGGCCCTCAATCAAAAAAATTTTCAGTGAGAAGCGGTTACGCCGTTCATCGGCCCACTCGATTCCAGAGCCGTTTGCTTCGTTGCTAGTCGTTGCATAAGCGTTGACCCTGATCCCTGTCAGAACGCGACCTTCTCAAACAAAGGCAAAGCCGATCGGGTTCTTCCTGAGTTTTGGGGCTTCGGGACGGGGCTCCACTGCCATCAACTGGCTGGCTTCGAGAAATTTTCTAGAAGACAAAGTGGACGAAACTTTAGGACCGAGTATTATACGTATGAACGTACCCCATACGCAGACTCCACGAGAGCATGAATTTTCATTAATCGTTAGGACGGCAGATTTCGATGTTCAATGCAATCTTGTAGTTATGGAGCCGAGATCCGCCGTGGTACATGCATATGTATGTACTCCAGATGATACCCGAAATCCAGACACCCTTGGGTCCCCATCTCCATACATCTCAGACACGTAAGGCTGAGTGCTCAGATGTTCGGTGATCAGCAATTCCGATAATAGGATATCGATTGCGCAAAACTCAGCTGAAATTTCTCCAGGTTATTCGCTTCAGGGAACTCGCAGCATTATCACCATGGATGTCGAGACTGCAGGAACGCAAGTCCCGAGACATGTCCCGTAATATTCGGGGAATCGCTCTCTCGGGTGGGTGGGATCTGCCCATCAAGTCTTACATTCTGCGACATGCCGCGGAAAACAGGGCCGGCCAAATCTGCTTTGGGCCCGGAACCAGTTTTTCACTAGGCGGCATCAAAATTTGAGAGACGAGAGACAATTGTCGTAGCACGATTTCTGAACATTTTCTACTGCCAAGCATCATTTTCTCATCTCAATACTCCGTACGGAGCATGGAGGAGCACTAGCATCGGGAACGGTTCGCTGAATCTTTACTCCGTACTCCGTAGAAGAAGAACCTTGAACTCGAAAACAAGCACAAAATGTGTGTAACTACCAGGCGCATAACAAGGTGTGAAGCCTAGCCGTCTCACGGGAGGCGCTGGCTCCGGGCATTTATATTGACAATGTTGCAGAGAGGGGACACGTCGATTGGTAAACGACTAGACTGGTTCATTCCCTTGATACGCCATGAATACAGATATCGGAACCTCTTGCCCATTGGCATTCCAAGAAATACGACTTTCGACAATCAAGTGATCTACAACGACCCGGAGTGAGATCAATCACCACAAGGACTCAATATTTTCTAGGGGTTGCAGAGGATTTCGCAAATCCCTGGGTTCAATCCCTCCCTTGTACTCCGCAGTCACCCTCCCTTTGCTTTATCAAGTGAGAAAGCCCTGGAATCAGGAACAAGTAATAGACAAGGGAGGTTCACAAATCAAGCAAACTTTCACACCTGGCGCCCAATGATCTGGCACAATTTCGGAGGGGACTGCTATCTCGAAGGGCCCAACTCACATCCCAACCTCCAAACATCTAGAACAAAAGTTTGGCGCTAATGATCTTGGCGTTTTGTGAAGCGTTATCGGAGAGGCACTTCGGCCTGTATCTCATCTGTACGGCCGAAAATACATGTATGCTTTCAACTGCTCGTGTATCAGACCTCGGAGGTTTCGACGACGATTTTTGCTGGAAGCATTGGCAGGCGCTCGAAAATACTAGCACGCCATGAATTGCGTATGATGTATCTATGCTCCGCAGACAGCCCACAGCATTAAGAGTCATGGTTTGGAGCCCATGGCAGAAATTTGTTGTCCACATGAAACCAGCCCTGCATAGAACCCTGTTGCCCAGCTGTTCAACGACCTCCTAGTTCGAGAAATCCTTGCAAATTGGGCAACTTCCTGGCTGAAGGATTAACTCCTGGTGGAGGTATATGCTTCCTTTGAAGAGTCAAGTGATGACAGTCGTTAATGAATTCGCTTAATAAAATCGGTTCGTCGGAGTCTCTTCACTGCAAATCTGTGAGCAGCTCGTTCTCGGAATTAGAAATCCATCGTCACTCCCTTTTTTAAAGATAATAATGCTCTCCGCAAAAGAGCGGGAAGCGTTTACCTAGGTAGTCAGAAACCGGTCTTGGCGAATGGTCAATGCTTCGAATTTTATCCACTTTGTCTTCGCTGATCGTAACTATCGAACTGCGGGGCGGACTAGTGCGCATAATATTTGCTATGTCCCGCGAGCGTTATATTTGATACATTTTGGTAGCGAGATGGGCTGCTTTAAATCGTTGGTTTAGATGGTGGTGCTGAAATCCATACCCGAAGAGTCAATGTCCTGGAAGGTGAGCATGGATTGAACTGTACAACTGTTTGAACAGCAGCTCAAGCCTTGGAACTAGCCTTCCTTGTACTAGCGAATACTATGGCAGACACGAGGGACATACTCTTCGAGTTGAGATGGAATTGGACGTTTGAATTTACTCAGGCGCAATTGAAAGATATATCCTATCAATACCTCATTAGTTAGAAAAGCAGAAAACGAAATCATATGCTGAGAAACATTGAAAACTCATTATTTGGCTCAAAGATGCCCCAAGATTATCTGTTTATCAGCTATTTTCCCATCGGTCTTGGCGGACAGGTAGCTCTGTGGCAGCTAGGAGGCAAAAGATGATTCATGGTATCGGAATATGTCTCGCCTCAAATTGCAGAGGTGGTACAGTGGTACTTTCTATGCGCTTTGGCTCTCTAAGCAGCCGCAGATTTGACATCGCTACTGCAAGAACGTTCATCAGAATATCAAAAGGCGAGGGGCGTTAACATAGGAGACAGGACATTCCGCTTGTCAAGATGAACAACAAGTGAGACCCGGCTGCCAGGCGATGAGCGCCTCGATTCCTGGAATCATTTGGCATTTGCATGAAGTGATGTTGAATGCTCCTGCAGGGCGCTTCGGCGCAACCTGTCGCTTTGCCAAGACGCCGCAACTCATCGTCGCCGTGGGCCAATTCCGGAGACTCCAACCAAGACCAGATATCTCCTCAGGCTCATTTGTAGATTCTATCTCCGTTAACGGGCCGAAGTTGTTGCATCCAGAGCAACGATTTCATGCGGAACGCGGCCAGGTGCTGGCCCGGAGTGCCAGATGTGCTAATGTCCACCACGTAACAAGCTGGGACAACCAACTCTGTGCCTCTTTCCCCGACTTCTGGGTCTTTGTTGACTCGTAAGACGTTGCGCCGCCGACGAGGTTTTGAGTTCAGGGGTCTCAAATATCGCAGTCTTCGGCTATGTCAGCCCAGCCCCAGTTTTTCTCGCACTTGAGAACCCGGACCTTTCCGAAAGCGGAAACCTTCTTTGAGAACTGATGGATTGCGATGAAGAGTAGAGGAGCGGATTGCGGAATTCATATTCGATGGTCGGCTTGTAGGTCAGTCAGGAAGCTTGGTTTCACGAAAGGTCAGTCTCTCGACTCTGAACTCAGCCCGGTGTTGCATTGATCGTCGAATGTGCGCCTGTGCTCACCGACTGGCCGGCTGCCGCTCCCAGGAGCCGCCCGAGCCGGGTCCTGTCCATTCACCTCCCACACATCGTGGTTGCGGAACGGGATTTGGTGGTGCCGCTTGTTGGCCTGGGAGTTGTTGGCTCTCTTCCGAATCCAGAATCACCCCCAGCATATTGCATATGGCTGGCTAACAATGCAATCAGGGCAAATGTTCGAGTGAGTTGAATAAATCCCAAGCTTCCCCAAGCATGCATGTCCGCTGATATATTTGGGAGTTTCAGGAGCTGACAGTGCTCACTGCGCCTTCATTTCCACCAGCGGTCAGCTCAAACCCCGTTTCGGTCCAATTCTGAATATTCAGGTAATTTTGAAGCTGCTTTCGCCCCGTAACGAAGGAAGCGCCCCTCCGTCCTCCCATGTTATAACACGATCGCGGAGTAAGTTAGCGACTCCAACGTCAGATAACGAAGACCCCTGTTCCATGTGAAATGATTGACAGCCAATTTTTTTACTTTTTCCTGTCCCCCTTGGCCACGCTACGTAACTCCTTGGACTAAATCGTCAAATGCACCCCTCCCCGGTAACTTTGAAGCCAAAGACTAACTGATGCTTGCTCCTGAGGTAGCTCCACACACTGCTGGAGGCCTGCAGGGATGACCTCTTATTATTACGCCTTTCATAAATGCGCTTAACACACAAACACACACGCAAAAAAGAGGCGACCAAGTAATAACCAGTTACTCCATACAGTAGTGAGCTAGGTACCGAGTAAAAAGAGGGTAGTCGATGCACAGGCATATCCAGCCGCCAGTGGACCGAAACTACTCGATAAGCATAGGGATCCCATGAAAAAAGGAATTTTTCTAAAAGAAAAAATAAAAAATAAAAAAAGGTTTCGCTTCCTTTCCTGCTTCATCCTTTATCCTCACTACGTGCCCACAGTTGTCTTTTCAACGATGACACTATATTTGTCGCTGTCAGTTACCAATTGCGATTCACGATGCGAGGATGGTACAAATTAAGCTGTCTTCATCGGCTCCCCACCAAGCTCCCTTTAACCCCATGTTCCTGACTGTCTTGCTGGTTGCTCAGATCATTTTAATCTCTAACTAATCTCCTCCGCTTATTCTTCTCTTTTTCGTTTTCAAGTCTGCATTACTCTTCGCATCTTTTCTTTTTCTTTCTTTCTAGTCGCTCTCTTATACCCTCCGGTGGCCGCTCCACTGGGCCGCTCGTTTCCATCTTCTTCTACCTTAACGCCTATTAATCTTAATAATTTTCTTCCTTCTGGGAGCGATCGGCTCCGATATAATCGGGAGGTCTTCTTCGGCCACGCATTGTACGAGTTTCTACATACATTGGTTGGTGTTTAACGGTTGGCAAAGAAGACGCAATCAACGACGCATGATGGCATATGAATTTCCCCATTTTCTGGCTTTTAAGCTATTATTGTAGGTTTTATTTCTTAGTCGATCTACTCACTCTTTGCACCTCGCTGGCCTTGGGCTTTTTGAGACGGGATGATGGTCTAACTGGAGGATTGATACAGTGTCTACCGATATCTCAGACTGGCTGTTAATTTAATTGCAGTATGGACATTTCGTCCAATTCCTCCTCCGGAGAACCCTACCTTAACATCCCAAGATGCGACCATCATTATACCCTCCTTGCAAGGCTGTGGTGAGGAGTTGCGAGAGACAATTAGGACAATCTTAGTCAACGAGCCCTACCAGATTTTCCTGGTGACCATTGACGCGAACCGTGCAAACGCGCAGAAGATGCTCGACACGATGCCCGCATCGAAAACCAGAATCCAGCTTCTCAGCATCCCCAAGCCGAACAAGAGACGCCAAATGGTTCGCGCCATTCCCGAGGTGCGCACGGAAATCACAATCTTCGTCGATGATGACGTGACGTGGCCCAAGACGGAATTGAAGTGGATGCTCGCCGTATTCGAGAAAGACCCCATTTACGGGGGCGTCGCGACATGCCAGAGATTACGGCGTGTGAATGCACCGATGTTTTCAATGCAGAAGATCTGGGACTTCCTGGGGGCGTTGTACCTCGAACGGCGCAACTTTGATTGTGCTGCGACTACCCATGTGGATGGCGGCATGCCGTGCCTTTCTGGTCGTACCGTCGCGTATCGGACCAAGATCCTACAAGACCGCGAGTTTACTATGGGGTTCACCAACGAGGAGTGGTGGTTTGGGCGGTATGAGCTCAATGCTGACGACGATAACTTCTTATCACGATGGATGGTTACTCACGGCTGGGAAACATACTTTCAATACCATCCCGAGGCTGAGATTCAAACAACACTCGAAGACAATCCCAAATTCCTGAAACAATGTGTCAGATGGTCGAGAAGTAACTGGCGCAGCAATCTAACAACCTTATTTCAGGAACACGTCGTCTGGTTGTAAGTTCACCCCTAACTTTTCACCAATATTTCCTTTTCTATCCAAGACGAAGCTTATGGATGATGTTGATGATTTTCTGAACTTCTTTGATTTTCTTTGCTTCCCTTTTTTTTTTTCCTTTTATTTTTATTTTTTTTTGTCTTTCCTTTTCCCCTAGCGTCATTGTGTTGCATTTGATTGTCATGCATATTTTAGCGTGTTTGCTTTTTTGCTTTTTCTCGGGTGAAGATCGCAGGATCTGTCGCCGGGCAAATCGTGCCAGCAGATCCCTGTCCTTAACCTGGAACTGCCGCACTGGGTTTAGATTAGTGCTGGCTCCACCTTTTTCTAGAGCACACGAAGGCCGTTGTTCGAATTGGACGCTAACTCAAGGGGTCCGTGTGGCCACCCACTCTCTATTTAGCCGCCAACCGTGGAGCACCTACGCCGTCTTCCTGACCACGCTGTCACCTCCCGCTTTTATTGGCGATCTCTCTCTGATCCTCTTCCTCTATAAAGGTACAGAGGGTTGGAGTGGAGAGACCCGCACATTGGCGATGCAAGTACTCTTGCTGTGGATGTTCGTTAGCAAATTTATCAAGTTGCTCGGCCATTACATCCGCTATCCCGCCGATTTCCTCCTACTCCCAGTTTCGATATTGTTTGGATACCTCCATGGTATCATCAAGGTTTACGCCGCCTTCACGCTCAATGTGGTAAGACAAAAGTCACTTTCATTTTTACTTTCTTTCCCCGCATCGCAGGGCCAATTTGTGCAGTTTACCCGGCGGAGTTCCCACGGTTTGCCCAAAGTTCCTCCGATTCTTGTGCCGCCATGGACTGGTTCTAGCCCTGCTCCACTTTTCCACTCGCGTCTCCTTGCTTCAGCTCCGTCTTATTGCTTTTTCGTCCAATTTTAATTGCCCACTCACCCGACTGTTTTGGATCCTCAATTGGCCGCGTTTGTCCGTGTTAACTCTACGCGACCTGTGTCGTGGAGCGCTTACCATCGCCGTCATATTGGCTCCTTTGTCCGGCTCTTCACATGTATTTTCTCACCACGTGCTAACTACTTTTTAGACGACATGGGGTTCTCGTGAAGGCGCCGACGTCAGCGACACTGACCGGATGAAGGAAAAATCGGATTACGATAACTCCTCTTTTTCCAAAGCGCGATTATTGGCAGCTCCTCAATAGACCGGACCAAAAGCCTTCGTTAGGCCCGCGATCAGATAGCATAGATGGCCTTCCCTTTTACCGAATCGAGGTAACATAAGTACCTCGACCGAGTTAATGTCAACTTTGAGCCAAAACAAAAAAGGAACAGAAAAACTAAAAGAGAAGAAAACAAACCAGCCGGATGTTGGTGCATTCTTGAACTTCCCCGCTATCCTGCCGCTTTTCGCTCCGTATGGAGTACTCTACAGCGACATTTACAATATCATACCCTGACTCCCTCGGGTCGGAACGGTTTTTGGATAAGATGAATTATCCTTATAGTTACCCGTTTCTCTAACCCATTCCCCTTCTTGACTCGGCCGACGGAAAGGCCGATATGTTTTGATGACAAAATTTCCACTTTATCATCTTTTCACGGCCTTCCGTGCTATCCACATTTTTATTTCCACCCTTCGTACGGAGTCCTCCGTACCGACTCCCAATTTATGTTAGCGTTTCTGGAATACCATCAGCACTTTATGGATCCTGCATGTCTGAGAGGAGATTCCAGTCTCTGCAGACTACTTATTTTTTAACCGATTTTATACGAGTCGATCTACAGCGGTTTAAGGCCATGTTAGGGCCTGGAACGACTTGCTCGTGTGTCAACAGCGTGAATCTTTTTTTTTTTTTTTTTTTGGATCTTTTCTCATTTCATCCTTTTTCGATTCTCCCCTCCCACAGATGGATATTTATTTTTCACTGAAAAGTTTTAATTGATGGGCACAGGTTTACAAAAAGCACCGTTCTACTATATGACTGCTTTAGATCTCCTTTCTCGTTTTGCTTTTGAACATAGTCTTTCGTGCCATTTTTCCCGGCGGTCTCAAAAAGAATGTCATTGCTGTTGATTGCCCCTTTTTCCCCCGCTCCACCCGTAACCTCCTATCCGCGCGCAAGGAGATTTAGCATATTATTCTTTCGCAAATCATACTAATGAACGAGATCTCTTCCCTCATTTTAATTATCATCTCCTTTCACTGATAGGTCGCGGTATTTCCTTTTAATTAGAGTACCTGTCCTCCGCCCTATTAGCGTCACCATCTTATCAGCGCTCAGGGCACCCCCGCAAGTTCAACGTGCCACCCAGCAAAGACGAGTCATTCGCTTCCAACTCTTCGGGGAAGCACTTAACGATGCATACGGATTGTTCCCGATGCATGTGTACCAAATCCAAGCATGAAGTCGTTCTCCAATAGGGTAGGCGAAATAATTACTCCCGCGGTTTGAGTCACCGAGACCCGAGGAGTCACGACGGCCAAATCCCGTTTTCGGGATCTTGTTGTGCTGCCAATGCTGGTAATCAACCCGAGAATCGAATCGAAATTATTCCCGGTCTGCGTCGGAGCACGAATCGTTGGAAAATTTGCCCCGCGGGCTTTGACACTTTGTTTGCTTTTCTTAACGGCGGCGTGCGGCCAATTAGCTTCCAACTCTGGTTCTTATCCCATATCGCCGCCTGAAGTCATTCATTCAATAACGGCCAACACCAAGGTTCATCTGCCTTTTTTTGTTTTTTTTTCCCACCCAAAAACAAGTCTATCTTCTATGGAGTACCATCTATGCAACTCCTGCAACACCATGCAGTTGATATGTGCGACTCTCGCATATATCCAACATAACTGGGTGAACAGAACCACGTCAATAATGGGCATATGCCAGATCTCGTTGTCCACAAAGGGTAAACAACAGGCGCAATCCTTAAATATCCTTTGATTTACGAACCGGAGTCATGCATCGGTCGTCGTTTTATAACAGAAAGCTAAGGCGGGGAGAAGCGGTTGATGCATTAGCCCCTCTAACCGTGCTGCAGGATAAAAATATATTTCCGAAATGCATAAACTAAATAGCGTGCTGCAAGGTATGTATGGAGTCCGCAGTGCTCCAAACAATGGCTCTCCGAAAGTCGAAAACGTTTTCCAAAGGTGCGCATCCCGCTTTTCTTCACACCCTCCCCCCAAGAAAATTCCGTGTTGCTCTCTCCAGCGCCCGACACTTTACGAACTGCTCTTTATGGAAAAGTGCTTCTCAGAGCTGGACGAACAGTTACGAATGGCCAAGAAACGTTTTTTATTTGATTATCGAGGAGCATTGACGGATAATTTGAGTGGGCGGCCAACCAACGTAGGAGCCTTTTGTATCCGTCACTTGAGGCTCGGCAATTGGGAATCACGGCGCGAAATCAGAATCAAAGTACGAATCGGCAAGCCGACGGCACACCACGTTTGACCATGTCCAGTGCAAGAAACAACCGCGAGCGAAGCCAAGTAGGCATGTCTATGTATCGATGGACAACTACCCACGTGCATCCTCGGTACTTTGTCGCCGTAGGATCTGGAGAAGCAATCGGTTCTGCGGATGTGAATGGATACGGGGAAAGCAGAAGGAAAGGGGTAGCTAGGCCCTATCCTGGTCAACTAAATTTTGACATCGTGGCGGTCAGCGATGGATGGCACCGTTGTATGCCAACAAGGGGGTAGCACTGCTTGCATTGTATGATGCTGCTTCGTATCTCCCATCTCATTGGCTCGGTCGCAGTGTTCCTTTGTCGTAATGATAATTTCTTTTAAATCCCAGCGGATGTTTTGCCTTATATCGCACTTGAAGAGGCCAGGGTGGTCAACATCCCAGGTGCCCCTTGCTGGTCCCAATACTTAACATCCACTGGTGAATGCCGTAAGATTTTGGGAACGTGATACCCCATGGGCAACTAAGGGCCGGCACGGATCATAATAAACTGAATCACAAATCCAACCAATCCCAGTTTGCCCCCGAGCTCCGTGGCGCAAACCAAGCACTTGAAACAAACGTCCCGCTCGTCCCGCAAACGGTTGGTTGGGTTTGGAACTTTTCTCACTTCCCCCCAGGCAGGCTCGTTGACGTAGGGCAATCTTGTCCAAAAACCCTAGTCCGGCACGACGCATTCAGACATCGAGACGTTTCAAAATATGTCGAATGCTGGCCCGGAGTAGCTATTATAGCCAGTCTTCCTTTACTCCTAACTGCCAACAAAGCCCGTAACCTGATGCGAGCTGGGACAGCTTTACAGACAAGCATATTGACAACACTTAGAGCTGCTAAGCCATGGTTATTTTCTGTCTGTTATGACTGATGAGAGGTATTGAATGCCATATCACGAAATATATAATATGAGGAATCACAAGTGGGACAACGCAGTTCATCACTGCGAGAAGCAACTCGCTGCTCCTGCTAAAAGCAGCTTAATCTTCGGGGTCTCAATCTGACGATGTTGAGGATAGGTAATCCTTGAACTGTCCAGTTTACTTCATCCGGATACTCAGTACCTCTTCTGTTTGGTAATGAGCTGCAGGCACAGAACTCCGGCTGCTCGTCGCACAAACCAAAGCGCCCTCACCTTACCTTCCCCAGGCTCTCAGTCATTCTTAAACCCTCTAACATCGTCGTCTCTACTTATCCTTGAGTATCTGACCTGTACTGTAAACGCAACGGAACCGAGCGAGATTTAAAGGTCGAAGCGTAGCAGCTTTGGCATGGCTACTTGCATCCTTATGTAAATCACTCAGACGTGGGGTCGAGTGTTTGGGATTTAAACTACCATGTACGGAGTAGACTCAAGTCTATTTCCTAGAATAGCCCTCAGGTCAGTGGAAAAAGAGCTGCGTTGATTTTCAAACGTCAAATGTGCCCGGCGATATAAGATCTCCTCCAGGGATATGCCTTCATGGAATCATAAGGAGAGAAAAATAAGGCGCTCTCTGTAGCCTGCAAGCATGCTCGACAAATGATATCTTATCTGGAGTGGATCATCTAGAAATGGAAAAGCGACTTCGCCTTTAAAGCACATGTCAATAATCTTTCGTCTCAACCATTGCCCTGAGAAAATTTCTCAGGCAGAGGATCGCTGCACCATGCTACTGGCAATGTTTGTCGCTGTGGTACTGTACATAATTTATGCGTACATAGCATCAAGCCAGTCAGTTTATCAGAAAATAGTTGTCAGTGTCTAACGTAGTATTAAGAAAACGCATATCAATGTTAGGAGTTCTCTGGAGCACTCGCCAGAAGATTTTAAGGTACCTAACTAGGTGAGGTCAGATCTAGACCCGCACTTATGTTTTTCCGGCTGCTGGCTGGAGTGGACGGGATGAACCCAAGATGTGCGCAACGACATTTCAGCAAGCTCAGAATATTTTAATTTGTTATAGACAATGAAAGTTTTGCAGAGAACATCTTCTATATGGGCCCGGCCTTCCTATATTTTAACGGGAATAAGGGCAGAAACTACACGCGCCCGGGCTGTCCATTCCTCAACTTTTAAGTCTGCCGTAGCGCATCCGATAAATGTTCACGGGCCTCCCCCAAAAGCTCCAGTCCCGTCACCGGAGTATAATGAACGGATTGAACGACGCAGGAAACAATCGGAATTGTTAAGACAAGACAAGGATACATCAGCGGCGAAAGGAGGAGCAGCAGGTCCTCTGCGAAAACGGTTCTGGAAAGATGTCCACGTGAAAGAAGCAGCCGGTGAAGCGAACTCTATAACTCTAAGTATTAATTTAGGACGCACGGTTTTAAACTGACTGGTCGGTATATAGAGGGTTACCAGGTCCTTTTAGATTCTCGACCGATACGTACCCCGGCCAAAACTATCCTGAATATACCACGTTCGAAACCTCATCTTGCACATGCGATAGCGCTCGAATGGGACCAACTCGTGTCGGCTCAACAAGCTCTGAGACATCACTTAATCCCCTTGACTTCTCTCACTGCACGAGCTGAAGACATTGTTCAACAGGACTCACGGGGCGAGAGTACTATCCGAAACGAGATTATGCGAACATTGATGAGATACCTTGACACCGATACCCTTCTGAGCTGGGCACCGCAGAAAGGGCCCTACGACATTGACAGCACAGAGGGAGCTGAAGAAGCTCCTAGATCGCTCCGAGATTTACAGATCCGCACCGCTCAGCCGATCATCGGATTTTTAACAACCGTCGTATGGCCAGGGATTGAAATCAAACCCGTTCTCGAAGAGGATAGCATCCTGCCAGTTTCCCAACCCCAGATGACGAAGGAGGTGATTCGCGGATGGATCACCGGCCTTCCGGCATATGAATTGGCGGGTTTAGAGAGAGCTGTCCTTGCCAGCAAGAGTTTGCTAATCGGGGTGCGGCTCGTTGTCGAATGGAGCGAGCATTTCCGCGATCTCCAGCCGGGGGGAAGGAGAACCTTTGGCATTGAGAAAGCCGCCGAGGTATCGAGTCTCGAGGTTAAATGGCAGACCGAGCAATGGGGGGAAGTTGAAGATACACACGACGTGGAGAAGGAGGATTTGAGGAGGCAGCTTGGGAGCGCTGTTCTCTTGGTGAGTGGGGAGCGGAGGTGAAAGTTCGCGAGAACCGGAAAAGGCGCCCTGCAAGTCAAACGTTTCCCTCACGGCCCTGTCGACAACACGAAATAAACGCGGCCATCTTCTATTCTTGACTGTGTGTAAATAAATCCTGATTCAAACTCGTGGATTTTACATTGATTAGGCATGATTATGCGGGCACAGTGCTTGTCGGCAACTACGAGTGCTCTGTATATTTCGTAGTTAATGTGTAGTTCAATCGCATAGTTAACCATCGAGATCGGAGGACCAAATGGGACGGCATACTCCGAAGCATTCATTCCATACGGTGGACGCAGCTGTGAACCTTCTTTGACCATTCGACGGCTTCTGGTTCAAGAGCGGCCATGCTCACGAAACTTGGCGGCTGTTATTGATCGGCTCCGCAGGCGCTTCATCGTCAAACGCGCAGCGCCAGCAATCCAGACTTAACCGCCAAGGCCTCGCCCCCCTTACCATCACCACCCGATCGCAGTTACTTCTAGGCCATACTTGTAAGCATTCTCAGCATGGAATCAATCCATTTATCCCTTCTGTGCTTTTGATTTTGCAAGGATACCACCTCTTTGGGGATATTTCAATCCTCGACTTTACCCGTTTACCCGTTTATCCGACCGTTGTGGCCGCCCTCCGCCTTTATGACCTTTGCTTGCCTTCGCAGAAGTTGTGTCTGAACCGCAAATACGGGATCCGAGGGTGAATCCCTGTGGAAACGGCGAAGATGGGAGACAAACATGAAGGGTAATGCCCAGTTCTTTTCTTTCTGCATTCCGTCGTTCGTGTCCTTCGGAACTACCTGTATTGTGCCACAGAGGTCCTTAGGTCCTAACCCGGCTTGACCCATGGCTCCAAACTTACTCAGCTTCCATCTTATAGGCACAAGCGCTCAAAGAGTGCGCTGGCTCTCTCCATTCTCCATCGCGATAAGTCAAAGAGTGACGATGGTAACGATGATAAGCACTCAAATCTAGACCCCGGTTCACCGATATCGACCTCCCCCTCCCCTGTTCACGAGTCCCGCCATTCGTACTCTGCGTCAATGAGTTACCTACGGCCATCAAGGCGAAAAGCAGAGGCGGAGGCCACGAGCAGCCAGAGCAGCAATAAATTGCCGTGCGAGAGCCCCGAGAATCCTACAGATTTAAGAGACAGGTTGGATATGAACACAGCTTCCACATCAAATGTCCCAGCGGGTGGTGCTCTGTCGATAGAGCAATCCGTACGGACCTTTCGGTTGTTTGAGATCCTACGCGATGGAGACACAACAGCCATATCGAAGGCAATCAAGGAGTGTCGAGATTCTGAAACACAAAACACCATAGCGCTAGGAACAAGCATCCTTCACCTAGCAATCCAATGTGCAGAGCCTCAAGTCGTTGAATATGTACTTTCGAATGGTGACGTTGATGTGAATGCTAGGGATCGTGATGGAAACACCCCTCTTCACTTGGCAGCGCAGTTGGGACGACTATCAATTGTGAAAGAATTGCTGGATCGTCCAGATATCAATGACGGTATCGCAAACTTCCATGGCCAGACTCCTCTTGACCTCGCCCGGACGCCCGAAATTTTCCAGCAGCTCCAGCTTTCCCGATCGCTATTTATAGAAGCGAAGACTCGAGAGATCCAGTGCCTAGTGGCACAGGGTGATTACGAGGGATTGGAAAATTTGCTGGTCGACCCACGAGTTCAAGGAACGGTCGATGTGAATAGCTTGGACCTTGTGACAGATCGCACGACAGCCTTGACCGGTGGAACCTTGCTGCATGAAGCGACAAGGAAGAAGGATTCAAGGCTAATCCAGATCCTGCTGATGAATGGCGCCGATCCTTTTCGCCGTGATAGAAAGGGAAAGCTTCCACAGGATGTCACAAAGGATGATCGTACAAAAGCCATCGTGAAGAGGTCACCAGCTGCCGTTATCGCTCAGCAGGGAATCCAGGAAAGGTCCATTCTGGGAAGTAGTTCTGGGCATGGTGGTGATGTGAGCATTGGAGGGAAAGACGCCCGTGAAATGAAAGGGTACCTCAAAAAGTGGACAAATTATACCGGAGGTTACAAATTAAGATGGTTTGTGTTGGAGGATGGGGTTATGAGCTACTACAAACATCAGGGTTGGTTGTGTGCTTCGACGTAGGTGAAAGGTACGCTAACATATGGTAGATGACGCTGGCTCTGCATGTCGTGGCGCGATCAATATGCGTATTGCAAAGCTTAATATGGATCCCCAGGACAAGACCCGATTTGAGATTCAAGGAAAATCCTCTGTCAAGTATCACCTGAAGGCGAATCACGTTGTGGAAGCCAAGAGGTGGTTTTGGGCATTGAATAATGCCATTCAGTGGGCAAAGGATGAAGCGAAGGAAGACGACCGGCGACGGACGAGAGATGCTGAGGTTCTACGACAGGCAAGGATGGACCAATTTGGACAGGTACAGGATAATCAAACCGACACGGGAAGTTTCACCAGTGGCAAGGGCAACGGGAAAACACTCGCCCCTCCGTCCTTGGGCCTCACACCTAGCGGATCGAAACTAAGTCTCCAGCCTTCCAGAGGCGCCTCAGAAAGCGGCGTCGGGGATGAAGAAGGGTCGGTCTCCATTGCCCTTGATCCCACGTACTCGCAGCCTACTATCGACCGTATTATCAGTCAAGCCACTATACCCGCTGAAGGCGATGTGGATGATGACGACTATGGTGATTACGATAGCAGTCGGGAAGTCAAACCATCGAACAAGGACGCGTTCAACATTACAGCACAGTCTGTGAAACTGCAACTAGATCTCTTGGGAACTGTCTCAGCTGCGTTACAGGCCGAAAAGGAGAAAAGTCCTAATACGACAATTTCAGATCCGTCTATAACCCAAGCCTTAACTACCTATGAAGGAGCAGTTAGCAATTTGAACTCCCTTGTACTTGATCTACTTAAGATCTCACGAGATCGCGATGCTTACTGGCAATATCGCCTGGAGAGAGAAGCCGATGCGCGGAAAATGTGGGAAGATAGCATGGCTCGTATAGCGCAAGAGCACGAGGAGCTTCAGAATAGAATGGGAGAGTCAGAAGACAAACGCAAACGAACAAAGAAGGCTTTAAAAGAGGCCTTAGAAAGCGCATCTACAGTCCCCAGCTCAGGTCCTTCACACGTCCAGATATCAGACGTGGTCGAGGTTGTTAAGGAACTGGCTTTGGACAAAGAATCAATTCAGTCTAAGCCAAGTGGTCATGAACTGGTGCGTAGGAGGTCGATCTTGGATGAAATAAGTGCTCTGTCAGAGAGTGAGGAGGAAGAGGAAGAGTTCTTCGACGCAATTGATGCTGGCGAGGTTGAAGTTGTTATTCCTCCAAAGCCGGAAGAGGTACCGCCTGCCGATTCTGATGTTCGAGCTCTAAAACAATTAGAGATTGAGCCGTCATACAAGGGATATGAGGACCCAATACGCAAACGTCTAAAAATGGACGATGACAATCGACCAAAAATTTCGCTCTGGGTAAGCCAAACTTGACACTTCATCTGGCTATCCTACTCACATTTGATCATTTTAGGGCATTCTTAAATCGATGATTGGAAAGGACATGACCAAAATGACGCTCCCTGTTTCATTCAATGAGCCCACCTCGTTACTTCAGCGTGTGGCAGAAGACATGGAATACACCGATCTCCTCGATGTCGCCGCCGATCGGGCCAATTCTTTAGAGCGTATGATTTACGTTGCCGCATTTGCGGCCAGTGAGTATGCTTCGACAATTGGACGTGTTGCTAAGCCATTCAACCCACTTCTTGGGGAAACCTATGAGTACGTACGGCCAGACAAAGGTTTCCGCTTCTTCATCGAACAAGTCAGTCATCATCCACCGATTGGTGCCGCCTACGCAGAGTCGGCCAAATGGGATTATTACGTGAGTGTCTCTTTTATGCTACCTATAGGAGACACGCCTTAACATATTTGTCTCCAGGGCGAATCAGCTGTAAAGTCAAAGTTTTACGGTAAATCTTTTGATATCAATCCGTTGGGTACTTGGTTTTTGAAACTGCGCCCGGTTACTGGTGGCGAAGAGCTTTACACTTGGAAAAAAGTCACTTCCTCGGTAATTGGCATTATTACTGGGAGCCCGACCGTGGACAACTATGGTCCGATGACGATCAAGAACTGGACAACCGGTGAGGTTTGCAACCTGGACTTCAAGCCACGTGGCTGGACGGCATCATCCGCCTACCAGGTTACCGGCAAAGTTTTAGATCGGGATGGTGTTCCAAAATGGAGTATTGGCGGGCGTTGGAACGACAAAATTTATGCACGACACACACCAGGATATCACGAACCAGTGTCAGCACCGCAAAACGACGCATCGGCCAATCCGGATTCAGCGCAAGCCTTCTTAGTTTGGCAAGCGAATCCACGGCCGACTGGGATTCCGTTTAACCTCACACCTTTCGTTGTCACTCTTAACGCGATACCAGAGAGCTTAAGACCATTTTTACCTCCTACAGATACCCGTCTACGGCCAGATCAACGTGCCATGGAAGACGGCGAATATGACTTTGCAGCCACAGAAAAACACCGTGTCGAAGAGAAACAAAGAGCTAAGCGCAGAAAACGTGAGGCCAAGGGCGAGGAATTCGTCCCCAAATGGTTCAGCAAGGGCAGATGTGGCGTCACTGGGGAAGAATACTGGGTTTATGGCGGAAAATACTGGAAATGTAGAGATACGGGTGATTGGAGCTTGTGTGAAGATATTTTTTAAGAAACACTGTCCAGAGGGATTTATTGTTGCCCTACGGAATGGGTTTCTGCGAGATTGCATTCTGTGGTAGTCATAGCATGGGCACCGTTTTCGTGAAGCCATTTTGTGAACCGCAATTGGCGAACTTGAGTGACAGATACATGGCCCATTCGGCTAATATAACATAGCACGTATATAGGTCAATACCCATCTCATCGTTGTGGACTTGAACGGTGCTTTGTCTACAGAATTGAGCTTACAATCTGGCCCAGCTCGGGGCTTGCCGGGCAGCCAACAGAAGTGTCACGTGATCATGCTCTGGGCCGACCTGAGATCTGCTGAATATCGTCGCAAAGAAAAAGTGGGTGAATATCGGTCAATTACCACACTCAACAATTCCATGACAATGGTGGTAGAATTCACCTGTCAAAGGTGTGCTCAGGCGCTCCGCCTTGGAATCAGAAGCCATGTTCCCACAGCCAGGATGAAATCGATCCCTAACACCCGGTCTTATCACTCGAACACCATTTTCTCTGGACGCCGAAAGCTCCAGCCCAGCATCAAGCATGGATATGTCAACGTTCAGGGCCAGATAAAAGGAATCGCGTCTGCTTCCAGATCTCAAGCTACCGATGCACCCTCTTCTCAAATCCAGACAAAACGTCAGGCGTCCAGATCTGAGTTCGAGCGGCCCATCCTCCGTGCGAATAACCTCTTCCACTCCTATACAAACTCTCCTTCTCCGGAGATCAGACGTCGCGCGGCATTCATCAAGCAAAATGCATTTTGTCCTCATCCCAACCACCGGCAAACACGCGTTCCGCAGTCTCCGCATGACTCCGAGTCTAGGAAAACCTCCGACGCAACCAGTCAAGAGCCAGCCCCTGCACAGTTCGAATGTCCCGACTGTGGGGTCCCGGTATACTGCTGTGAAGAGCACTGGATGGATGATTTCGAAGCACATTTGGAAGTGTGCGAGACAATTCGACAAATCAATGAGGACGACCATGATTTGGTTTCGGGTCGATTTTTTACAGAGTTTGACTATCCCGGCCGACAGGATGACGATTTCGTAGTTAATATGACGAATTGGGATACATTCTTGTATACGAGGGAGTTTAATGCGGTAAATGATGATAGGTGTATGCGGCAGGTTACGAGACTATTGACATATCCGGTGACTATTGCGAGTGTATTGCATGAGCTAAGCCCCTATGATATTCGGAACAATGGGAGACTCACGACAGAGGGATTAAAGAGTCTTGCTGGTTAGTATACGCAATAGCAAAGCCAGTACCCTGTTTATGAAGTTACTAATGTAGAAATCAGCCCTCCGATATACCCTTCATCCGCCGAAAACAGGTGAAGGAACGGATATGTCGGGCCTACGACTCCATGCTCCGCCAGTTAGAATATTCGTTCTCGGAGCCCGTGCCGAGTCCTCTCTTCCACGAGACGTCTGGTTACAGCTCACATACCTCTTCCCAAGAGCAAGCATCAATCTCATCTTCATCGGCCCGGAAAGCATGGCAAACAGAGATGACGAATTCCCACTCCCGGAACGAACTCCGAGCAATCCCTTCGGCGGCATCGTAGAAGACCGTTTAGGACCGCAACTCAAGATAACAACATATGTGGACTACTTCCATACCATGCATCGCGCAAACATGTTCCAGCCCTATGATCCTTACTTTGACTGCTTCATGCTTTTCCATCCTGGTCTGGGTCACCCTGCAAGCTCACACGAGTGGGAAGAAACATTGCCCCACCTCCTTGAAACAAAAGTACCCATTCTCTGCACGGGATACACTGAATGGGATATGCAGAGAGACCTGAATTGGGTGACAGAGAAATGTGCCGGTGAATTCGATATCCTCCTTGAGCCGGGAGAGAATAGGTTCCGGAGCTTGAGATGGGATCTGAACGATTTAGATCCGCATGATGTCTCTGCCGGAAACTGGGGTGTTTGGGGTTTTAGAGGAAAGAGGTATGCTTTCGGGCTTTCTGTTCATTGTTCCTCACACTCCTATGCTAACCATCTTCTTCTGTTCAGATACGAGGCTACCCTAAAAGACTAGATCCTTTTCATTTGATTTTTAGTTTGGAGTACAGGGAGGACATCCAGTTCTACTTCGGGACTTATGAAGGTCTCTTTGTCGCATTGGGGCACCGTGAATGTATTGTAATTGGCTTCCTTATGCATGTATATTACCAGCTCCCCTCTGCCTATAGCCAAATGCTATCCCAACTTCAACAGCGGTTGTTTAAAGCTAATTTTGCATCATCTGACTACTGTGAATATCATTAACCATAGCAATATACTGCTCGACGTGATCATGAGGAGCATCATAATAATACATATGTACAAGACCCGACACCACCTTGTTTACTATCCTTGCATCAGATTAAGGCGACGAAGCAGGATCCAAAAAATCACAAGCATGGAGACAACATTTCGAATGCGACTGCAAGCCGAGTTGCCTCTGCCCAAAAAAAAAAAAAAAAAAAAAATGGGTATAAGCCATTTAGCGAAAGCGCGGGTATCGTATCTGGCGAACGTAGGACGGAGCACAGCAAAATAAACAAGAAATAAAACATCAAATCCCCTCCCTATCGCGTAGTTACATGCCTCGAGTTCTGACTTAGAGGAGCGTCACAGTCGCCAGGACGATTGCTACCATGGACCAATAACCGCTCAACTTCAGAAGATGCGGCAACATAAGCCCGGGGGCCATGTTGGTCGATTCTCCGGAGGGAGCGGTAGTCCCGTTGGGCAGAGTGCCATTAATATAAATTCTTGTTGTGCCGTTGACCTCCACAGTCTTGACGATGGAAGAATTGCGTGGCAGCCCGTTCTGATCTGTGTCGTTGAGTATGGACTGGATATAGGTGCTATTGTTATTATCATCGCATCCGCACACGGAGTATTGTTGGCACAGGCAGATGATCGGGATGTTCTCGTCCATGCCACTCGTGCGATTGCGCCAGTTGAAGTCATGATTGGACTGATAGGCGTAGGCTCCGAATAGCCAAAGCCCCGGGAAAAAGGCGAGCAGCGCCACTGGGAGGAAAAATGGCAATAAACCGGTTGGAGATCGCCTGCCAGCTGTGTAGGGAACTTCCGCACCTCCGGCGTAATTGTTGCCGCCGCCGTAACTACGAGGGCTACCGGATCCTCCGGGCGACGTGCCACCGGCATTGCTGGAATGCGGAAATAATCCATCGTCAGCTTTTCGAAGTCCAAATCTATCGCACTGATCGAGCCTTTGTAGGACTAGAATAACGCACCTTGACGGTCTACTACCCGGGCTACTAGCACCACCTCTGCCGCCGGGGCTTCCGCCACGCCCACCACCCCCCGAACGACCTCCAGATCCTCCACCGCTGCGGCCTCCGCCTCCACCTCGTCCTCCTCCACCTCGTGCTCCTCCTCCTCCACCTCGTCCTCCTCCTCCACCTCCGCCACCCCTTCGCTTCTCCAACACAGGCAGTTTAGGAGCGTCGATCACGGGCGCATAGTGGCCGCTTGCCTCAGCTTCTGTTCGACTGAGGTCCGTCCGGAGGACTCTGCGTGATGTGACGGAGAGCGAGGAAGAGAGGAATAGGAGCAAGCCAAGCGTAAAGCTCGATTTTATTTTCATACTGTCAGTATTTCGCGTATGCGCGCGGCATGCAAGTATGCGCCCAATGGTTTTGCAAGAATCGTAAGCACTCCAATCCTACAGCCACAGAATATGTAGTTACTTGGAAAAAAAAAAAAGGAAAAAGAAAAATGTTCGTTCATATGTTGCACCCTGATGAGCAAATTGTGGACAGTAAAGCAGGATATGTTGTTGGAAACAACAAGCAATGCCTGTTTTTAAATGACAAAACAAAGCTCTCGCTCAGTGAGCGGTCAAGACAGGGCCGTGTTGCGGACAGCTTGCGGCCAAGGCGGCGATGCAAACTCAACTCTCTTTGTTCCTCCGAAGCTCAAACTTACCGCGGCGTGGCGAAGCGCAAGGTTGAACCTGGCCAAGCGCAACACGGGGGCGTATCGCGGGTGATGACGGCCAAGCTTCCAATTCGGATTCCAGAAAATGTCAAACAGCACCGCTAGCTTGTCAATAAGTTACCATTCAAGTTAAAAACAACTCTACTGACTGTTCTACATACATATGTGTGATGATCAGGTGCTAGGATTTGGCACCAACTACGGAGTACAGATTGCAGAGGCAGATTTTCAAGTTGCTCATGCATGAAACAAGGCCTTTTGAAGGGCCATCAGCGTCAGCCATGTGGTTAAGCCTGTCATGACCATCTCAGGTTGAACTTTATGCTCCATTTCGGGGCTGAATACCGACAAATTGCACCGCTGTAGGCATGCGAGTAGTCCATAGACGCTGCTTGGAAACAAGATCCTTTTTAACGCCTGGACTATCCCGACTTCTCGATAGATCACTAGAGATTGTAGGGAGTAACAGCTTCATCATTGCAGCCCACTGCTCAACAAAATCAAAATAGTTCCCCCTGAAAGGCCAACACAGCGACCACCCGAGTGATCGGGCAAGGCGGCCACGAAAAAGATTGTTATCCCCACACTTGACCTCCATCGAGACCCGCATACCCCGTAATCTGGCTCCAATTCAATATAGAAAACGAATACTCTGTGCAGCCCATACAGGGAAAATTCAACCTCGAATGCATGCGCCCTGCTTGCGGGGGCACATCAGGTGAAGAGGGATCCCTCGTATTTCTTCCCGTCTTCACCACAAAAAATTGGTCATAGATGGTTGAATATACAAATAGGGATGGTCTGAGGCATAGCCGAGTTAGAGTGTGATCGTCGAGTAAGCAAACTTATGTTGTATATACGTACCTTATGAGGCTCTTTCGTGCTTAAAAGAAATATAATCCACAGGCTTTGATCTACATCATCGGATTGATGTCGAGGAAGCATGTGGACATGCTTAGCGACTAGGATAAATACCAGATTGCCAGGTGTTTGCCGTCAGTGGTTTTGAAAGCAGTTCGATTCTGAATCATATCATTCCCTTGTCACTTTTAACTCGAGCTCTCACAGGAAGATGGTAAAGGTTAAGTAGTTGGATGTCCGCCAGTATGGAATCTACCTTACTCACTTCTATGGCTTATCGACGCGCTCGATCATATTTAACAAGGTCAACGGCCACAAGCAGGGAGGTGCATCATTTCACATGCAATAAGGTACGCTACCTGCTACCCTCTTAGACAGTGCGATTTAGTGACCTTTTTTGGGTGGGTGGGGCAGTGTATCTCAACATGGCTAAGTAAAAAACGGGGATATCTAACTGCCAGGTATCAGGACTTATGCGGACCGCTAAAATAACTTTCTGCTGGTTTATAAAGCCGAAGGAAATTCATCCCGTCAAGGCCTTGGCGGCACATAGTTCCCTAGAGTAAGGTAAAGCCATACTCGAGACCGAGGCTGTAAGCACAGATGCTCGGGATAACGGCATCAGTTTTAGATGAAGGCCCTGAAGTCGAGGTGCTGAGCAAACAAGAAAATCTCTCGAAGTGCATGGATGAACCGTTGATTGCTTGATTGAGAATGGGAGGCTCAGTACGGAGTAGAGAATGCCTAATTCAAGAATGTTCGCAACGGCTTGGTATAAACGTATGGATGCCCCGCTCTCAAATAGGCTGGCATAGAGCAATTTTCCCTCAAGGATAACCGAGTTACTTGAGGGCGAATAACTTGGACGTTATGCAGATCGTTGACCCAGGGGACGATGATGCTTTTTCGAAACATCATCGTCGAGCTCCTTATCAAAAGGTACCCTCAAGGATACAGAAAATAGAATTATGGACTAAAGAAATACACAAAATAGGAGCTGCTTCGCGTAGGGGAGAGAAAAGTGCCGTCAATGTAAAGGTCTAAGGATGACAAGAAAGATAGTCAGTCCCCTGACATCTTCAAGTGCAGTAAAACACTCCACAAATTGGTTGATTGAGCAAAACCCCAGAAATTTTCACATAGCCCACCACAAGATGTTGCATTAAAGACTTCTTGACCGTCGTTATTCTGTCCTGTTGAAGACTTCAAGCATGGGTAGTTTGTCGTGTCGATGTGGCAATAATAAGTTACAAACAGAACAAACATGTCATTTCTTCCAAATCAATCTCTCGTCGCCTTTGCGGACGAAAAATTCAATTTGTTTTTGTCTCTGCACTGACTGACGGGACTCACGCTGCTGGCTTACTGAGCCAGTGACGATGTGCCGACTCTGATTAGGCGTAATTATCACATCTTTCAAGCTCTCTTCTTATTCTTGACTTGCTGCGAATCACTGACGTCTCTAGCAAGCCAACCGAACCTTTCAATTCACTACGGAGTACAAATGTCGCAAAAGTACGGAGTAGCCTTCCCCGATAACTGACGCTGAGTCGTATACATCTTCCATGGAATCGATTTCAATAGCCAACAAAAGCGAATGCAGTAGCCTTTATGAGGGTTGTTGCGATCACACGATCATCGAATATCTTTACACATAGGAGCAATTCTTCAAACTCGGCTGCTCTAACGCAGGTTTCCCATTACCTTCTGCTCGTTGAGTGGAGCGGCTAAAGGGACAGCGTCCTTACGAGCCCTTTCATTTGAAAGGACAGCGAACACATCTGCCCGTTTTGTGCACGTGTAAGCTGGAGCTGGGTGAGAAACAAAGGCAGACCCCTTTTGTGAATAGTGGTCTTTCGAGTTGCGAGAATAAAAATGGAATTGAAATGTCTCTAGCAAATCGATTCCATTAAGAGCCTTCATAGTTCGTGCTATTTGCTCTTCTTGGTCCTTCGCGGGACCAAATCCCATAGAGAGCATGACTCCTTGCGCTTCTACATTCCAAGCAATCGTATGTCTGGTTTTGCCAATCCAATTCCAGTCTAATTTTGTATATATATACACATCCAGCTATGAAAACACAAGTTCTATATGGCGCATATCTCAGAAAAATCATCACAGCTTGCTTGATTTGGCCCCGGATTGTTCCTCGTCAGGAACTTTAACAACCACCTTTCCCCATGTTTCCCTACCCCCAAGAGCTTGTAACGCCCTCGGTACGGACTCGAGGCCAACAAAGGTTTCGTCTTTGAAGCTGGTCCCTTTAAACTTTCCTTCCTTCACCAAGTCAAATATTCCCTTCCAGACGACACCGACGGTTTCTTTTTCGAAATTTGCATACTGGCCCCAGTGCAGCCCAACAAGACTTACATTTTTCAACAGTACACGGTTCAACGCGACCTTCTCGATACTTCCTGCCGCAAATCCGATAACGAGCAATCGTGCATTCCAGGCTACGCACTTTAGGCTCTGATCGATCATACCAACAGGATCGTACACAATATCGACGCCAGCCTTTCCATTACCTGTTCGGTGTTGCGCACAAAGCTTCTTCACGGCATCAGGCCATTTGGGTTCCCGATAATTGATCGTGTAATCGGCTCCAAAACTCTTGGCAACCTGTCGTTTCCTCTCCGTTCCCGCTGTAGCGATTACTGTAGCCCCTTTCGCCTTGGCAATTTGCACTGCGGCGAGCCCAACGCCACCCGCAGCCGCGTGAACAAGGACCCATTCACCCTTCTGCACGTTGGCACGATGTACAAGGCCACCATATGAAGTGGGCGCTGTGATAAATAGCCCTGCGGCATCTTCGAAGCTCCATCCCTCTGGAACGGGGAGTAACGAGCGCTCCGTTGCTACTATGTGTGTAGCATATGCGCCTTGGCTGGCGCCAAAGACGCGATCACCAACTTTGTATTTCGGAGATTTGTTGCCGCTAGGGGTACTGAGGACTGTGCCCGCAAACTCCGCGCCGGAAATCCATGGAAGTGGCGGCTGATTCTGGTATTTGCCTTGAATCTGGAGAAGATCGAAGAAGTTGGTTCCAGCGGAATGGACTTGGATCAAGTATTGATCTGGGGAAGGAGAGGGAATCGGCAGGGTTGTGACCGTAAGGTCAAGGGGTCCCTACGTTAAAAAGTTATTAGGACAATGCTTTTTCAGATGCATCCCGGGATTGCAATGGTGCAATCATTCCCGTGTACGCACGCTCGGGAACTGATGTGCTTACCTTGACGTATTCTCTCACTTGAATCGCGCGCATTCTTCCCGAGTTGTTTCCGCTGAAAGAATTCTAAAAATTTCTTGAATGAAAATAATTGAAGCTGATGTTTCTTCCCTTTCCCGTTTTTACCTCAGATCGAAGTTGCCGCTCGCCCTTAAATGGTCTTGTCGCTGAAATTCTGATAAAGCTTGGTTATCGCGCACGCGGGGAAGATGCCGAGGCTCACTGCCCCGGCGTTCTGGTGAATGGCCCCGGGAAGCGCCATAATAAGCGGCGTGCCGGCTAAAATTTCCCTAGAGCACGGAGTACACCAAGCTCATTCGGAGAATAAGCGCATTGCTGAAACCATGATGAAGATAATGTTTAACAGGTATGGCAATGTCATACTGATTCTCTGAAGAAATTGATTTCCATATTCTATCGCTGTTGGAAGGCTGGTCGCAGCTGAGTGTACTTCAGGAAAAGATGAACTGCTAGAAAATCCATCATGAGGAGGCATAAAGTAGCATGACCATGACAATAATTCAGGCCTCAAGCAGTCCAGAGCTCGAAATCTGCTCTTTCTTGAGCTCTTTGTTTGCTTATTTGTTTGTCTTGCCATGGTTAATGAGTCCTAGATGTCTGCAAAAAAAAAAAAAAAAAAAAAAGAAAGGAAAAAGAAAAAGAAAAAGCCGATGTATACTCCATACCTTTTCCTAATTTCAGGAGGACTTGCCGACAATTTACACCTGCATCATGCATATTTTGTTATCTGCTTGTCCCCCAAGCCCTTTTCTCCCTTTTCTATAGCTTCAAGTTCTCCTTCATGAGACTAGCATGACTGTTGCCATTTCAGCAAAATTCGTCAGCTTCTCCTTTCCTGAAACTGGACCGGCGTCTCAACGGCGCAGTTGACGTATACCATCACCAAGGAACTCGGCGAATTTCTATGACTGGGAAGGCATGTATGTTTAACACATATAAATCACAAATTCTCTTCTCCCGTTCCATGTTGCATGGACACCAAACAGCCGCACATCCCACCCTAACACAGTACCGTACTACCGTTTCGGCAGCTAGGACAAGGTCGGGCAACCTGTCGCGGTCGATTTGACTGGTGCGATGGTCAAATCAGCAGATCCCGCCCGCTACAGTGCTGAAGTATCTCAAAGATGATCTGTTCACCTCTTCAAATGCCAAGGGGTTCAACGAGTGGAAGGGTGTTCCAACATATCTCGAAGCAGGTTCTTGAGGCATTGAAAACGCTACATAAAAATGCCATGTGCACACGGGTCGGGATTAATGCCTGGATAAGCCGCTGAAAGTGCAACTAGCCTCTGATGCCAAAGATCGCCGGATATCAAAACGGGAAATGTCCTAAGAAATTGCACTCCATCTTCTCCTGAGTGCAAGTGGATACTGCAGATGGGTTCTTGCCTTCGAGGATACCGCGATGGATTTGGTTTGCTGATTTGGCCTGGGCTTGAAACCAGGTTGAGGCCTCAAAGGTGTCGCCTGACCGGCATATGGTCATTCGGGACAATGGCAGCTATTGCATAGCGTGCCTCAATTTTCCTAATAATTTTAATCATTAACAATTAATACTTCTCCATCTTCAAACCAAAGGTTCCCGGTAGCCATAGCGAATATGAGTCGAGATCCTTGCCAAATATAATATCAAATTTGGACCATATCTACCGTGATATGGTGACCTCACTGACTGGGGGCTTATGAGTGCTATCACTTATTGTGACTGATGTCCAGTCTAGATTGAGGCCTTTCTCACTGACGAGTCATCGGGGGTCGTCTTGAAGATAATGAATCTCGAGCAGAGGTCGGGCCCAACCGCAAAATAGTTGAAGGGCGATCCAATTGACTATGAGCGGAGCAGCAATTCGGCCGATTCATTGTTGTTATTGCCGGCTCTCAGTCAATCGATAAGGTTCACCAATATTTTATTTGAGATACCGTTACGTACGGAATATTGTGAGAGATTATTTATTCCCTTTCAGCTTCCACTAACCAGCAGGACCGTATGAAATATCCGCTCAACTGATCACGTATCATCGCATCATAAGGCCGACGGAATAGATGGGGATGATTTGGCCAGGACAATCCTTGTTGCCACCCTTTGATGACCAATAGGGTACGCATGGAGCACAATATGGAGTAACCAGGACCGGGAAAGCAAATCAGCAAATAGCACAGCCTAGCACTCCCCCCGGTGTTACAGACACTTAAAGAGACGCAGCCTTATCAGGGGGTCAAAGTCAAGTCTTCCATCATATACACCCGGTGCTCAGCAGGATACCTTCTTTGTCATTGCACGGAGGCTGTATGTAGGACTTAGGTAAGACTGTGGTGGAAATGTTCCTTGAATCATCAAGACCCATCAGCATAGGAATAAATGAATAAAGAAAGGGAGGGAAGAAGTAGGCAATTAACGAACGAAGCGCGTCCGCAGGTCACCAGTCGCACCCTTGGATATAAGTGACGGACACAATTGGTCAAGCCAATGCAAGAAGAATTTCTCCGCCGCGTAGAACTTGACAGATTTAGTAGCGTTGCCTTTAAGGAGGCTACTCACAAGTCAGAGGACAGTGAGGAGGAGGACGACGTGGGGAAGTTGAGGAACTCGCCTGGAATCTTAACCTGTTTGTCGTTGGTTGACTACCGAGGCTTTTTTGACGGGTAAAGTTACTCTTCGACGTCGATGATGGTGACACGAATGACAGGATGCTTTGTTTAAAGATCATGCAAGACCACCATCAGTTGCTCCATGATTTGGGACTTTCCAAGTTGATATTCTTGCGCCGGTAAGTCTTTTCTATATAATTCTTGCTTCTAAAGGAGAACAAGACAAATGTTCAGATGTCCAAATAGCCCTGGAAACTGCCTGTTAAACGCAGGCCAATATAAGAAGAATGTGCAAGTTAGAGTGAAACAGATCATCAACAAGAAGCAGATCAAAGGCGCCATTTAACTCCTTGTTTTCTCCATTGCCTCCCGATCCGCCCGCCCCGTCCCGTCGGATAAAGAAAATGTACACCTGCCCACATGTATCTCTATACCTTGTTGTCAAAAGGGAAAAATGCAAAGGACAAACTACCCATTCAAGACAGGAAAAACAACAAAAGAAAATTCACAAAGAAGGTGGTGCTAGTATCATATACAAGCGAAGGATGGACTCATCTCTGGTAGATGTCCAGGGCCGATGACGTTGGGAGCATATACTCATGTTGGCCGTCGAAATGTGTACCACTATGAACCGGCTGATCAACAAGAGGAGGATGTGCAGCTTGGGAAATCAGTGTATTGTGGGAGTATATCTGGTTGGCATCCCAATTCTGCGAGGGCGGTGGTTTTCCGTCCGGTTTAGGTTTTCGAAACCTAGGACGACGATTCGAAACTCGAGCGGCACCCATAAAATTATCCGGAGGGCCCGAAACTGCTGATGGTCGTTTCCAGACGAGTATACCAGGTTCTGAATCCAGATCTTCGGTATCGCAGGGCGCAATTTCACCGAAACATGGGTAAATAGTGGTGCTTTGATCGTGTATTGACGACTGCCCGCCATGAGATGGAATATAAGCAGAATTTGCAACTTGGTAGTATGCATCATCAGAGAAAGTGGGTTGAGATTGTTCAGGAGAGGCATAACTCCTTGAATTCGGTGTTAGAAGGGAAGGGGATGTTCGGTGGGGGGCTGTGCCGTGGTGTTGCTGCATATGTGGTGAAACTCCAGCTGCATAATGAGCAGATGGATTAAAAGGTTGAGACGGCGCCGCTGGATTGACCATTCCACTGCCGATACTGGAGTTCCCGATTGAACAGGGAACCGAGAATGCATGTCCAAATGCATCTCCCGAGGGGTCGTAGGAAAACGGAGGGTGGGGCATTGGGTGAAGGGTGCTGGTGCTCCCGCTCATTGCGATACTGTTCGACGGGATCGAAAAAGTCCCTTGCATTTCATCGCTTTGCAAAACCACTGGGTTTCCCAACTGATAATTCTGGCTGGGTCTTTGGGGATATGTCCAGCCTTCGTTGTTTTCCTGACCCGTGGACCCATGCATCTCGCGATTCAAACATGGTGTTAACTTTCCGACGACCTCCTGAGACTGTTCCACCTTCACAACCTTCGACTCGGTCGCTTTGTTCGAGGTCTTCTTTCGTTTTTGTCGAGATGGCTTTTTCACACCCCATTTCTTTAATCGACTGCGAAGTTGCGTCTCACTGGAACGGGTCAAATTGAGAAACTGGCAAATGCTTGTGAATGTTCTCAGCAGGAATGGGCTTACGTTGGGTCAAAACTCTCGCTGCGAATCTTCTTCATGACTTGTTTCAGTGGCCATTCCTCAACTTCATACAAATTTGATATTTCGTCTTTCTTGCTGTCCCACACATCTGACGGAATTGTCTTTTTCATCTTGTTCCTGTGGAGCCGTGAAGTGTGACATTAGCCAGCCTGACACGAGTCGGTGTATCGGTCAGCGCTGATTTGGCGACGTCGAAGCCGTGATACGTCGCAAAAGTCGCTCGACTTTGAATTAATTTTTTCGAAAGTCCGTGCCGCCGAACCGTCAGGATGGAATTTGCAAAAGATCCAAGGCCAGAGTTGACGACTTTGGCCTCTGCAACGCGCAGGTCAGAGCTTTAACAAGGGCTAGGCCGTGCTTATCAAAGACTCGCAGTTTTCCTAGCCTCAAGCATAAGCAGTTAGTATTTACAGGGATAATGAAGAACCGCCACAAGCACCGGGTATTCCTGGTGAAGACGGAGCAGTTATGGATTTGATTTTCTCTTGTGCAATGCTTCCTATTCGCCATTTGACCCTAAACGACATGCACTATTATTTTCAGCCAATCCCAGGGACATGCAAGTCCCCTTCACAACCATCCCCGGATGACAGGACTCCTCTGCGCCGCTACAGATCCAATGACGACTCCTTCATGAGAGAAAGTCCCTGTGAATGATGGATATTCGTGGATGAGCGGCTCTCGCATCAGTATCGCTCAGGGAGCAGCGTATGCTCTCCGGAAGCACGGTCTGTTGAACAGCGAATCAAGTTGCATTATTTCTGAAGGTTCAGCTAGTTGCCTTTGGGAAGGAGATTGAACCTGCCTTCTAAGGTATGGGGCGGGAATATGTTGATTATCTCCATTCGGCGTTTTGTTAATCATTGTCTTTAGTTAAAGTAGCCATTATCACTGCATCAGCCAAGCAACACACATGACCAGGTAACACTCGCTAAGTTCACAAATTCAGATCCCTGTTTGCCAACCGCACCCTTAGCTCAGGGAGCGACATTGGATTTTGGGGGCAAATTGGTCCCTTCAAAGGCCGGGGATCCCCCTTCGTCACGCTGCTAAGCTTGATGATACGTCAGAAACTCTGGTAGCCCCAATAATAGTGTAGAAATGTGGTCCCAACGGATTGGTATGGCCCTTGTAGTTGCAGGACGCTTGACTCTTTTGATTAGTGAAGGTCACAAGAAATGCCCAATCTCCACGGGGTGCCGCTCGCGCGCATCTCCGCTTCCCGTATCCAAGGGAAAGGAAAAGGATATGAACCGTGAAGAACTTTGAAATATGGAGCTAGCCATCACAGTAAGCGGCCACTTCATGGGAAAACACGTTTGCGTTGATGGGGATGACTTAAACGTCTTTTCGTTTTGCTCGAGATGCGCACGCCATCCAAAGAGCACATGAACAATCATCACGGACCCCTCCAGTCTATCTCCGCCAGAAGACATATGTAGTCCATTATGTTGGCGTGCCTTTTGATACTCTATACAGATTACGCATTCCAAATCCCTAATAATTTGACTAGTCAACCAAAAGCAATCCCCGACAGAATATCTCGTCATTGGTAAAATGGTGGAAAGCTCCTGAAATATTCGAAGAATCTAGGAATATTGGACCCTGACTCAATTGTTTCACATTTTCTTCCGTACGAAGCACACAATGCATTCACCACATGGCAGGATATAACCTTGAGCGCTCTAGTCCTCTCTCCGAGCATCAATCGCTGGCCTGTGCTCTCTGGAGCAGACGTTACAGCTTTAACAGTCTAGCCGGCATTCTAGACCTACCGAATTTTCTCTACCTGAACGGCCAAATGATAGTGAGGATTGTTTAAGACTTTTTTATACAGGGGCTTTCCATGGATAATTTATTTTTTCAAACATGACAACTCTCAGTACACCGGCTCTGCTGAAGAGAGGTAACCTGCATACATGTGGCACGCACGCCTACGCGCTAGAGTTTATAGAAAATGACTTTAATATCGGTCGGGCGGTGAAAGAGATGTCACCGGCGAGATAAAATGGTTGCTGGACGAAACAGCAGGGCTGTCTTGTTGGTAGCACATTTGTGTACAGTACTTTTGCGTCGCATGCTCAACAGGATTTCTAGGAAGCAGAAGGTCAGCATAATTCAGAGGATGATTGTCGGTTGGAGACCGATCATTAATCTATTCATTGGTTGAAGCTTCTTGTTATGTTGATCGAAGAGCGAAATATCTGTCTCTTGAGCGCCCTGAGCAGGATTCGGATCGCTGCCGCAGTAGTATGATCATGAGGTGTGCCCTGGCGACGGCCTCCCGTGTTTGCAAGTTATTGGGGGCCATGGCGATCAACAAGATTTTGGTCTGGGGTATCCCACAGCGATCCTTGACTTGGAGTGGTGCGTCTTCGTGGGTAAACTCCTCATGGCGGCGGAGGTGGCCTGCTCCTACCGCTACTGATGGCATGGCCCCTCCTCTTGCCAGCCCCTACTACTCCGTAGAGTATGGGGAGATTATGTGGTCCAGGCCGCCGCTTACGCGCCATGAACCCGAATTGATTCGCAATGGCGATTCCACGGGTGAGTCTGGAGTCTGATTCTACACCCAAGATGTCGGAACGGATCAGCGCCAGGAGAACCGACTAAATTAGGATGGCTGGAGATCTTGCGTTTGAGGATTTGCCAGCTTCTTACTCCGTACGGAGTACGGAGTTCTCTGTACGGAGTACAAGGATAAGTTTCTAATTCCTCCGAACGCAGTTGGATCTAATGAGCTAACGCACCAATCCCGGCATTGCAGGAGTTGGAACTGATAACTCTTTCGGAGGATTAACGGCAAGCGAAGGAACTCGAACAACACGGGCGGGATCACAGCGTCACGCCTAGCTCAGATAGAAATGAAACGGGAGCATAATCCGAGACGGAGCGCGAGCATGGGATATGCAAGATAATATGTAAGCGATGACAAACATCATTGCCGTTCAACTTTCTTGAACCGAGGGGTCAAAGGGGACATTTGGGGTTTCTCACTCCTCTTGAAGGCGCGAGGCGACCCAAGCCATTGGAATAGCTGCATATGACGGGTCACATTCCCTGGGATTCCAACGTGCCTCTTCGCTCGGCAGCAGCGCCATCGAGCACGATGGTGAAAAGGCGTCGCGGATGAGATCGATGGGTCCCTCCCGCATGGCCAATCATATCTCCGATTTCTTGCCAGCCGGTTCTGCAAAGTATTTACGGAGTGCTCCGTACCCCGTGCATATTAAAATTGGCTTGCTTTGGCGGGCGTTCGACGTTGGTTCGGCGCAGAAGCGGGAATTCTTCACCTTATTAAGCTGGGGAGCCAATTGTTTTTAAACACTAAAGATAATTATTACTCTGATGAGATTTCCTTCGCCAAAAGGCTAGAGTTCATTAGTCACTAACAATACGGAGTACAGGCAACATGTATATTTGCAAGTCTCCAAAACATCAACGTTCAATGAAGCGAGTCAAAAAAAAAAAAAAAAGAAAAAAAGAAACAAAAACCCATACACCGTTCATGCCAAGTCCCCATGTCCCTATAATAATTGAAAAGCATGCTAAAACAAGACCACCATTACAAAGCGTGATTTTGGGATAAAGTAAAATAGGAGTTGGGAAGCGCAAGAAGAGGAAATAAGGTTCGCTCTCGGCAGTCGTTATATAATAAGTGGCCAAAGCGCCGGGTCCGCTGTGTCTTCAACGCAAACCCCGGAAGCTTCGCGGACCCTGGGTCCTAACCCAAGTAAGGAGTAGATCTTCCCTTTTCACCGCCCGTTTCTCTGAGATGGGACAGGAAGAGGCACAGAATTATAGGTGAGGCTAGGCTATCGGTGCCGTTTTACGCGATGTTCCTTGCCTCTCTTTGACTTCTTTCTGCTCTTGTCCGGCGGCAGGACTAGCGGCTCGTCCTTAACGTTCCATTCCATAAAGCGGATCAGATAGTCGTCAATGTGGCCAACTGTTTCGTCAGCCACACCATCCGTAGCCGCGACAGACGAAGGCATAGGCACAAATGGAGTACCCGGGCCCTCACTCTGCGGGGCCGTTGTCGTTTCATCTTCGACGATCTCACTCGGTCTGGGCGTCCCTGCTTGGCTTTGACCGGTCTGACCAGGGGTTTGCGGAAGACTACTTTCAGCGAAATCAACGTCATCAACGTGCTCCAATTCCTTTTCAGCTGTTTTTGCAGCGTCAAGGTCTTCTTTATCTTCTGCTTCCTCAAACACCTTTGGTACATTGCGGACTTTGGTGTCGAGAACCCTATCCATCGCCGCACTTGCTTCGTCCTGTCCGTCTAGAATGTCCTCACCAATCACATCACGAACATCAAATTTCTGAAAATAGTCTGTGGTGAATTCTCCTTCTTGGATGACGACGTCATCAAGCATTCTCTTCTGATTGGCTTTGCGTAGAATATTTGATTCGATCGTGTATTCTGAGACGAAGCGATAGATGTGGACATCGCGGGTCTGACCAATTCGGTGGCATCTGTCTTGACATTGCTTGTCCATAGCAGGATTCCAGTCCAAGTCGTAAAAGATGACCGTGTCTGCTCCCGTGAGATTTATTCCCAATCCACCAGACCGGCTGGACAGAATGAAAACTAAGATCCGTGGGTCGTTATTGAACCGTTCTGTTAACATTTGCCGCTGTTCAATCTTGGTGGCGCCGTCCAAACGTAAATAACGATGGCCATGTACATTGAGAAATTGTTCAAGAATGTCGAGCATCTTTGTCATCTGAGTAAATATCAAAGCACGGTGGCCACCAGCTTGAAGTTGCCTGAGAAGCTTATCTAGTTGTTGAAGTTTGCCACAATCATACTGCAATAGTCGTTTGTCGGGGAATGCGATGGACAAACGCATCTGTGCTTCATGGAAGGGGTCATATGAAGGAACACGCTGTGAAAATGAGAAGTAGCGAGACTTGACTGGGGTCAAAGCAGCCGCAGTTACATCCGGGGATACAACAGCGGGAGTGATGCAGGCGAATTTCTGCACAAGAGGTTCCACGACACGAGACCTCTCTGCCAGCGAGAGTATCATGGACTCGAGTACAGAAGATTGCCGTGAGAGCCAATCGATGAGCAGCCGTCGTTGTGGTCGTCGCTGAGCTGTGGGCTTGGGATTCATATCTATTGTAAGGAAATTAATCAAGCTTTCTCCGTAGACAGGGCGTCGGCCATGACGTTTTGATTCGAAGTATAAACATCGTTCGAGTTCTCCCATTCTTTGCTTGCGAGATGCATTTTCCATTGAATCCAAGACTGATTGTATCGAAGACCCATTAAAATCCATTGACCAGTTAGTGCGATTGTATTGGCGCTCACGCAACATCCTGAGCGGATTGTACGCCATGATTCTCGTCGCATCATCCACTAGTCCTTTAGACGTATCTTCTCTTGAAATTGGCACCAAATTGAGGAAATCCAGATCAAGTTTGTCTAGTGGATCTTCGTACAAAAGTCGACGGCGTACTAAAAGATTTTTGATCTCGAAATCCGCTATCGTGGAACTGGTCATGGCAAACGATGTCGTAATTGGGCGGGTTTCAAAGAGGTCAGGGTGATTGCACACTTTCCTGAGCTGCATTAGACAATTGATGATGGATAGGTAATTCCCCGACGCTAAAGTTTCCTTTGTTTGAGCCCTGGACATGAAACCATCGTAAAGATACCGCTGGCGTTTGGACAGCCGACATGTAACAACATGCTCGTATTTCGCAGGCATTTGTTTCTCCACGTCAACTTTCAATCGACGGAGAATGTAAGGTCGTAGTACGGTATGCAGTTTGCTGACCACTTTCTTGGCCTCTTCATCCATGGTGTCTCGTCCGTGCTCAAGAATCTGCTCGACGGGTCGACGAAACCATTCGGAGAAATTCCGCAAATCGGCGAACCCTTCTACGCCACTCTCGCTATCATCACTCGGCATGAGAAAGAAGAGGAGCGACCAAAGTTCTGTCAAATTGTTTTGAAGTGGAGTACCAGTCAAGAGGAGCCTAGCTCTTGTCTTGAATGTGAGAAGAGTTTGCCAACGCTGAGACCGAAAATTTTTGATGTTGTGAGCCTCATCAAGAACCATGTAATGCCAGTTACGTCGTTTGAAGGTCTGTTGATCTTGCAGAACCAATTGGTATGAGGTAATGCAAACGTGCCAGCGATCATCGTCCATCCAACCCTTGCGCTTCTGCCTTCTCTCTTCTTGTGTCCCGTAGTAGGTAAGGATTTTGAATCCAGGACACCATTTCTTAAACTCCATTTCCCAATTCAACATCACACTCGTCGGGACAACAACGAGATGTGGGCCCCAAACTTCATGTTCAACGGCGAGATGAGCTAACAATGCAATGGTTTGAATGGTTTTTCCCAGGCCCATTTCATCAGCAAGGATGCCATTGATTTTGCTTATGTAGAGCCCAGCAAGCCAATCCAAGCCAAAATGTTGATATTCACGTAAGGTTCCACGTAATAAATGAGGTATTGGCGTTTTTATGGCTGAGGTGTTTGGTGACTCAGGCGGGCCTTCAACTGCATCTTGAGGATCTACTTCCATTTCATGAGGGGTTTCTGGTTGATCGGGTAGCGGATTTTGCTCGACCTGGTCATTGTCGCTAAAATCCCCATCATCGCGTCGGAGCGAGGTTGGCGACGCAGGTGTACACTGATCGGTTATGATGCCAATATTCTGGTAGTCATCAGAGGGTTCGCCACCGTCCGTGGAAGATACGTGATGTGTCGCTGGCGTGACTATCGATTCATCACGGGCTGCTTTCTCTTGGGACAGAGTGTCAACGTTGCACTTGACATCTGCCGGTTGAACGATGGTTGACGGTGTGGGAGGATGAGCCGGAATGGACGTTACGAAATGGCTGGCCTCACTGCCTTCTTGGGGTCCAATAGGGACGAGATGAACTTCATCCGTGTCCTCTTCTCCTTCATCCTCTCTTGAGTCTTTGTCTTCATCGTCAACGGCGTCGCTATCGTTAAACGTATTGCCCTCATTTATGCCGCCGCTAGCAGTCAGATCTTTCGCAGAGAAGAACCCTAACAGTCCAGGTTCCGACCCAGAGTCATCTTCTGATACATTATCCTCTTCCTCATCGTCCCCATGATCACTGTCGTCTGTGTCGTCCATGTCTATAGATTCGTCGCTGTCATCAAGCAGTAATGGATCCACTTCATCCAGAGTTCCATCAAACTGCATATCCAAGTCATTGAAGCGAGGTTCCACAGCGTTTTCATCACTAGCCTCGGAAGGTCCTGGCTCAACAGAAGTCACGCGCTCGTCCTTTTGCCCTATTTCGTCTTCAAATGCGACGTTCGTTGCCGCCAGGTGGGCGTATTTTGCCCGAAGAGCTTCATGGGAAAGGTGTGCATCATCATCCGTACTGGCTCCTTCGCTATCGCTATCAGAGCCGTTTGATGACATATTGTCCTCATCTTCAGACTCGTCCGAAGATTCTTCTTCGTTCAGGTCCTCCGAATCGCTGCTCTGATCCATTTCGCTCATTCCGCTATTGTCGCCCTTGTCGCCAACTCGCATTTCCCAAAGCATTGTGGATTGCTTGAGTGCCTTATTTAATGCAAGCTGTTCTTTCAGCTTTTGTTCCTCTTCCCACTGAGCAAGCCTTACTTTCTCCACCTCCGCGCGTGCCTGGTCAAACTGTCGTTGCAGGTCCTTTATCAGGACTCGGCGCTTCTGACGCATTTCTTCTTGTTGCTCTTTGAGGATATCCTCCGGGCGTTTGTTACGTTTCTTCCAGGCATCTGCGCACCAATGAGCAAACAGTTTTGCCAAATGTCGATGATGTCTGCGTTCTTTGTCAAGGAGCTTCTTGAAGTACAAGGCATGGGAAACAAAATGGTCATGGTGTGAATATTGCTGTGGTGGTTCCTCTTCTGGATCTTCAAGATAGATAGAACATTTATCCTTGCTAAGTAAACCACCAGGATCAGCCTCCTTCCAAATTTTACCCCACAATTGATACTCTTGAAGCGCTGAACTAGGTGTAGAGGCATGGTGCTCGTCTTCTGTATTGGCTTCATTCTTTACCCATTCTCGAAACGAAGAGTACTTTTTTGGGGGAACCAAATGGTAAGGATTCTGAGGCACTAAGGAAGGCATCTTGACTTTGAACCGTATCCTCGGAGCTTTCTTCGGAGCGCTCCCTGCCAGGTTGTAGCCATCCTCACCTCCCACATTTTGCGAGTTCTGTCCAGACCGCAAATCCGGTGGAGCAGCCATATTGTCATCTTGGTGCGAGCAGGTATCGTTATGACCATTCGTGGTAGCCCTGGCGATTTTGTTAGCTGTCCGAAGACGTGTTTCAAAATTCTTGTTGGAATCCCATCGAGTTGGTGGTTGCTTGGCTTGTGTAGTCTTCACACCCAAGGCTCGCGAGGCATCCTTTCGGCTGGAAACACCATCGAGCCCGCCCACAGAGGTATTTCTTCCGGGCCCTCGTTTCCCATTCAGATCTGGTCTGGATGGAGTCGACAGGGTAGAAGTTGATTCATGCCATCCGGCGTGTTTGCTTTTTAATTTTGTAGCGTACTCTTTTTGAACGGAACGCGTGTGTCGCTTATGTGAATGGGGTTGAAGGTCAAGCGGAATGGCATTGGTTCTAGTGGATCTGCGTCTGCCGCCATCGAAGAAGGACGTTGGGCCATCAATACCAGCCTTCTTCCAAGGCGGCGAAGGGGGTCTCGGGGTTGATCGCGAGGATGAATCTGCGAGTTTCCGTCTTTTGGATGGCGGGCCTTGAAGTTGGTCACCCGAGACATCCCCGTCTACGTCTAATTTCACGTCAGCTGTAGACATGTAAGTAAAATAATCGCACCACACATAGGCTGTGTACACCTGCCTCGAGCTTCGGGAGTCGCGTTGCTGTTGCTGTTTTCTAACACGCCTTGATGGGTCCCGTTTTGCATGTCTTGACTCTAGGACTCGGATGGGGCAAAAAACGGAGGCAACCCCAACTTTGTCAACGAAAACACGTCGTAACCGCGTAATTTGACCATCAATAGAAAGAGCTCAGCAAGTCAAACATGTGTGTGAATTCTGGCATAGTTATCGGCAAATCTGCGTCACTGGCTGGGAGAAAACCTGTCGACTTGATGAGTTGTGTGAGATTTCATTTTCTTTCCAGCTGTCCGCAATTTCCCGCCAATCATGCTTATGTAATATCACGTGGCAGCTGCCTGTCTGCCGGGAAGGGCGACGAGTCGAACTGGGAGGCGAACATCCAGGCGACTGGCCATCCGTATACCTGTTTTCCCACCCAGCGCTCTCAACCTTGCTGAGGTGGCTCCATTGTAAGTAGGAGGCCCAATTAGACTGATGCAGCTGTGCTAACTCCTCTACCTGCTGATCAGATGCTGTCCAGACGGATTTTGACGGCAAAATTGCCGGTGCAGGCTTGTGCCAGACTACCTTCGGTTGCCCGCCCTGCCTTCACGCAAGTTCGATATGCCTCCCAGGCTGAGATTGAAGATCCCGGAATGGTTGGTTCTAAATGGTCAATTTTCTGTCGTATTCTCCGAACTGACGTCTTCTGTCCTCCAGAATGGGGGTTATCCCAATCCTCCTGCTCAGAGACGCCAATTCCGCGATCCTTACGGCGGTTGGTGGGATCCACAGGATAGAAGGAACTTCGGAGAGCCGGTTCACGAAGATAACGATATCCTTGGCACATTCACTACCGAGTCATATACCCATTTCAAAGCTCCAAAGGCATTCTTCTTGATGGGCTGCGCTATCACCACTGTTTTCGCTTTCAGCGGCCTTGTCAGCCTTTTCTACCCTGACAAGCCCAGCGTTCCCCGTACGTTTGAGGACGGCCTTGAGAAGGAGTTAGGGGGTGCAAATGCAGTTAGGGTAGGTTCGATTGGGAATGGACAGCTTGTGCTTTGAGATGCTGACATGATACTAGGCCCGAAAACCTGGCGAAGACTCATGGTAGAGTTGTCTTAACTTGATCTTGTACAGAGAGCTGGTAGTTTCTTGATTGCGGCGTCAATTCATCTTGATAAAAATCTCTTCCTGAATATGACGCAAAATTCCTCTGATCTCACTGTTCATCCGGACCAGATACATCAGATCAAATCTGCCCATTTTGTAGCCTTACGAATTCGCAAGGGCCCCCAGTGCCATATTATTTATACTTATACCCCGTAATTACATTATCCAGAGTTGGTGGTCTGCTTTCCAGAGTCCTTCGCTCACTGGAGAGGTTACTGTCGCTAACTAAGACTTGGCGCGCGGCTGGCCTACGTCAGACATACTCGTGTGATTCTATCCAAAACAATCCAAACACAGGGGCCATAGATCCGGAGTCTTCTGTAAGCATCCCTTTCAAATTTCATCTTTGAGCTCCTCAACCTGCTTCCATGACCCTTAAACTGGAATGGTTGATCAAAGGTCTTATTTGTTGATGGCCTTTTTGTCGAGATTGTGGATTATAAGTCGGTAGTTGACGGCGAACCCTCCATCCAGACTGCTCATTTCATTGCACTTTGTTTCATCATTTATTTAGCGGACTCGTCAAGCCACCGACATTACTTATACCCGACGTTGAAGCTTTCGTTCCGGAGAGCTTTAGCTCGCTGAATTTTCACCTTACCGACATCACCTACAGGAATGACTGGTGTTGCTCGTTGACCTTCCTCGCAGTTGTCTCACCTCGACGCCGCACACTCGTACCGTTATTTCATATCGTGGAAGGGCATTTTCGAACAAAGGACTGATGTCGACTTCATCTACAAATTCCTATCGCATATCGCGACGACTGAACAGCCATACGAGTCAGGATTTACGCTCTCATTCACGCAATATATCCGTGGCCAGACGACGACCGATCAGCCACAATGACGCTTATACCTATGCTCTCCGCGTCGCGTTCCTTTCATACCTCCTACAACCACGGTTGCGCAGGCCGCAAAGCCTCCCTCCCAAGCCAAACCCAAACAGATCGTCAACTACATTTCATGATCTTATGAAGGATTTTAGTCTTGTTAGAGACTCAAAGAGCACGCGATTTCCGCACGGTTTCATTGCAGAGTTGGAAAAGCGCTTGACCGGTGTTCTGATTGGGCGTGAGCGAAGAAAAGAATATCAGGATGCGCTGGTGAAGCGGACTTTTGCAGTGTTTCTTAATGCCCTGAAGGAGCAAAGCTTTAAGAAACGGATGGAGAAAGATAGGAGGGTGGAAGACCTTGTGCTTATATTCTTCTCAAATGCTACGAAAGAGCTTTCAAAGGGGAAAGCCCCCGAAGATATAAGCTGGAAGCTAATGGTTGATCGCCATGTTGCGCTTTTTGTCAGGCTTATTACTCTCATACTGAAGGATCACGATTGGCTGCGAGAAAAGCCCGAACTGGCTGCTAGATTGGCCACTCTCGAGACCAAGCTGCTGGCTCATGACCAAGACTTGGCTCAGGCGTCTCAGCCGGACAGGGTTGGCACGCCTACCGAGCCCGTTCCTTTGAGTTACGATGTCAAAGATATGCACTTGGTTCAAGTAGTGGCAAAGATATTTGGCCTCAGAGAATCACAAGTACAATCCGATATCAACAAGAATAAGGATTCTTGGACCGCCAAAGAGGCATTACAGGATCTCAAGAAGTATCAGACGCACCTCAATCTACATACCGGAAAGACCCTCTCGAGGACCGATTTCGAACATGAAGAAGCTTATGAATCTTGGAAGAAGGCCGAGGCTCCACATTTATCCCAAATGGTGTTGGCAATTGTTCAATCCAACATAGAACTTGCAAAAAGCACTCCAGTAGCAGGATTACCACAGTTCAACGATCCGCAGAGCGAAACGACACCCACTTCGGATGCTTATTCTTTAAGTCAACCCGTGGACATATCTGCTTTATCTATATCCGATGCTGCGGAAGAGCCGCAGCTTGACACGGGAGACCTCTATACCTTTATTCCGCCGGATCCAAGGTCGTATTATCGGTTCATCTTGACTCAAGCAATCACCCATGACTTGAATGACCGGCTACTGGAGCCATCTGAAGCCACTTCCGAAATTCCGTCGATGAAACTACTTTCAAAACAATCCACTGAGCTCCTCAATGAATTAGCGCTGAGATGGCGCATACCTACCTTTTCACGTGCGGCCTTGTTCTTGGAGGTGTTCGGATCTAAATTTGTGGACCAGGAGGTTGACCTCGATACCCTAGATTCGGCTTTTATATTCGTCAAAGAGCCTCCTCCCGAAAAAAACAAGCGGGCCAGCTTCGTCGCACCTGTGTTTTACGATAGAAACAAATGGACGCGGGCCGATATTTGTACCATGCAGCGGATACTAGCATCACTTCACAATGCTTTACTTCGGCAACTGTATGAAACACTCATGCATTGTTATGACAACAAAATTCCACCTCTTGGCCCAGTTCTCTATGTACTTGAAAACCATGTAGAATCGGATCCCAATTTCTTGTCCAGTCCGGAAGATCAGGAGCAATTCCAGAAGTATGCGCACGACGGCTTGGTGGAAAAAGCAAAGGAGGTCTACCAAGAGAATCTCAACAAGGAAGTTCCGCCTGAGCAGGAGGCGTGGGAATTCTACCATGTAGTACAGCTTAGTAAAGCAATTATGAAGCTCTGTCAGCGGATTCAAAAGAGATATAAGAAGAATCCAGAAATTATGGGGTAAGTAACGAAGTCTACTATCGTTGGCCTGGACTAATTTGAATAGTGTCAACCCTTTGACAGCGCTTGTTAACTGTGTTCTTCCTATGTTTGCCGAAGACGCACATGATATGGTCCGGAGGATCATCCAGCAAGCTAAAAACAACGATGTAGAAATTGAGGTGCAGGAAGGATTTGATCTATATAAGGAGCTATCAGATATGCGGCGTGTTTACGCAGAAGTTCTTCCCGGGTGAGTCTAATGAGTCTATCCCTCCTACGCAATTTTTTTTCTTTTTTTTTTTTTTTTTTTTTTTTTGGGATGAAGGGTATTGAAGGCTGACCTTAATTCTAGAGATCCATTCCCTATGCCCATCGAAGAGCTGCTGGCTGACTTTGTCTGGCGCTGGGTCCAGCTAACCGATGAAAAGATGGTTGGATGGGTAGAACAAGCCATTAAACAGGATAACTTCATGGTTCGAACGGAATTGCCGGAGGATATACCCACAGAGGAACAGCGACACAGTGTGTCAGTGGTTGATATTTTCAGGTCGTTCAACCAGGTAGTCAACCAAATAGTCGAGCTGAATTGGGATGATGATGTTGGGTACGCAAAGTTTATGACTTCTGTGTCGAAGTCCATCGGAAATGCGCTTTCGAGATATTGCGAGATCCTCGAACAATCCTTCATCAAAGAAATGGACCGACCCACACCTGAACAAGAAGCAGCTGCAAGGCAAACAAAGCAAGAAAAATGGATGCAAATGGCGAAGGAAGCGTGGAGCAGTAAGGAGAAAGTGGAGCCATTCCACTTTTTCCGAGAGGTAAATATGTTAAATATCTGATTGTGGTCCAAGTGCTAATTGTCCTGTGTTAGTCGTTTGTGAAACTTAATAATATCGAATATGCATTGCAGCAACTCGACAAGTTAGAGAAAGATATCAACGTTGACGCCTGCGCAGAGGTTCTCTCAAAGAATGCTCCTCCGCTGTCCAAAAAGCAGCGTAAGGCCACGAACTACGTCTTCACAGTCAAGATTGTTGAGGCAGAGGATTTGAAAGGATGCGATATGGACGGTTTGAGTGACCCATATGTGGTGCTGACCGATGAATACCAGAAACGCATCTACAAGACCCGCATAATCTATGATAACCTTAACCCGAGATGGGATGACAGTGTTGACATCATGACGAGAACACCTCTCAACATCATTGCCACACTTTGGGATTGGGATGCCGTCGGAGACCACGACTATGTCGGACGTACCTCTTTGAAATTGGATCCAGCTCATTTTAGCGATTTCGCACCCAAGGAATATTGGCTTGATCTTGATACCCAAGGCCGCTTGTTACTCCGGGTTAGCATGGAAGGAGAGCGGGATGACATTCAGTTCTATTTCGGTAAAACATTCCGGACGTTGAAACGGACAGAAAGAGAGATGACTCGCAAAACCACCGAAAAGGTACGTTAAATGAATGGACCATCGAGTGCAGATTCCATGTTTACACCTTTCTTTTCTAGCTCTCTGCGTATATCAACCACTGCCTGTCGCGCCGCGCGTTGAAGGCCCTACTATCAAGGGGGATTAGCATGTCTACTGTCTCTAGTTACTTTAACAGAAATCGAGCTCCAACAAGCCAAGCTCCAACACCAGTCGAAATTGAGGGAGCGCTACATCCATTATTCACATACTTCGATGATAACTTTGCCATCATGAATTTAACCCTCACTGCAGACGCAATGAGAAAAGTGATGGCACGACTGTGGAAGGAAGTGCTAGTTACCGTAGAAGGCCTTCTCGTCCCTCCACTATCCGATAAACCTTCAAACCAACGACCTCTCACTCAACAAGAAGTGGACATCGTCTCACGGTGGCTCACTCTACTTCTCAGTTTCTTCAACGCCGTTGATGAAGAAACTGGCGAAGCAAACGGTGTGCCGATGGACATCCTCAAGTCCCCGAAATATCATGAAATTCAAACTCTCTTCTTTTTCTACTTCGAACCAACGGAGCATTTAATCCGGACTTCCGAACGCATGGCCAACGCCACCGCAGCTCGCCAGCAAGCCAATCGGAACAGGCTTTCTGTGACTTCAGCATCGTTCAGCCCCCTTGCCGGCATTCCGTCTAGCCGGCGCGGAAAGAGTATAATGTATAAACGGAATTTAGGGACCATGAAAAAGGCTAAGGAGGAAAAGTGGCGAGAAGCCCAAGCCGAGCCCAATGATGATATGATTCTGAGAATCCTGCGGATGAGGCCCGAGGCAGCGGGATATCTACGAGACCGAAGTCGGCAAAAGGAAAGACTTGCGACGGCCGCAGCGGCAGATTTGATTGTTAAACAGAGCCTGATGGCAAGCGGTGGGGGACGGATGAGCGGGATCCTGCCGAGAGGATGAAGTACTCGAAATCATTGCTGGGCGGCTAGTTCAAGTTTTATCTATTAAAAGACACTGGTTTGTCGTTTGGAACGTCATCGAATGATGGTCAACGTCTGGGTAGCAGGTAGCATGAACGTTACGCAAAAGGCTTCTCGGAACAATTTCACTGGTTTTCCTTATATCCTTATGAATCGAGTCGTCATTTTTGTTGCCTTTTCTTGCGCTTTTAAGGGCAATGTCTTTATGATATCCAAGGTGCAGTGTGTTAAGCTAGTGATAAGAGTTTTCTATCGCCAATTAATGGTTACGACACTAATGATACTAAAATTTGCGTAATGTGGTCGCTCGCGGCTCTACTGCTGCTTTGTATGTATACGGACCTAGCAGTACATAATTGTATATACATTCATTCGGTTCCTGCCACGTAGAATTTCCCGTCGATGTGAGCAGGTAGTCCAGTCATGCTTAGTTTATGCCAGTGCAATGCACTCGATCTCGACAGGGACTTTCGCTGGGAGCTCGCGCACAGCGACACAGCTGCGAGCAGGTTTGTGCGCGAAGTACTTCTCAAACACACCATTCATCTCTTTGAAATCGCCCATGTCGACGAGGAAGACCTGTCCGCAATCGACCAGAAATCAGTCAGCCATAAGTTTAGGAGCCCAGATCAAACTCGAACTCTCAGCGGCAGGCAGGAATATTGTTGCTGCGAGTAAAAGGGCGTGCATATCTGTTTGGTGTACGCACATTAACCTTGACGACCTTGTCGAGTGATGATCCCGCAGCGGCCAGAACGGCAGCGACGTTCTTGCAGCACTGCTCAGTCTGCTCGGCGATGGTGCCGCCAACATGCTTGGCGCTGCTATCGAAAGGAATTTGGCCGGAGACGAAGATCTGGCCATTGGCTTTGATGGCTTGAGACTGGATCAAGCGTTCAGGTTAGGAGTTTGTCTCATATCTGCGAAAAGAGACGGGAATATCAAGAATCGACGTACATAAGGGCCAGCGGCTATAGTAGAGGTGGCAATGTTAGCCAATTGAATCCAGGTGGGGCGTACACATCAAAAGGTTTAGGTGATAGGAACGCAGCAGCACTTACGGGGACAAGCCTCCGTGGTAAACACCTTGCTCATCTCGGCCATTGTTCGTCTGGATTGCGGATCAATTGAGCTATGGAAAGTGCGAGGGACTGTCTGATGGCGAAGAGGAGTGGTCAAGAGTAATCTCTGGGATAGACGTTGAGGAGCAAGGACCCTTTTAAACATATCACCCTGACAGATTGACCGGCGGAGGACTGGGCAGATTAATAATGGCAGTGACCGGATGGTAATGCATCTACGGAGTATGAGGGGTAAACTTCGCGCGGGTGGTCCAATTCAGTGAGGGGCACAGGATTATATAATGCGGCTATCTCGTACACTATTCCTGGATAGGTTTGGTATACGGAGTACAGGTACAGTTCAGCCGCGGAGATGACTAATTTCCTTCGTTAGCCGCCCGTCGGGAACCTTAAGATCGTTACGGAAAAAGGTGTGCTTTTGCTGGCAATCCTTGGAATCTTGGTGATCAAATGCAATATTGGCTAACTATTATTGATATGAAAGCCCCCCTCCTGCTCAAAAGACATCTCACCCCAATACTCCATTTTGGGTGCTGCAGAGAGAATTCCAAAATATTTAGATTGGCAGCTGTTGTCATCTGTTGTTATCTTCTCCGAAGGGAAAGGCGAAGAAAATCGCGGACCCGTGGAAAGCCTCAATTTGCTAGTGAGCTCATTAGAGTTTTGATTTCCTCAGATTGGAACTTCCTACACTCCTCGCGGAAGTTGCATGGTCTTCCGGATTCTCAAAAAACGCTCTTTCTGTTCCTTGCGGCTCCCCAATCTTCTGTCGCATCTTCATGCTTTAATCGCATCTGTGTTACGAGCTAGCTGAGAGTTAGCAGCTAGGCCACCGGAACTCTACAGAATACGGGGGTATGGTGTATGAAATGTGAGATCCATATACTCCGTAGGTCGTGCCAATTCGCTTGGATCCTACAAAGGAGGCAAGGGATCAGTCTTCTCTCGTTGATGTAGCTGGAAGCTACAAATCTACAAGGATTGGATATATCTATATACGTTATGCTGTTGAGCATCCTACTAGTTAGCTACTAGGCGAATGCTTGTCTGCTAGCATATGCTCTTCGCTATGTGAGAGGACATAAATGAATCTCTTGCCTTCCAGTCTGGCGTCCCGTTTATCTTATCTTATCGGAAGTCACTGATTAGTCAGCCTTTTTAATCATCTTGGCGTTGTTTGACGTCATCCAATCAAATGATATCGTCGCGTCTCCAGAATCTTTCTTAAATCTGCTCAATTCTCCTCACGCCCACCTTGGTTGTGGCTCGCCGTTCTGCTTAAGTATTCGTGGATTCTCCTTCAAAGCTTCTTCCACTCAACCTCAATTAGGAAGAATGACTCCGTTCTTCCAATTGGCTTCTAAAGCGGCAGCAGCTCCATATTGCTTCTTTCGCGCAATGGAGACGGTGTGGGGAGAGGTCGCTTGGGCGTTTCATAGCAGACTCTCCAGAAGAGAGAAGCTGTGAGGTTAATCGATGTATATAAAGGCGCGTGCCGCCTTTATGAGGCTGCTTTTCTTGCCTGTATCTTCGTGTTTCCGTCCGCCAGAACAGCCTTGTTCCGGTTGGATGTCGACATAGCTACTCTTCTTTCTATCTCGAGCCGATTACTAGAATTACGCCGGTGGCTCTCTCGGTTTGCAAGTTTCTAGCTATGTCTTCCCTTCTCCTCTTTTTATCCCTCCTCCAGCTGGCTTCGGCCCACTTCCATGTTGACTACCCCTACTGGCGAGGAGACTCTTTCAAAACACAATACACAAGACCATGTCTGTAGCAAGCCTGCCCAACGTGAATTTTGGCATATTAACCCACAACAGGTGGTGGCGTAAACGTAACGACCAATCGTACCGAGTGGCCTGTTAATGGAGGCTCACTGCTCTTCTCGGCCGGCCACCCATGGGCGATAACGTACGTTAATCTTGGCATTGGAAACGACGACTCCGTGATCTTCGATGTTCCCCTCATACCCGCGTTCAACCAGACCGGCAACGGAACCGTTTGTTTTTCCAAAATTCAAGTTCCAGAGGGTACACAGATCTCTCCGGGGACAAACGCGAGTATTCAGGTCATTCAACTTAGCGAATTGGGGTCTGCCTTGTATAATGTATGAAAAAAAGACTCTTCTTCGCAAGATGCATTATTTCTTTTTGGATGCGTGGAATTAGGAGTGTGGCTAATGTCTGCACTGCAGTGTGCCGATATCACGTTCTCCGATAATGCGGGATTGCTGAGCTCTGATAAGTGCCAGAACTCTACGAACATTGGATGGAGGCCACTTGGCGCCTCCCCATCCACCACAGGCACAGCATCTACAGCGACAAACTCAAATGCTGCCTCAGGCCTGATTGTTGGCCTAAGTACATCGAAAGGGATTGGGGTGTTCGTTGCTCTCTTGTTTAACCTGGCTGGCGGCCTCTTCTAGGTATATAAATCATTTTAATGCAACCTAGGAGTTGGATATTTGGGTGCCAGAAGGGCATACTGCAAGAAATATGTGAAGTAATCATTCCATTGTCACAAAAGCCAATTAAATATTACGGCTAGAGGACCAAAAATGCCTTCTCTCCAAGTTCGATTGTCATGCGTCCAATCATGGAATTGGTTGCTCTTTTTCCCACTGTGGGCCAAAAGAAACTTCGCTGTGAGAGCTATATCCATATGCAGCAGCCTTTTTATCCAGTCTCACGGTAGGACAAGAAAGCTTCCGGAAGGAATAAGAATAGTGTCAATATCTGCAACAGTTGAAATAGATAATCCGAAACAAAATCGAACCAAGATCAAGAAATAGATACGTATCGAGAACATGACCTGGTCAAGGATGTAATTTACACCCAACACAAGGCGCTGGGGGCTGTGTGCTCCCATAGATATCTGGTCTCTGTTCCCCGGAGACATTCAGGTATCCCACCGCCCCTTTGTCCATACGGAAAATAGCATGATCCACGAGCGCATAAGTCCCCGGGACCGACATCTCCATATCAACTATAGTAGCAGAGCCAGGGGGTACAGAGACGGTTTGTATAAACTGGCCAGGTGGGCTGATCACATCGCCCTCGCGATAAACTTTTTTGAAATTACTGCCGATAACGTGAAACGAGCTGGTCAGATTTGGCCCTGCATTGCCAAAGAAAATGCGAACGGTTTCGTTGGTGTTCGCCGTGAGGGGTTTATCTCTTGTGAGGGCCGACTCGCTGCCGTTGAACACGACGACGTTGGGCTCTTCTCGTAAAGCATTAGGGTACGAAAACTCTACGATGGATGATGGGCGTCCATCGTCTTCAACTTCAGGAGGTTCATGATAAAACTCGCTTTGTAGAACAAAGTATTCCTTATCCACTGGCGGGAGGTCGCCCTCAGCCGGCTGCACATATATCATGCCATACATTCCATTCGCGATGTGGACTGGTACTGGGGCCGCTGAACAATGGTACACGTATAATCCTGGGTGAAGAAGCTGGAACCTTGCAGTTTTGGACTCGTTGAACCCCACGGTTGTCAACGGTGCGCCGCCACCAGGACCTATAAACGCGTGGCAATCGATGTTGTGCGGATTACCAGATGGGTCCTTGTTTGTTATCGTCAATTCTATTACATCTCCTGCTCGTGCTCGGATAAACGGTCCCGGAACTGAATCATTGAATGTCCATTGATCATATTTGTACACGCTTGTAAGCTGCGACAGCTTGGTGGTCGTGGTTAATGGGACGCGAAGAAGGGCCGGGTGGTCTCGGGTAATCGGTGGAGGAACGTTTGGTGCTGTTGTGAGTATAGCATCCTCTACGGGAAATTTTGATACGTCTATTGGTTCGTGCCCGAGGACCGTATAGGGATCTAAGTGTGAAAGGTCAGTTTCTCCGTAACCCGCGGGCACGAAGGAAATTGATCGCCTAGTAGATGTCGGCCCTGGTGATTTCACTGGAAATGGTTTCCCCGACTCACCAGGGGGCACTGGCTTGCCTGAACTCGGTGCAGGGGTTGGGTCAACAGCAGGCTTTCGTTTGGGCTGCCAATCCATCCGCACAGCGTCTCGATGACCACCATAGAGAAGTATGACTGCAGTGGTAAAGCCAGACACGGCTAAAGCAAAGGCTAGTTTTGTGCGATTCCCATATTTGTTACCGCTGCTTTTGGAAGAATCCGTTGAGATTCTTCGCGACTGTATTTTAGTTGACCGCGAAACCGTCGAAACGAAGCCTCTCGAAGAGAACGCCTCTCTCGGTAGCGAGGTAGATTGAATCGCTTTCCAGGGCGCTTTCAGAGGGGTGCGCAAGCACCTTGTACATGTATTCATAATTTCAGAGATATACTTAGAAATTAACAGTCACTTCTGGTTCGAGGCCACGAGGGGGGCCGGGTGGGGTTTTGAAAGAAAAAGCAACCAAGTTGGACAGACGAACGGAGTGCAATACAGGCAGCCAAATGTCTTTATAGTCGGAAAAGCGAGAGATTCCAAATGAGCCGTGGCTTCTCTGGCTTAAATATTATTAGTGGTGGTATTTGATGTAATATCTGATAGCTATAATTCTGATTCGACCTGCGGGGTGGAGGTCGAGGTCCGCAACGGAAATGGCATGTACGGAGTACGGAGTACTCCGTATCGGCGGGCGATGGATAACTGCCCTTAATCGAATGATGGAGGCATGGGGCATTGGCAGTGCGTGATCAACCGTGCTTGAGGCTGGCCTGCAATGTTGCTTTCTGCACGGAGTACCGAGTATGAACCGAAGATGTCATTGAAAAGAGTTCGTAGGACTGGTTAGCGTGACGTCATGTTCCTCTTCCTCCGCGGACTGCATCTCCTGGGCATATTTTGGTATATCGCCTGAAGAGCCATGGTAAGTAACGCTCAGTCCCAATATGACCGGGTGCATGATTCATGGGTATTTGCGAGGAGCATTCTCTGTACAATAAACTGGGAAAAAGGGGCTGGAGTTCATTTCCGTTCAGATTCTCCGCGTTGTCGCGCGAGACTAGGGGCGATCCCATCTCGCCAATGCAGAATTCAACCAACATGTAGGACTGCTTTGGAATCCTTCATCCGGCTGGGAGTGAATCATTGGAGGAAGTCAAAGTGATGTTCTCGAGATTGCCACATTCGATTGGCTGCCAGCATGACCACCAATCGGCCCGGCTTGCAACTGGCACACAGCTTGCATAAGTGTGAACACACCAGGCCTGATCGAAGCTTGAGTGATGCACTCCGTATCGATTCTATGACCCGAAAATTATCCCAGCGACCCAGCTTCTCTCGTCACCTTTGTTAGAGATCAAGTGTGGTTCCCGCTTCGACCTTGAAATGTGGAAGTGGATGAGACGCCAAACCTTCAAGCTGATCTGCGTATCCACCCATGAACGCCTAGACATGTTCTTCCATTCCAATCAGTTTGAACGGTAATTGTCATCTCCAAGTTGTCTCCTTGCCGCTTACACTAGGAACCTGTATTTCCTCCGAGAAAAGGACGTTATAACCTGTGCAATATCAAACACGTAACCGGGAAAAACGATTGTTCTGGCAGAATTACTGTCGACGGAGAATGCCTCTGCGCTTGATAACAGTTGAGATCCGGCTCCTGATGCACTGCTTTAAGCTCCGCAAATATCCCCTTAATGGTAAAAAACCACGTCGCACCCCTTGCTGCCTCAAGACCAGTTGATTGGCAGCTCGACCGAACGCGTGCACGGACCAACATAGCATATGCCTGCTCTGAGGTCTGAGCACTGATGCATCTGGTCAGATGAGATGTTGCCGAAGTTGGGTACGGAGAATTTTAAGCGGCTTGCGACGAAGCTCGTGTTTCTACGGCAAGGCCAGGATTCTCGGAAAAAATCCAGCTCCGTGGAGCCAATTGCGAGAACCCTTCCGTCCGGGATGGCCTCTTCGAGCCAGGACGACAAAATCGAGTGAGTTGATCGTTGGTGTCCGTACAAGCAAGAAGGTAGAAATTTTTCACCTTCTTTATGCTGACTGACCCCCACTCAGCAGACGGTTTTGACAGGCAGTCGTATAGTTCGATTGTACGTCTTTAGGGATTTCTTAATCGAAACAACAACAAAGACGATGTCATGCTGCGCCGACGCATCATGATGACCAAGCGAACTATGCGCGAAACAACGCAATACGGTGGACTGGTCTTTCGAGGAAGCCCTCGCGGTCGAGGATTCCGCTGGTCCAAGTCACCCAAAAGCGGCTCAAAAATTAAGAGTAAAGAAGATGGCCAAATGTCCGTCGGAATTCCCAGCAATTGAGAAACAGCTCTTTCTTCAACCAAATGAAACTGTTACTGACCACGGAGAAAAATTCCCGTACTCCTGTGAGTATCAACCAGCCCGTTGACATGAAAGTTATGGCAGGTTCAACTAAAGATGGAGGCAAAACAAATATATATGTGGTTGAATGTAACTCCGAATGATGCCGACTTATATTTAAAGTGCACAGCAAGATACTTTGCGTGTATTATGAGCAATCCCATGTTTTCATGTGGATGAGAGGAAAGAGGCCCTACAAGTCTGCATCTCAGGCAATAATGCAATAGCATGAAAAAACTACCTAGTTAACTATCGGCTGGACTAACTTCCTCCGTAGTTGACGAGTAAACTCCGGTTCGATGTTTTGGAACTCCACCCTTTCAACCCACCGGATAAAAATACGGGATCCCCTACCTTCCCCGACAAAAACACATAACAGCACGTTATCCTCGGTCTAGATTTTTTTTTTTTTTTTATCTGTTGTTCAGTTCGCTTCCCTAAGCTTAACAATTCAATTATATGCTCCAATGCCTCAGATCCCTGTCCTTCAGCAGGCTGGATGAGACTGCGGAACCCCCACTGAGCCTATTGAAACCATGTCATCCCTCTTGGCAACATTTATGACAAGGTTCATTGACTATTATCAAGCTTCTTGTCGCTTCTAGGCTTGCAAATCATCCATCATGAAGAACTGGCATGCATGATTTTATGCAAGTTTGTGGGTTGTTACCAGCATGTAAGCACATGCGCTATGAGAGAAACAAACAGGAACTGACAAGAGTCTAAAAACCCCCCTTATCATTGTAAAGAGCTAGTTAGACTGGGAATAACATAGCTCCAGAACTGTATTCCACCTAAGCTGGAATAGTAAAAACAGACAATAATTAAAAGGCTCAATGATGCTAGAGAACATCCAGGACCATATAATCTTCCCAAATTTGCGCTTTTACAATGCAATCATTCTTCACCATTGAAGGATCATTTCATAGAAGCCAAGCAGGGGAGAAATATACTGTTGCCCGCCCGAGACCATGTGTCAAGAAGATACCAGAGTATGCTACTAAAGCTTTCCGAATTGGCCCAGTTTCTCAAGGAACAATGCAACCGATTCTCCGCTATACCCGAAAATGATTGGTCCGTTGAAGACAATCCGAGGTTGAGGAGATTGAGGCCTCGGAGGAGGCGCAGCTGCATCGGAAGCCTGGGTGATGTCAGGACGTGGCTCATTTAATGGCTGACCGGGCTGCATAGGGTTAGATGTGGCCTCCTGTTTTGCGGAATGACTAAACGGGCAGCGACTGTTTCTAGAGGGACTACCCATTGCATCAACCAAGGGGGTAGGAGTTGGCTGTGGACGCTCAGCGGATTTCTTTGCGTTCGACCAACTACTCGCAGGAACTGGTGCGGGAAGCGAAGCGACATCGCTTTGCGCTGGCTCCTGGGAAATCGGGACATGGATTCCCCACGGTCGACTTGGAGACTCTCCCACCCGGACATCCCTCAAAGAGCGCTCAAAATGGTTCCCCCTAGCTTCGAAATCGCCGTCGTCATCAGCGACGGCATTGAAAGGAGGAGTGCCTGGACTCGGCGACTTGCTACTGACGTCTTCGGCCCACTTTTCAACCCTGTCCGTGGCGTCCGTCTCCCCGTTTTGTTCCATATCTGGAGGTGGTGAGGAAGGTAAATACGGCTGATGATAGGCTCCAAGCCCTTGGACCATGCTCACAATATCACCGTACTTCCCATCCAGCCGCCGAAGATTCTGTGGGTCATTCTGGTACCGCTGGATGCATATAGAGTGGCTGCGAGGGATTTCATGTTTATGCTTCTGGAAGAACTCTGCTATTTCTTCCGGCGAGTGAGCGTTTAGATAGCGAATCGGGCACCTTGCTGTTACAGAGCGAGTTGAACTCGCCGCACAAGGGGGTACACCCGGATGAAGCTCGGCCTTGATGGGATCTAGATCGTCATTTCCACACCGTTCCGATTCCCCGTTTACTACTACCTGCCCACTGGCCGAAGCCTCATCGCTGGGTTTCGCGAAGGGGCAGCGTAAATTACCTTTTGTCCCGGGTGTTGTAAAGTCTTTTTCCATGGACATTCTCACGTCGGACTTGGAAAAAGGACATGCGTTTGGCCTCTGAGGTTCATCCCGATGGCTGTGTGCTTTTATCACTCTCCCTGCGATTTCCGAAGCTTGTATTACCGCCTTAGCACCGAACTGATTGACATAACCGGCACGCTCAATATTGCGAACCCATTCACCCGTGTCAACTGCCGCCTTTTCGTTGCTATGACTGGTAATATCTTGCGGAGGAATACCCGCCGATGCCTCTGTCTGCTGACCAGTCGACGCTTCAGCCAACTGGCTTGAAAGCTTCAGGTACTATGGTTGTAACCTCAAATCAGTACGTAAGATCGAACGATAAGTACAAGTAAAACGAAGGATGAATCATCAATAAAGATAAGTAATCAGATAATTGACATGTCTATCACCGCTGCGAGAGCAGCTCCTGATCTAGAGCTAATGAAATATTTTTCTCATCATACAAGCCAGAGAGGATTAAAGAGCAGAAGGAGAAGTTATGTATCATTACATACCTCATCATGGGCAGACTCTAGTCTGCTGCGAAGAAGCTGTTCCTGCCTGGTCAGTTGTTTGGCAGCTTCAAGCAGAGCATTGAATCCCTCTGCGAGCGCGAGCAGTTGTTTTGAATCTTGCTCAGGCTGAACTTCCAAGGAAGAGAACATTTTTGACAGCCCAGATCTGGGAGATCGAGTCGCGACAAGGATGACAATTATCATCCACAATATGAAGAGGAAAAATGTTTTGTCTTCCATTTTGAAGGTATTTATGGGCCAATGAATGGTCCGTGCACTGTGGCTTTCAAGCACACGTGATTCGGGCTTCTAAAAATCAAATTCAGCGATAACCACAAGTGAAAACAATGCCAAGTTGACCAGCATCAGCCAGTGAATGAACAAAGTAACAATGGTTGGAACCTGCTAAAATAGACCTCTATTGCTATCTTCCCAGTGCTTTATTCTGCTTGCCGTGGCAACCAGACATTCTCCTCTCTCTGTGTTCCAACAAGCTGTGGCCATAATAAGCTGTCTGCATGAGGCTGGGGTTGACCATCTTTTGCTTTGGAGGATGCAGTCCACCATGAAGTACTCACTCTGCTCCATTCTGTAGCTGCTTTTGGTGATTATTCTTTCAATCTTTGGAAAATTTAGAGGACATTTATATCCTAGCCTGCACGACTCCCAGGAGTTCCAGCCTAACCCAGGCTTAGTTTTGCTGCTAAATATTTCAGCTGAACCCTGATGATATTCTAACATCCTGTTGGCCTTTCCATTAACTACAGTCAGGCGTACTTGTATCTTGCGGCAATCCTCTTAGGATGCGGCCAACCATTGCAATTCCATGGCTTGTTTGTCCCCACACTGTCTGCGCATTTGGCCTCTGATAAATCTCCTCCACTTTTAAGAACAGGGTTTCAACTCTCACATTGTGGGACACTTGCAGTGCCTGTCTCTCAGTAAAGAGGAATGAAAACGGGATTTACCGCAAGTACACAGATTTATTCTATTTAGAAGATGATTGTTACTCAGTTGAAAGTTAACTTCAGTTTCTGGCCACAGGATTAACCTGCGTGCATTTCCAGCTTCTTTTCTAGGACTTGTTTGGCATGCATGAGATAGTTAGTGGGCTAGCATTCGCTAGAGTAGCTGATCCGTGCTCTATCCAAGCTGATTGCCTCCGAAGCTCAAGATGAGCATTGAATTACATGCCCGCGGGTCTGCTTGTAATAAAGCAACTCCACAATGGAGCACTGGATTTGGACTGTGATAAAGGGATAGAATTTCAGGTTATTCCAAGATATGGCATGTCGGTAAGAACAGAGATGAGGGCGCAAAAGGCTTGTGTATGAAAGGAGCAAGAAATGTGAATCTAAGCGTGTACGTGTAGACACACATCACACAAGTCAAGATGCAGACGAACAGCTGCTATGAGGCCATTTAGCTTTCAAAGGTGGCTTGGTGCATAACTCCATCTGACATTGTCGGTTTATCCAAAAGAAAAAAGGTAGATGGTGATCAGAAACATTCCTGTCTACATATCAAAGGGTAACCGCATAGATTTTGAACTAGCGGAATATTTAGGTGACAATACCATAGAACAAGCCATCACCGTTGTTGTGAAAATGATGAAAGGGGTTTTTCGGGCCATAACCGTGCCAGAAGTCGGTTCTCGGGCGCACTTGCACACCGGAGACCAGAAAGGAGGACGGAATTCTCGACTTGTTCATGTAAGGCTCTGCTTGTTTGCTTGACACGAACTGAAAACGCTGGGCCCCGAGAAAGCACAGAGCTTCTTTCGGTTTCAGCAGCCATGGTTACACCTAGCTGGCTGGTTAACAGGAGAGTCGCTTGTTGAGCCCTATTTGCCATTTGTCTCAGTCCAGCGTTGCCGCAGGCAATTATTTGAAGATATGGGGAATCCGGGGCAGTATATTGAAATCCGGACTGATGCCACACCGAGCCATTGTTGTACAACAGATTTCGTCCCACTCTAACAGAAAGGCATCAGGGTGAAGGACTCCAACTCATCCAGATTTTCATGTCTGAGAGCGACAAGCCGCGCAGTTGTCCTCGAGCTAACAACCAAGTGAGGTATTGGGTGAAAGCGACAATGACCAGGCTCTGACGCTTGGGACAGCAAATACCTGGGGGTTAATTGACGTGTTGGGAGGGCCAAAGCGAACAACATGAAGTGAAATAAGGCGCAAAGAATAGACTTGGACCGATTCACCATCAACCAGGTGGAAGTTTGCAGGAGAATATCGCGAGAGTCCAGCTTCATTTTCGAAACTTGATGCAGGAGCCTCGGCCACGTTGAGCGATGTAAAACGACAGGTGTACATTTGTATGTATGTATAGGTACCTCATTTGTCGTACCTGACGGGAAGCAGCGGCTATAGGTGTACTCTGTGTCAAAGCTGCCGAAACAGTGAGAATATCTGCTGTGGCATTACGCCATTGACAACGTCCATTGTAACAAATCCCACCTGGCTTTTAGCAGGTTTTCGTTTTTGGCAAGGCGCCTCCGGGGAAATATCCAACACATTTAAATGGTCACTTTGGCGACCAGAGTATGAGTTACAGCCGAGTGAGTCACGGTAAAGATGAGCGACGGGGATTAACAGGGATTGTATCGGATAGGCCCCGGCCCCATAGAATCATTTTCGAATGCGCAGAGAATTAATCCTTCCATTTGAACCCGACTTCTCTGCAGGGATTTGGGATGAGACGGTACAGAGTACACTGTACGTTGGCCAGAGACGTCCCAACAATAATTGGTCTCCCAAGGTTCTTGTCTTTGTTTTTGGGGCTTTGCATGAAGTGTAAAGAAGAACGGATCCTCTCTTGTGACGAGGCGATTAATTGCATTGAACTCCTGTTGCCTGGCTTCAGTACAAGCCCGTTTTGCCAGCCAACAAGCGGGGAGCGGCCTCTGACATGTGCGGTAAATTTCCTCACCGACCTTTTGGGAGAGAGGAAAGGCAGTTCCGAGTTCCGTGTTTGCAGAAGAGGAACGAGGGGTGGAGAGCAATTGCGATCACCCTTAAGGTTCGATAAATTATGTATGTAGTTAATTCTGGTTGACTCCCGAAGGACAAGTCCAGAACACGCCCGGAATTGATCTCCTGTGTGCAGGCAGGCGACAAGGACCGGGAGGATACAATGCGGGACAGTCTTCTTGTCGACTTGCTCTTATGGTTGTGATAGCTCAGATGCAACCGATGCCTGGAACAGGAGAACGGACGGCCAGAAGGGAACCTACCTCCCTGCACCGCTTTTCCCAGGGATAAACTTAGCAGCCAACCATCGGAGCACGTCAAGGTGGTGTGGAATTAAGTAGCGGGGACGAGATCCAGCCACAGACCTGGAGTTGCGTGTCTCTTGGGTGTTCGATGATTTGTCGTCATCTGGGTGACCATGATTCCCGTCTCAGTGAAACAATATCGCTGAACCTTTGTGTTCAAGCTGTGGACATGCTGGCTGCAAATCCAGGGAATGCACCGAGTCAATCACGCCCTGAAAACACACAACTAGGTAGATACATCGGCACGGAACCTTGTCGTGGTACGTATCGCCTTTTAGGGCTCTGCAGGGTGGGATGGGAGGAGTGAAGTTACATGGATGGGAAGGGAGGAAACGTTTTTAATTTTTCGCTCTCTTTTTTTTGTAATCTTATCCCAAGGCAAGCATTCATATTTCCCCTCTCTTCCCCCGGCCCCTCGTCCTCTTCTCTCAGACCTTTTTCTTTCGCCTTTTCTTCTCTTCTTCTCTTTCTTTTCCCTTCCTCCCCTAAGCCTCCTTATCCTCATCCCCAGAATGAGTAACCCCTCTGCCACCACGCAGACGAATCGTGAGCAATCCGATGTCTCCTCCAAAGTGCCCGGACACCCCTCCACCACTTCCGCCAGTTCCTCCGAACTCGCCAGTCTTAAGATAAGACTGCAAAATGCCTTGCGCCAGTTCCCGGACTTCCCCTCGCCTGGCATTATCTTCCTGGACATACTCCCGATCTTCGCCGACCCCTCACTCCATGAGGACCTTATTCGAAGTCTTGAGCTTCATGTGCTCGAAACATATGGAGACCAGAAACCCGATGTGATCGTCGGTCTGGACGCTCGTGGGTTCTTGTTTGGACCATCTCTGGCGCTTCGATTGGGAGCTTCCTTTGTTCCTGTGAGGAAGAAGGGTAAACTGCCCGGTCCTGTGGAGACCCAGGTCTACGAGAAGGAATATGGATCGGATCACTTCGAAATGCAAGCAGGTGCAATCAAACCTGGCCAGAAAGTTATTGTTGTCGATGATATTATCGCAACAGGTGTGTTTAACTATTTATGCTTCTCCTCTCTTTGAACCCACACGCTTTTCATGACCCATTATTATAATGAGAACTACATTGCTAATATGCCCCTTTTTTGAACAATATCCAGGTGGTTCTGCAAGTGCTGCTGGAAATCTCGTGCAAAAACTTGGAGGCAATTTGCTCGGCTTTGTCTTCATGCTCGAAATCGACTTCCTCAAGGGACGGGCGAAGCTTCACGCACCAGTTTACACCCTCCTCTCCTCATAGCCAACGGCGAAGAATTGTCACCGATACATCTCTCTGGACCCGTGCATCATTATTCCACGTCTATTTTGATTGGTTCGTGAACCGTTCTACGACTAGATACTCCGTACATCAAAAAGAACGTTTGGTTTTTTCGCCGGCCATTCTAAATAATAGACTTGCCCTACCTTTCACCTGTCATGAACAGCCTTTTTTTTTTTTTTTTTGCTTTTTAATACTTCCCCTAGTTCCTCTTTCTCGCCAGTTCAAACCAACTATGACAACGCTTATTGGATCCCCTCAAGACTTGAGGCCAGGACTTCGACCTACCTGTGTTTCTATCAGCTCTCTTTGCTTCTTTGGTGATTTTACAATAATGACAATTGCATGGTGGCCGGACCTGGGGAAATTTTGGGCGTTCTTGGGTACAAAAGCATTATATCACTTCATAGTTAGCAGAAGATCTTGTCTTCTCGAATTCATTTATCATCCATACACTGCCAGTTGGGTAGCTAATAATTCCGATGGGGATGAATAAGCAGAGCCTAATAATAAATGCCGGCTTCGATATCCTGGTCTATTGGACTCATCTCCTGTTGTCCACAGTCAACATCATCCAGCAATCCCCGATATTTCCCGCGCATTTAAACCGCTCGGAGCGTCTCGACCGCCTTCTCACAAGGGTCGATATCAACACTTGGTATCATCTTTATTCCCCTTTGAAGTTTGATTTGACAGGGGATTGGCAAATTGCCTAACCCTGGGATATTCCACGCACGATCTCCAGCATATATACATAGTAACGGGCTCTTTTGATAACTTCTTTGTAGATTGTAGTTGCCTAATGGCCGTTACATGCTATCCGTGCTGCTAAACATGCTGAATTTTATTCTAGCTCGCCTTGATATGCCTCCTTTAAAATCTGTATTCAAGATGGCATAGAAATGCTAGTAAATTCCAAACAAGCGTAGCTGCTGCTTCTTTATGTATTTCAAAATAGTCACATTCAGGGAATGGAGGAATAAAAGAAAAGAAAGGAAGGACCTGTAAAGCAGCTGGAAATCAACAGGTCTGGGTTTATATAAGGCAAGATTGACGCCGGGTGGACATTTTACGTCATTATTCTATGCGGTGTATGAGCAGCTTTAAACCCCAAGACTGTAGGCTTTAATGACCATAATAAGACGTACATAGGAAGACCCAGATCATTACGCCAACAAGATCGTTGAGTTTTCTTTACAAGTGGGAGTGTTGCGCTTCTCGTGGCCGGCGGGAACTTATAACATGTTTCTTCGTCTCCGCAACCCATTGATATCATACCGGACTATGGTCGACCACGCTGCTCCTTTGAGTAATTACACAAATGTTTCCTTCTGAAGCTCCAGTTTTAGCACTCCTCCATAAACACCACAATCGATCCAAAGGTGGATATAAACTTGTTTTCCTTTGTCTAGTAAGTTGTGTTTGGCAAAGCTTGTTGTAGGGACGCCGCCATGATCGTGTAAGGACCGCGGGTCTCATGGTCGTTTGGCGTCGCCAACGCAGATTCAAGAATGGGAATAGGATGACTGTGCTAAAGGGTACTTCCCGGCTGTAGTCGAGAGAGCGATGATTGTTGCTGTAAAGTTGTACAAGGTTGATCCTCGGGCCGATACAAATATTTTCATCGAGGCAAAAAGACGATTTATACACTGCCTCAGGGCGAGGGTCAGGTTTGTAAAAAGAATATTAATTCCAACAATATCCATCATATCACACCAAGAAGCATCATTGAGCCACTGGGATCAGTTATCGTGGCCGTTCTAGACAGAAATGATCCCTGCCTCGAACGACATGCTGGTGATAAAACATAATGACGAGAACCTCGCGGTGGGAGGCACAAGGCTCACCTAGAGCAGAAACTGACAAGTATCCCGCCCAGTGCAAAATAATATGTTCGAAGATAGATAGGGTAAACCTAGAGGAAATCTCCAGCTAGAAGGATTGGGTGACATGAAGTTCAATCTAGTCTTAACCTGGTCTTTACGAAATGCGTGAATAGCATGGTCCTGCTGGAGGGCACCAAGAATCCAGCTCCCAGGGACTAAATATAAATCAGCAGTGCCCAAAAATGTTTTAAACGCAAAAGAGGTGCACAAAAAAGGAAAATCAGTCCCCAAAAGATGTCGTGAGCTTGCTGAACAGAAACATGGACCTCATGGACCGGCCATCACGTGTAGAAAAGGGGTTTCCAAGGTTTCACTGAAGCCCGGCAGTTAACTAAGGTTGGGGCCGCCCGCAGCGCATCCAGGGACCATTCCATCCAGTTTGAAGAGTGCTGGGTAACTTCTTACTCCATATATCTTCTTTGATTGGCGTTGTCCTTCAGCTCAGAAACATGTCTCCCATAGCATATACAGTAAGTAATAGCCTTCTCAGCGAACAGGACACTCCTTTCACCATCCAGGGTCCCCGTCAATAGACATTCATGTGACCGTCTCAAAGTGCGTTCGCCTCGGCTTCTCTAACGACGGAGTTGCTAACATCAACCTGGAGACTTGGTTCGCAAAAAAACCGAAATTTTGCCCGCCTTCGAACCGTTGCGTCGATCCACATAGTTCACCTCCATCTGCCTCTTCGTCCCGCGGACCCCCGCTCCGTTCAACTGGGAAATGCGAATTCTGTGGGGCCGGCTCCGTTGGCGTTTCCTGGTGCTCACCCTCCCCGCAAGCCTATTCTTATTATGGACTGCTCTGCCATATGATAGCTCTATCCGCCTTGCCCTCCGCTTCAATCTTAATGCTCTTGGTTCTCCCTTCGCAAGCCAGCGGTTGTTCGTCAAACCACCCGCTTTTCCAGTGACAATCTCAAAGGATGCTGGCATAATTCTCAAGTCTGGATTTGGAACAAAAGATCGAATTTCGGCATGGCTTGAATCGCACCAAGAAAGGAGTTTTGTCGACATCCTTGTTGTCGGCGACTTTGCAACGCAGCCAGGACAGCACTATAACTACAGCGGCCGTCAACTTAACGTCCACGACCTGTTGGCGCGGATGCTGGAGAATGGATCCCTACCCCCAGGCTTATCGCATCCACGATTGCTCAAATATTCAAACCTAACAGCTGCCATTGCCACTGGTGACACGAACCTTGCACTTGAGCTATCCAAATCCTTTGGATGGGAATTAGATGCTATGAAGGTAGTGATCTCTTGCAGGCCTGAACACCAACTCGTTGATCCATTCGAGAACCTCATGTTGCTATTTCCCGCATGCTAACTCCATTCCAGTTTATTTCTGGGCTTGAGCTGGCCTATAAACGCATGCCACTTAAAAAATGGTATATTTTGGCGGATGACGATACATACATCGTGGCCCCTTCACTGGAAGGCTTTTTAGGCCATTTCGACTCAAATCTTTGCTACTATCTTGGAAATCCTGTTGGAGATTATAGAGGCCGCTTCGCCCACGGAGGATCCTCTGTGATCTTATCCCAGGCGACTATGCGTCGACTTTTTGAGAATCCTGAAATAGTTTCTGCGGCGCATGAAGAGTCGCTTTCAGAAACTTGGGGTGATAAACTTCTTGCAACAACCTTAATCAAACTTGGGATATACCTAGAGGAAGGATACTCCCGGTTCTTTAATGGGGAACCGCCTAGGAGCGCGAAGCTCCGATCGGATCGATTTTGCATAGCCATTATGGCTTTCCATGGGTTATCTCCTTTAGCCATGCTACAGACCGGCAGAATGTTCAGACATGCTGTAAAGCCTGTGCGATGGATCGACCTATTGTCTATTTACCAGGCACTACTCCCTGACACTTTTACACAACAATCAATTCGACAAAATTGGGACCATGTTGGTAGTCTGGATGAATCGACAAAATCAATTAACGTCACGACTGCCGGCCATTGTGGCGAAGCATGTCACGCCGATTCTAGTTTCTGTCTTGCCTGGACCTGGGAACTAGACACCCAAGCTTGCCACATGAGCCCATGGGTGATTGTGGGAGATAACGCTCCTGGAAAAGCCTCAGGACTTAATACACCACGAGTAAAAAAGCTGGCTACCACATGCTAGACTGCTAGCAACTGGTTGCTTTTCAATTTTTTCAATTTCACTCAGGGAAGCAAATCCCTTGTGATGTCTCGTTGTTCCCTTCGGCGAAGCAGAGGTCATTATCTAGATTAGATCGTGTACCTACGCCACCACATGTTCTAGATTGGCGTGGGTTCTGTAGGGACTTTAGCAATGTAATTTGAGGGGGCTAAGGCTCAGGGCATTTTTTGGCATTCAGATTTGAAAATCTTAGGTTTTTTTATTTTGTAGGCATTCCACCCTCGCTTTTGGGATGTTTTCCCGTTAGTAGGGAAGAATCTAGGATAGCACTCAGAATCAAACTATTCAGTTGCTACATATGTAACTTTCGAAGTAGCCTAGTAGGCTCATTGATGGTTGAACTGAGGTAACATTGCCCAGGATTAAACCGCAAAGGGCCGCCATATATTTCTTCATGTGAGCATCGGTGTATGTACATCCATGTAGTGACTAGCTGGGCTAAATTACTGGAAGCCATGCCAGCTTTTGTCTTGGATTCCGTATCTATTGTTGAGGGAGAAAACGCCCTAGCGACTATTTTAAACGACAAACAGGTTGCTAATCGGTACTCCCTGAGACCTGATCTCATACCTCTTTCTAATTCCCACGCCCAATGCGCGCTTAAAGCAATCGTACGTCTCATCTCCACCACCCACCATTACCATACTAATCGGATGTGGCCGGGGAATCCCATCAGCAACAACCTGCATCTCGTCAAGAAGTGGACGGACAAGCCACGACTCGTCCATTTCAATAACTGGTGTTGAAATTGGGGGTTCATTTTCTTTGGAGGCCGAGGTAGGAGGCTTGCCTGTCGAGCCGAGCCTCGCACTTTGCGTAGAGAGGTTGTTATTATCCCCTGGCTGAGGATAAGAGACGACAATGACAAGTTGCAATGCGGACCGCGTTGGGCGAAACCCGGGTATATTTCTTAATTTCTTAGAGAAGCTGCAGCTTCCTCGCTTGATGACAATAACTTGATGGGTTCTTGGAACAGAAGAAGGCAACGGGCCATCGCAAAGTTCTCCTGCAAGGTAGATAGTAGACCATGCAAGGCGATTGACAATCTGTTTCCCCGACGAGCTGGAGACCCACGGAGCGGGAAGTGTCGCCTCTTCGACATCTGCTAGTGGCACTGCACCTTTACCTGTGGCCGTAAGGGCAGGTAGCGAGACTCGAGATACAGAGCGACCAAAGAATGCCGACCCAGCAGAAGACGCCATCACTTCGTCCCGTAGCAATGAAGTAACCTGACTCATAAACGATGAAAATGCGAATTTCATGTTTGAGCTATCTTCAACTGGCGTATGAATTTCTTCCAGTAGTTTCCCACTACTAGTTGGACTGCTGGTCGCTGTGATTGTTGAAGACGAGATATTGCCTGGAACCTGTGACGGTTTAAGATCGATAACGATGTCTAGCACAGTCAAATCTTCAACCTGAGTAAAATTGGGATCGGTCGGCTCCAAGGTAGTAACAGTCTCACGGGAAAGGTATACCTTTTCGTCTTTCCCAAGCGCTATATTATTGATCACCTGTATACGAAACCCATCCATGGGGCTAGATGAGCTCTCAGTAAGCAAAGGCATGTCTTGAATCATGCCCAGTCGCAGCCCACTCATGGACTTAACCCAAATTCCATCCGCAACACGCTCCAAAGATGCAGAACTGAGGACAGTGTTTGGCATCGGAGGAAAAGAGAGGTCAAGGGTAGGTCTCGTTGCCATGGGAGCGCTTGTTGCATTAGGTGGTACCACCTCAGGGGGCAATGTCCACGGGAAGTAAGTGTAATTGGACGGAGAAACGAGATCTGAGAGTGTAATGCTTGGGTGATCTTTTGAATATTCAACAATGGCAGATTCAACTTGGGCTCTGGGAGGCATAAGAGGCAGCCTGGCTAAACTTGCTGCATGGAATACATCTGATCGCGCTGCAATTGTAGACAACCCAAAGGGAAGCGGAGGGTGTGGTCGAGGGCAAGTCTCTACCTCCGGCGCGTGAAACTTTATATGCTTTTTTTCGAATTTCAAACGTGTGCTGTGTTGTGCTGATTTTGGTATCACAAGCGGATGGCCTTCCGTAGTGAATACGAAGGGAGAATCGAGATGGTTCAAAGGATGGGACGGATCAAACAATAGAAAGAGATATTTTGCAGTTTCTCCTAAGAAGAAACTCTCCATTCTATTGCTTAATTCTCCAGTTCGGACATCTTGGAGACCGGCCCAACCGCACTTTGTCCAGCATCTTCGCTTGATATCCCTCATGGCCATTTCCCCGACATGGAGGTACCACGGATCCTCCGTGGCGCGATAGAGGTAATACGTCGATTCAATGAATTCCGGGCGTCCTCCCCACCAGGTTAAGCCACCTTCGATATCACCGGTGGCAATATTCCATCTTTCGGGTAACGACGAGAATCGCGTCCATAACGCTGTAGTCAAGAGATGGGCTTCGGTAGCCCCGTCCAAATCCCCAGATAGCGTTAATAAACCAGGAAAATACGCGCTTAAGCTATCCATCCAAAATGCGCGTGTCGCTCCTGTAATGATGTCTCCCTGTATATAATGAGGATATTGGTAGCTGGAGCCGCGATACAAATGGTGCTTGATAGAGTGTCGCGCTTGTTGCCATGCCTTGAGGAAGGCATCAGGAGAATGGGCCTCTTCTGACAATGGCGTAAAATGACCGTCTAGCTCATGAAAAGGACCAGACGCATTGAAGACCAATGGTTGACCTTCAGAAAGTAAGATATGAGACTTCAGTGCATACTCAAAAAAACTATCGATGCCAGCACCAATCTGGAAATGGATAATCAGCAGACAGTCTCTAACAAATGGTGCAGCTTTGGGGGTAAAGCTTGGGAAGAACGCAAAAACTAGCTTACCCCCGTATATGAATTGACCCATTTCCCAGACTCCGCATCAATGCCAGCACCTATTAAACCAATTTCACTGCGTCTCGCCCACACAGACCAAAATGCTCTTTTTGCAAACTCTTCAAAGCGGCCGTCACCAGTAAGTCGGCTAAGGACCGTAAATTCTAAGACCAAGCTTCCGGCGCCCGCGCTACATGTCTCGGTGATTTCCGGAGGAAACGTCTGCTCCGAGCGAGATGTCCCCCCCTTGGAATTGGCATTTAGTGGTGACTTAGGATAAAACGGTACGCCATGGCGTAAATTAACTCGAGGGTACGGAAGGCCGGTCGCCGTGAAGAACGCAGGAAGCAGGCGAGTCCCCAGGTCCATTGCAAGCCTGAGCAATTGACCGTCATACACAAAACCGTTTGCCCAGCGTATCCCGGGACGACCTGAAGAGTCATCCTTCTTATTCCATAGCTTTGCATAGGACACTTCGTCTGCAGGAGGATGGTATCCCCGAATTGGCAGATCACCGACGGCAAAGAGGTGAGCACTCAGAAGGCCACCTAGAATGGATCTCGATCCCCGAGTAAGAATCACATCCTCATATATAGAAAGCATTGAGAAAGGCCAAAGTGTCTTACCAAGGCCACGAATGACCGTCTCGAAGACTTGGACTTTGCTATCAGCGTCAAATCCTTTTCCTCTCGAACCTGTACCCATGGCACCGTTGGAACCATCGCCATATAGCTCAACAAGGTGTTTCACCCCATCTTGAAAGTATTTCCATGCCTTCCAACCCTTGTGAGCCCTCGAGCCGGCATCCGATAATATTGCCAATGTCGACAAACTATCCACGAGGGTAAGTGAATAATTCCCGAGGACATCATTCAACTCAATATGCGCGGGGTTTTCGCGGTCGCGTGTCAACGGTCCGCAGGACAAAGGACGCAACTCGTCTTCCGGAAATGCATATTTCATATAATTATCAAATCCATGATAAAACATATGCTCTGCCTCTGCCCTATAAGGTTTTCCTTTACAATCAGTGACTGCGTTCTAAATTCTGTCGCATGACAGGAAGCGACAAACCTGAGCTCTGCAATCCGGCTCTCTCTCATCGCTTGAACACACGAGAGCCATGGCAGCAGCGCCAACGCCCAGAAGACCCATGTTTTGATAATTGCTAAACCGGACATCTGGGGGCGCCGGCATCTCGAGCGCATCACCGGTTTTCTAAATTTCTGAAAGTGGTCATGAGAGCGTACGCTTGGTTCCAAGCAGCCAGCTAGGAACTAAATGGCTTACTTGATAGGAAACAAAAAAGTCAGATGCTCAATATATATATACAAGAGGAGCCTCCATCGCGAGGTCATAGGGTTTGCCAAATGTGTCGGTACATTTGCTCGTCCTTCTTGCTGGGTAACTAGTTAGTTAAAGGACAGATAACCTCCTAATTATGTCAGCAAAAAATCCACTCAACCTTGTCAGATTCACTTTGTCTCAATTTTTCGCGTCAACGGCGCCAACAATTCCGTGGGATATATGTACATAATGACCTGCATGATTCGATGCAGTCTATATTTTAAAAATAGAATATAGGACAATATAAAGGAACAAAGGTAATCCCAGACCAAGCTCCGTCAAATCAAAGGAAGACTCGCTCCCTGTTCGCCTGAAGTTCAAAAAGAAAAAAGGGGACAAAAAGCTTCAGTTCAGACCAGCCGGTCCCTGATGACGGGGTTAAAATATTAAAAAAAAAAAAAAAAAAGGGAGGGGGATTCAATGATTGGAAGTCCTTAGGTTCTTTAAGCATAATTCCGCTCGGCGGGATGTATCGGGGATGGCTCCGTCGGTTGTATGCAGGATGGTTGTTGTAACGACCGCGGTTGTACATCAACAACATACCGAACTCCATCTTCGGAGACATAACTGGGTGGCCGATTCGCTGTTGAAGGCCGTGGCTCTGCAGTCTGAGAGGAACTCTGTCCTTCGGAACCACTTTCCTCCACTCGTTGCCAGTAGATCAAGTTGGGGTTTATTCTCTGTGGTTCGAAAGTCAGCACCAACTCGTCGACGTATGTGGCTGCTACTATAAATTTAAATCAAGCGTCGAAAAGTAAACAAACGTACCATACTGCCTCTCCACAGACCGTATGCAGGAGGCGGGGAAGCAATTGGGGAATTCTGGCCATCATCTTCCGTGTCGCTGGCGGCGATTTCTTCGTCCCTGGCAAATCTTACATGAATCGGCCGGTCTATCTCCGCAAATCTTACTCGCCGACCGTCGTAAGGTCCCTCATCCGAAGGACAATTGGAAGCAACCATGAAAAGGCGCACGAAAGAGTGGCAAAAGTATATCGTAAGAATCATCAAAATGAGAATAAGAAATATGTGAAATTCGCGTCCTTTTATCGATGTCGTCAATGCAAGCGTCATGTCTATACGGTTGATAAGCTTCTTGTACTCCGTACTGTACCTATAATGAGAAAAGTCCGCGAGGGGCTACTTACATACTGCTAGCACGATTGCAAGAATTGAGCCGGATATACCGCAACTGATCATTTTTCTCTTCGCTTCCCTCGTTTTAAACCCCGGGCCCAATCTAAATCGGCTTCTTACGGTATTCCGTCTCGTCTTGCGGGATGGCCTCACCCATGCAATAGGATATCGCCATCTACCATTGGATGGCATAGACGAGTCTCCATGGCTGGACGGTGAATTTTGGGGAAGTGGCTCCTGTGCTTCTCCACTTCCCTGACTCGTTGGAGTTGTGTTCGTTGAAGATATTATGTAGGCGTCGATAGCTTCTGCTGGTGGTGATGGCCCATGGTCGGTGTGTGAAGGCAATTGGCTTCCCTCCGAGCGTTTTGGGGGGAATAAGCGAAATCCTAATCTGCGGCCTCGCGAATTCACGGATAACTGGTCCCCATCTTGCCTTGTAGACGCTGGCTTTCCAGCAAAAACGGATGACACGCGATTGCGAAAAGATTCGAACCGGGTTGCCATCGGCTCTGGTCCCCTTAAATTCCTCTGCGATCGATGTCTAATAAATCGAGACTTTGTTGATGCGTAAATAGCGACATGAAAAGAGTCCCAAGTCTTATTTCCGTTCTTTCATTAACTTCTCTTTTTGAGTATCTGAAAGATATCCACAATTCAATACCCCCTTAAGCTCTGCGTCCGTTTCTTTGGCAATTAGTGTCTGCGTGTGGCTGAACCTTGGAAGGAGAGACTAATTTTTCAGGAGGTTATGCGGAGTACAATGTCCTCAAAAATCGAACTGCCCACAATCCATACCATTCCACCTGCTCACAACAGTCCTCACGATTCGAGTTGCTCTGAAAAAGGGGAGCGAGGTGGGAGGTTTTTCTCAGTGGGAACGACAGAACGCACCATATCAAGAGAAGAGGCGGTGCAAACCATGAACGCAGTAATTTCAACCTGAGACTCGAGGGGGAAAGCCCAGTGTTGCAAATCGAGCCGATGAACCAGCAGGAACAGGTCGCCAGCGACAATTCCCAGAAGCTCACTGCCCTACTAAAATGCAAGTCCAGTCCGGAATGAATCCAATCCAGCCCAATTCCGGCTCAAGGACCGACTTTTCAACGCTGTCCAGAGTTCGACAGGGCGATAGATTCTCAACGCCATAGGACGAGGGATCAGCAGCCCGGAATTACCAAGAGGGCGAACACCCCATAGCGACGTCACAAAACGCAGCGTTAGAAAACCTAACCTGTAACTCAAGTCAAACAAGCTGCCCACAATTGTCGACAAATCTGGCAAGGGTCTCCAGTCAGTGATCTCCCCAGGCCCCTTGGCCAATTGATGCTCTTGAGCTGATTCGCCTGCAGCAACTGTATCCAAGCACAAGGAGGCACGAAGCCGAAGGCGGTTCGAAAGCTCCAGCCCCGCGTCTTCATCCGAAGAGGCGAGGAAAGGACGCGATACATGCTGAGAGGTGTGCGGAGGAGGAACAGGGGGGTGATTTTGGTTTTTTGAGTGGCGTTTCAAAGTTCGTGATCCAGGGGCTATCGTTGGCCAAAAGCCCGCCGAGTGTCCGTGATGTGAGCGCCGGAGAAGGCTTGGCGACACCCTGATTCGCAAACCCATGCGCAACAATACCCAATTCTCCGACAAATCAGACAAGAAAGGGATAACTCTGTTGGTCAATGACGGTGAGCGTGACCATCTCAATATACGAGATTTTGATGTTGATCAGGGCAAGGCATCAGTTCTATCCCGTCTTTTCTCAACATTGGGCACATTCCTTTCTCGGGCACGCGGTGGTAGAAACCGATTCTAGAGACTGCGATGTTTATATTCCGTATGCGAGGGGGATAAATGGGGCATGGACATGGCTCCAAGGAGTTTAATTATAACTGATGATCATTCTTTGAGACAAACACAGGGTGGGAAATTACACTTGTCAAGAGAAACCCGCTTGTCATGGGCAAGATAAGAGATTTAATCCGAGGTTCTAACGGAGTACTCTGTAGTTCCTTAGAAAATGGATGATATGAAACAACGAAAATGATCACAAAAAAAAATAAATAAATAAATATGGACAGCGGGGTATATTAAGAACCAACGTTCCGTTATTCATACTCGTCGTCGCTTGACGACGAATCACCCTTCGACCCAAGCGCAAAAACCACAATCATCAACGTTGAAACAATCATAGTAAACGCGATACCGCCGGGCCACGCATTCTTTGCCTCGTGCCGAAATTCCTCCACCGTACGGAACAGTATCACCCAAGCATTCCCGCCACGCTGCAGCACAACCCCGTGGCACCAACAGCTATCGTAAAGTCCAATATTCTCGAACAGGGTGCTGACGACCAACCATGCCGCATTCATGACGGCGACTGCTCTTCCGCCGCAGCGTAACATAATGGCCATCCTTCCTAGCAAGGCGGGGCCATAGGGACTCGCAGGTCGCGCCATTGCAGCATGCGACAACACCATTGACACAAGCAGAGCCACCCAGGAGATTGTCCCGAAAATACCATAGAGAGCATAGCTTCCTGACCGACAGCCGAGACCTCCGGGTGGTGTGAGATACGCCATGAGGATCGACGCGCCAGTAGCGCCCCACTGTACCGTGACAGCCATGATCGAGGCCAGCACCATCCGCCACCAAACGTCTGGCGGGATGTTTGAAAATCTCGGGTACGTTGCGAATCGTTCACTGTGGATAATGCGAATTTCGGAAATCTCACTTTCGGATACCATGTTGAGAACTTGGGATCCTTTTCTCTTCGAAATCCTATCCGTTTGCCAGCTCGCTTCCGTCTCCGCATCGTGTTCTAAAGCAATACTTTTTGATGTCTGAATGAAAGCGTTGGCCGTCTGCCACCATGTGAATAATCGCGCATAGTTATACACTGGGCCCTTTTGGAGTTCATCTCCGGCAAAATTTACTCCAAGCCAACAGGAATGATTACTGTTCCAATTGCTGCGAATAGATATGGGGCTTTCTTCTCCGTCAAAAGAGGGCTCCTGGTGATCGGAGTCACCCTGGGGCTCGGCTGAGTGATCAAAATGCTTTATGCGCAGGGCGTCTTCCACCGCATCGTGCGTGCTCTGAGTTCCGACGATGACCCATCCACATATTACGGGTATCTGTGACAAGCTGTTAGTGTCGAGTGATATAACTACTTAGCCACAGGGGAATCCATGAACTCACCAACCACACCCAAAGTGTCCCTGCAGTAATCTCCATAACCGGGTCTAGGCTATCGATTGATGTTAAAAATGATGCGATAACGGTGAAGGTGTAGGCGATCACAGCGGAAAGTGCCTGAGCCACAAGAGACGCGGTAACCCCGCGCCTCGAACGCCGTAGCCGCCCATTCAGACCCTGCCACCAGACTTCCATTTGGGGCTCGAGCAGCCTTCGCAAGCTGTCTTGATCAGATGGCACCTGCAGAGGAACCTGTTGCGCCTCAGCAAGGAAATACTGCACGGCGTTAATTTGACGTTTGTACCGTTTCCGGGTCTCGCGACGTAAGCTACCAATTAGCAAATTGAGTTCCCGGCGTACCCAATATCGGTTGAGCATCGTGATGGTCAATGAAAAACCAAGTAGCGCAGGACTACCGACGGCAAGGCAGAGGCTCATGATGTCACTCCACGGACTTCCGGTTTCGTACGGCAGTTGCGCAGTGAGGGCCAGCCATGGCAGAAGATAATTCGTGAAAGCCGAGGAGAAGGAGCTGAAGTTGAAATTCTATCCCTTGTTAGTATCTTAACCTAGTATAAACATAGGTAGATGGATATATGATGTTTACCGGCCAGGGTAAGGAATCAGAGCTGCAATATGCATTGCATGTCTCGATATCAATCCCCCAAGTACGGTTGTCCAAGGAGAAAATGGGCCGTCCAAACTTGTCAGTTAACCCGTGTGTCAGATTCTCTAGGCCGTCACCCAGATATTTTGTTAAGGAATCAAAGCAATAACGTTCCCAACCAGAGACAGGTATTCTTTCTTGAAAGGAAGGGTCCATCTGTGCCGAGAATGCGAGTCTAGAAAATAGTTTTGGAGTTTCATAGTTCCACTGGAATGAAGGGTCTGGATGACATGATAAATCATATTTTATCTGCAGAAATATGTCCTGCATATATTGGTAGGAGTTAAAAAAAAAGAAAAAAAGACCAGTTGCAGCCTTCTTGTGCTGCAAATGAGGCTGTGCGGCTCTTCTGGGCCTGGGGTCAACGGTCCCCCTCTTGACTGATTATCAGAGTCATGCCCAAACTCGGACGTGACACATCTATTTTTAAAAGTATTGTCATCTACTCACGAGCTCGACCTGGCGGGCATTTGCAGAACCAATGAATGTAAGCGAGGCAAAGTTCCCGGAGCACTCGTATACGCACAGCATGCTGGGTTGAGCCCCTCGTCGAAATTCATCAGATCGCCGTCAATCAATCCGCCAAGCAATCAGTCAACAAAGAAATCTATTCGTATATCTGGTGCGTCAACTGCCTTGATCGCTGTCCTTGACTTTCTCCCCCCGGCCCGTATGGAATAATGAGGCTGCTGAGGAAGAAATGGCTATCTGCCAAGCTTGCGGGAAGTACCCCAAGGCGGGAGGCGCACGGCACTGTATACACGTGACATTGCACTGCCCAAGCGGACGGCGGAGCGGGTAAACGGTATTTACTTAGGTCGAGCGCGAAGAGAAATGCCATATCACTGTTTACTGCAGGAAAAGGTCAAAGGCAATAACACATGTCCGTGGAGACGGACAGGAACACACACAGTCAGGGGAGGCTTTATTCCAGCCACTCTTGAGTATACAATACAAAAATCCAAGCCAAAGCGCTAGAAGAAATGAAAAGATGCACACGTTGAATTTTGGAATTTGCCCAGATTCGAAATTATTTGCTAATCTCGCCAAGGAAAATGCAACGATCGGACGATCCCGAAACGACTGGTCGAAGAGTATATGTCAGTAAACAAGGCTTTTTTTTTTCGTTTAAGGAGGATGGAACTTGGGACATGGTCTCTCCGTGACTTACTTATGGGCTCGTCATTTGGCGCAAAGCGCACATCATTGACAACTCCCTTGTGGCCTGGAAGCTTATATAAAATCTTCGCCGACTTTGTATCCCAAATCACCACACTTCTGTCCCCACTTCCCGCAGCAATCTTTTCTCCGTTAGGCGACCAGCTGGCTCTAATGAGATTCTTCTCGAGGCCTGTCGTTGCGCCGTCATAGGTCTTGATGTGTCGATCTGCCGGCGCGAACGGTCGGATATCCCACGTTCGAACGGTGGAATCGTGGGAATTTGAGAGCAACGATTGCGAATCCGGCGAAATCTGTAGAGATGTAACCGTATCTGTGTGGCCAATCATGGAGTATACGATCGATCGTTTTCGAATATCCCAAACGTGAATATCGTTATCGATGCCGCCGCTGTAAATTTCATTTCCAGCCTCGGCCAATGCAACCGCCGTGATGGGCATTTCAGTCTCCAGAAAATCTATCGCGTCTTTCTTCCGGGGATCCCAAATTCCAATACATCCATCATCGCTGCCGCTAATTAGGAGCTCTTGTCCGCGCTTGCTGAGATCAAGACAGTTGATGACTTCTTCATGGCCAACGTGCCGACGTATCCTTTCTCCAGATTCAAGGTCCCAGCTAGCGAGAGTCATATCTGCAGACGCGGAAAAGATAATACGAGAATCGCGAGACCAATGTAAGTCTAAGACAGCGCCTTTGTGTCCGGTCATCACTCCGTAGTTTTCGCATTGCCCGTACGTTCGCCATAACACTAATATAAAGATGGAGATTAGTTCCCATTGCCCACAAGTTGTTGACCTGAATTGCGTACATATTGACCTGTCCATTCCACCAGATGCGATGTGTTGACCCGTTGGATCGAACCTCGTCGCAAACACCTCCCCCGTATGGCCTAAAACCATGCACGATCAGCTGATCCGGTCAATCATCAGGGCCTTTGCCACACTACTAACCTGTAAGTTCCATAATAGGAGCTTCGAGGCCACTCGTCCGGGGAATCTGTGACCACAATCAGCACTCTTTTTCTCTCCTCCCCCCAATTCTTCCACAGGGAAGAGATTTTTGGAGCATGGCATACAGCTTTCATCAGCGCCCCATTTTGAGAGGTGCTACTCGATACAGCAAGAGCATTGTTATTTCCCAAATCTGCATCTGAGCGCTGTCGTTTAACAAGCTGCGTTGACCCGAACGAGTCTTGAGCTGGTCTTTTCTCGGCGGACATCATTATCATCGCATCAAATAAATTGGGAAACAGAAGCGGGAGTCTGCAGTCGATCTCGGCACAAATAAAGTAGGGTGCGATTTAACCGGGAATTATTTAATGCGAGGGCGTGCGACAATCCAGGGGGTGGTATATCGAAAATCACCAACCGCTGCTCGTGAGGGAAACGAGGGTCGAACGGGGTTTGGAGTTGCTCCGCAAAGCAGCAACCTGCTGTGAAGGTTTGCTTCCTTTCACTAGCGCGAGAAGCCCCCCCAAGCAGACGGCGTCTCGGCGGCTGGAGCGCTTAAATTTAGCTCAGCTCCACAGGTCAGCACGCGGGTCTGATCATCGTATTCTAATTTCAAGAACATAAGCATATTTGAACTCATACTCTTGGACTCTCTCCTCCGACACAGCATTCTTTCACTATCCCTGACTCAGAACTCAACACCATCCATCGGCAACTCCCTCCCCAGGGATCTATTGCAGACTTACAGCTTGGACCTTCCCCCCTCATCCCTGATACTGTCAATATCATGTCGGCCACAAAAGCCGCCAGAATAGGAGAAGAGTATGGCTTTATCTTCCCGATGCTACAATCCACCCACTATTATTCGGATCGATGCTAACACTCTTGCTTCCATCCAGGATATGGAAGTGAGTAAAAGCGAATCCTTTCCATCCCGGGCCGCCTATGTTCTTGAGACCCCTTTCCATCCAGCCCGATGGATACTCGCGCAAACAATGCAACGTCCAGATAGCATATTACTCACTGAAGATATAGGACGAAGGTTGACAAGGTGAATGCGGAACTGGTCACTCTGACATACGGCACTATTGTCGCGCAGCTCTGCAACGACTATGACCATGACTACATCGAGGTCAACCGGCAACTAGACAAGATGGGATATAATATCGGAATGCGCCTGATTGAAGATTTTCTCGCAAAGTCGAGCGTGGGGAGATGTTCAAATTTTAAAGAGACCGCAGATATGATTTCCAAGGTCAGAATGCCTCCAGCTTGCCTAGGATGAGGATCGACGCTGAAAGATCTGCCTTGAGCGCAAATATACAGGTTGGCTTCAAAATATTTTTGAACATCACGCCTACTGTGACGAATTGGACTAGCGATAATAAGCAGTTTTCTCTGGTTTTTGATGAGAATCCACTTGCGGACTTTGTGGAGCTACCGGATGATGGACGGGCACAGGATGAACTATGGTATTCAAACATTCTATGCGGCGTGCTAAGAGGCGCATTGGAGATGGTAATTGCGCCCCTAAATGTTCTCCAGCCTAAGCTTGCTCGCAGTTCCACTAAACAGATGACTATGATGCAGGTACAAATGCAGGTAGAGGCACATTTTGTGAGTGATGTTCTACGCGGAAACGATACGACAGAGATGCGGGTCTCGCTGGTGAGGTACCTTGAGGACGAAATGCCGCCTGACGATGAGTGATGTTGAAAAAAGAAAAAGAAACAGAGAAAAAAAAAAAGGAAAAAAAAAGGAAAAAAAAAAAAAAAAAAGACAAAATAAAGCAATGGTGAAGATTTCCCCTGTTGAATTATACTGCGAACTGGATCGCGATCAGATTGTGCATGGAGTTTTTGGGGGCCGTGATTTTCTTTTCTGCCAGCATGTTCCTCTTAGGCGCCCATTGTCCCCCCGTTGATCTAATTTGAGGATGTCCTCCCCTGGAAAGTAAATCTCGCGAAGCCTGGTCCCCGAACCTAGCCGCCTGATGTCGCCTAGAGCCAGCGCGGGGTGCTGTTCTGCAACACACGCACTCCTCCTCCGGCTGCGATCAACGGTCGCCGGGAAAGAAAAAGACAGAGAGAGAAAAAAAGAGATAGAAAGAGAGCCCTTTTCTTTCTTAAGGAGCGAGCGACAGAGGCACGTGACCTGTCATGTCGGTTTCCCGACCAATCAGCGCGGGCGGTCGGGCATCTCTCTCGCAGATGATTTTCCGTTACAAAGAGGGAAAAAAAAAGAAAAAGTCAGAAATCCATCAAGAAGCCCATCAAAACTTCCCCCCGCCTCTAGTCAGGCGGTTCTTCCAATCCACCGCAAGGGATGAGGTTGCACAAGCAAAGAACTGTGAGAAGAAATCAATTGTCTGGCAACTTCACCAATGACGCAGCGTACTGAGATTAAGCATAATAACCTCCATGCTCAAGCAATGAGATTATCGCCATCCGTACGGGAGTGTACCTAACATACATGCTCATACATGCACGGAAGCCGGAGTGGGTGTCCAGTGGAGGTAATGGCGTTACCAGTGCACCGTATTGTGAAATCATGCAAGTCTTGGCCGTGTATCAACCGGTTTGACCTGAGTAAGGGACCCTTTTTTTCAACCCCAACTCTCTCTCTGTGTGTGTTTGGTGTTCTCTCCCACCCCACAGCGAGGACAGCTACACCGGCCAACATTGTAGATACAGCAGGCATCGGCAGCCCTGTAGACTGAAGCCGGAGAGGGTGCCTTCACCATAGAGGATGGCAACTGTTCCTGTAGGCATGGAGATACGTACTTGCGGTCCGGTAAGAATGCGGCGGTACGGTAATTTCGCCGCCCCCCTGCCGCGTGATGGGTGCCGTGACAGAAAGTGCGGCGGGCGGGCGTAACTGCAGGACCTCCCGCTGGCAGCCTCCCCGAGCCAGCGAGAGAATATCATGGACGATTTCTCCCCCCAGCGCCGCACCGATTCCGCTTCAACAAACTCGCTGCTCGCCCGTGATCGCGTCGGAAGCGAACGAAGAGATGAACGTCGAGGCCGTGCTGCTGTATTCACGGGTCTAGGGTGAATTGGCCTGTTCGAGCGTGTTGAGGCGTCATCCAGTCCTCTCCTTCAACCGTCAAATTCCACAGTCACCGCAAACCCAAACGCCAAACCCAATCTGCTGGTCCCTCCTCGCTGCCCTTTTTTTTTTTGCCTGGTAAGCAAATCCCAGCGCCCAACCACACCACTTTCTCCGCCCCCCCGACTGGAAACAGAGGATCAATCGCCCTGCAACTCTACCCGCCAGCCGACTTCATCCACACACTTTCTTCGCGAACACACGCAATCCTCTTCTTTATTCTTCGTCGTCTTTTTTTTTTTTTTTTTTTTTCTTTTTCCATCGCGAAGACGGCGACCATGTCTTGCTAGTTGCCCATCTTCGTGTGGTTATCTCAAATGACTGACGCGCTCCAGTCGACTATCCAAGGTTTCCATCCTCCCTCCAGCCATCGCCAGCCCGCCTCCCGGCCACAACCCTAGAACACCTAGCTTTGATATCCCACTCTTGTCTGCCCGCATCTGCCATCATTTATTTCTTTCTTTCCACTGTCGCTTTCCGTTCCAACCTACGTCCCGCTCGTCGCGACATCAGGCTCTTCCGCCCGAATCTATACCCGTACGTTCCTTCGTTACCGGTTGGTTCCAAGCTTTGTCATTCCCGTGGGACATCCTATTAAAGTTGTTGTGCCCTTCGCTCGCCCACACTCAATCAACTCGCCACCCCAACGCCCCATCTCCAACAAGAACTCAACTTTCAAGTGTCAACAGGTGTCGCTGGATCTAGTTGCACCCAGCCATCTCGCAGACCCAAGAAAGGGGAGATCTAAGCAGCAGGGCTATTGTCAGAGTAGCTTCGTCCTTCCTTCCTCTTACCTTCTCTGGCCGTCTTCTTGTTGTTGACCCGGCAAGCTTCTGTCCCGCTCTCCTCAAGCCCCTCAGTTCCATCCATCGGCCCCCCCCTCCTTCCCGTCGCTTCTCGCCGGAGTATCTATCCCAGCTTCGTGGGTAGGAGTAGGTCAGATCCTTCGCTGGTTTATAACACCAAGTGACTGGCCCAACTCGATACCGTCATGAACCAGATGAACATGCAGGGGATGCACCCCGCCGGAGGCCCAGTGGGCGGCATCCCCATGATGAACACAGGCTCCTCCGCTCCCCGTAGCGACCCTAATGCCAATCCGAACGTCTCCCCGGACCACACCATGGTCGTACAGCTTAACACCTACATCTACGATTACTTCCTCAAGCGTGGCTATATCGACTGCGCCAGAGCTCTCGTCAAAGATAGCAACGTCCCGATGAACACAGCCGCACCGTCAAAATCCGGCCATCGCGACGGTGAAGTTAATGGCGTCGATCCAAATGCGATGGTCACAGATTCAAATGATGATGCAAAACCAAAAATTCCCGACGATCTTCCACGGCCTAATCTGAACGGAGATATGCAGCAAACGTCTTTCCTTTTTGACTGGTTTAACCTCTTCTGGGATGTCTTTTGGGCGCAGAGAAAGAAAGGAAAGAGCACTGATGCGATGCAGTATCTTCAGCACACACAAGTATGTCGAACACGCTTCATGCCTTTTTCTTCTCGCTAATAAACTATTTTACAGAACATTCTTCGTCTCCGTGACCACCAGCAAAACCAGCTTTATCGCCACTCTCAAATGATGCCCAGTCAGTTTAATATGAGAATGGGGAATGGCATGATGCGAACGAATATGCAAAAGTCATTAATGCAGGCAAACGCTCCTAATATGTATGCTATGTTGTGTCGATAGCCAGGCCGTTGCGATGTGCTGACCTTACATCTTTTGCTAGGACTCCACAACAACTTGCGCAGCTGCAGCAAAATAAAGCTCAACTGATGCACCATCAGATGCAGCGCGAGCATTCGGACATTGAAATGAATGGGCATCGCCCTCAGTCACCCTCCTCTGTCGAGAATGCGCCCTCCCCGTCGAAACGACCTCGCCTTGATGGAACACAGGTTAATGGACAACAGATGACACCGAATGGTCGCGCGCAGTCACAAGGAATGCCGGGTCAGCCAAATCAACAGACCAATAATCTGTTGATGCAGCACGGGATCAACCCAAGAAATCTGACTCCGGCTCAAATCCATTCACTGCAAGCACAAAATCCATCGGTACAAGCAAAGTCTCTCCAGGTATATAATCAGAATCTGGCAATGCATCACTCGCGCTCAGCTATGAATAACCAGGGTATGCCAAACGGCTTAATGAATCCCGGTGTGATGCCAAACCAAGGCGAAGTCATGCCCCTACACGACGGTCAAGGAATGCTGCCGATGCAGGATTACTACGCACCGAACGGCCAGATGGCGCAGATGCGACCCGGAATGCAAACGCCCGGCGGACAGGCTGGTGGTGGGAACCACGCGCTTCAAGATTATCAAATGCAGCTGATGCTCTTGGAACAGCAAAATAAGCGTCGACTTATGATGGCTCGACAGGAGCAAGATAACATGGCCCGGGCTGATGGCCAGCCTGGAATGGTTCAGCCGAATCTGGCTCCGGGAACTTCTCCCCAGGGCAGTAGAACCGGTGCATCTCCAAATCCAAATGAGCAGATGAAGAGAGGCACGCCAAAGCTACCTCAAACTGGTCTCCCCGGTTCGCCAAATGTTGGGGATAATATGGGCCAAAGTCGTGGCTCGCCTGCATCAATGAATTTCGCTGGCGGGCAAATGCCCCCTGAGATGGGTGGAGCTGCGTTTTTCAGTATGAAACCCGAAGGGGTAGTTGGCCCCAACGGAATGCGGCCGCCAAGCTCGAATCCCGCGTTCAGTGGTCCTCAAATGACACAACCGATGGATGCGATGGCGCGTCCGCAACCGCCTGGGACAGCGAACAGAATGCCTGCCGGCAACTGGCAACAGACCCCGCAAGGCCAACCTATGATCCCGCAACCGCAACAGCCCGGTCAAGGTCCACCTGGTGGAACTCCTCAAGAGCGAAACGCAATGCCGCCACCTCAAGCTCCTGCTGCGGGCGCAGGTGGTCGAGCTCAACCACCTTCTCCTCAACCTGGCACTGTTGCACCGCCGACTCCACAACAAGCGAACAAACCAGCTCCAAAGACGAAGAAAGACACCAAAGACAATGCGAGAAAGGTAATGAAGGTTAATATCGTATACTCCATTGCTACGTTCCAATGCTGACTGAATTTTTAGCGTCCTACAAAAGCCAAGGGCCCTGCAAATACAGGAAACACGGCTGCAACACCGTCATCCGAAGCGGAACCACCACCAACTCCTACGCCATCGACCCCAATCACCCCTGTGCATCCGAATTCATTCAACAAACCTGGCCCCAATGCTAATGCGCCGCAACCAACACCAGCACCGCAAGCTATCGGGCAACAACCACCGCCTCAGCCGGCGCAACAAGCACCACAGGCCCAACCTCCACAACCTCAGCAGCAACAATCCCAACCGCAGCAGCAACCTCAACAGGATCCCAACCTACCTTTCGGTGATATGAATCTCCCAGATGTGAGTCGAGTTCTGCATGATTCGTAAACGAACCGTGATCTAACATGTTTCATTTAGACCCATAACTATAATCTCGACTTCACCACCCTTGATAATCCTGATATCCTTGAAAATTTTGACTTTGACACATTCCTCAACACCGACGATCCAACCACATTTGCTTTCGAGCCCGGTCTGAGCTATCCCGCCGACGGTGTTGAAGCAGGAGCTGGAGAGACAATGTAAAACCCGTGTTCCTTCCTTTTCACCGGCGTTACTTGCTTATTTTTCTATTTTCATTGTTTTCTACTCCTTTGTTGAGTTTCAGCTAATCTGGCGTCTGCGAATTTTCTTTCCGATGTTGTTTACTCTTCACCTTCTCTACATTTCTCCTTTTTCTCTTCTTTATCGTCTTCACTTTTAATATCGCTTCTAGAATACAACAGGGCAATCATCACACTGAGGATACCGACAAAAGAGCTTTTGACTTTTACTTTTGCTTTTGCTTCCCCCCTCTTCTCCCGCTTTTCTCACTGCTCTGTCTCTGGGTTTACTTCTTGGTTCTTTTCTCTGCCCTCATTTATATCGTTTATCTGCGATTTCCATAAATTGGATGTGGGTGATTGGATGGGGGCGTGGAATGGTGGTAACAAGGTGCAGGGCGTGTTTTATCCTTATCTTTTTTTGCTATACTCCCCGTATACGGCCGGCTCCTTTTTTTCTCGTTTTCTTTTCTTTTCTTTTTTTTCCCCCCTTAAACAGCAAGTGAATTTTGATTTTCCCACATGTTTCCTCATTTTGTCCGGCGCGCGCGACTGTTTCTCGCACTCTTAACGCAATCGTCCCTCTTTGACTCCCTTGACACTAAGCACCACTTTCCCCCTATTTTTCTTTTTTTTCCCCTTTTTTTTTTTTTTTTTTTTTTTTTTTGCTTTTGTCAAAATTCCTTTTTCTGTGGGGTTCACCATGTTCCTTATTATTATTTGATTATACTTGGATTTGAGTGAAATACCTAGGTGCATGCTGTGTTTTCTATCTATCACCTAACCTTTCATCTCGCCTCACTCCATCCATCCATCCATCCATCCCATCATCACCAAAACAGATCATGATGCCTAACTATGAAACGCTGTTATATCATTCAACCAAGCCTGAAGTAACTTCTCTCTCGTCATGTTCCATCTGGCATAGCTAAGTATGTATCTATTCAGGAGGTCTTTTGTCTCTCCTCATCCCACACGAGATCCATTCTCGAATCCCAAAACCTACTTATGGTACAGTACATACATATTTAAAACCCCTCGCACTTTATCTCTGTTCGAATCCTTCGTATCAACGTACCTCCGTAGCCTTCAGATAGCAGCGCTCTCTTCTCAAATCAAGCATTCCTACTTAGCTTCCTAGACTCCGTATTCAGGCACCACTGAATGAAACCTTTTCTTTTTCTCCAATTTCCTAGGTAAGGACCCTGTAATGGCATTCGCGACATGACACCAAAGTGATACTGTGAACAATTTCTTAGACTATTATGCATAATTCCATGCTGGCTAGTTTAATGGCTATCAACAACAATAATGTATACAATACACAGACGTATCGATGCGATTTCCTAGCAATCCTCTCATCACAAAGCCAACCCGTTAGTGGGCTAAGATTCACTCCTTTATCGATCTACGTTGCTTTCTATACATCTGCCTGACTCTATCCTGTAGCAGCTTTCGGCTCGTCAAAATAACCGCCTGGATAGAATTTACGCTACATCCCTCCAGAACTGTGCGGCACCGTCATCACTTCGTTCGGGCATTGAACCTCATTCCAAGCATCCAACTCTATTCGACGTCGGAGATCGACAATCTGGTAGCCCTTGTGGCAGACAGGTCCGAAGAATTTTCCTTTTCTAGTGTTTCTTTCTCCTTTCGGCGAGAGATCTTTTTTGATGGGGTTGGTGACAACGATGACGTTGAATCAATGCTCTTTCTATCTGTCTTTGGTGACCTTTTCCTTTTGCTATCAATCGAGGAAGTAACTGGAAGTGTCGGCTTCAAATGAGTCCCGCGTGAAACAGAACCATCTCTGCTAGAGGCCGGGGATAAGGCTTTTTCTTTGCCAAATGCATTTGGGCTGGGGCTAAGAAGGCTACCAGGGAGTTTTCCGCCAGAAGATGCATCAGACACAACACTGGAAGCAGAAGATACCCTTGAACCAGGCTGGGAAATCTCTTGCAGCGGTCCAGAACGTGTTGCCTTAACGCGAGTCTCCGCAGTAGCCGACAGTTTGGTCTTTTTCGGGGCAGTCGAAACTGGCGTGTTGGCAGGAGCACATGTACCGCCACTAACAACCTTTTTAGGACTCAATGCCTCAATTAGCTGGTTATACTGTTCGTCATCAATCGGAGCTGGTGCGCTAGGTTCTTGGTTCCTTGAAAAGCTCATGTTACTAGATATGGCTCGGCTGCTGCTTGTAGTCGAAGCCACGTAATCTGGCATCGAAACGTCATCCAAGGTCGAGCGATTATTGCTACAATTCCTGTAGGGATCAACAAAAGGATCCACAATTGGGGGAGTCGGGACAACCCATCCCAGATCGCCTTCGGGCCAAAGATTGTGCTGCCATGGCACGGCAGCAGTCCCCTGAAGTCGGTAGGGTAAGTTAGCCTGGCCGGGATCTATGTTACCGATTGTAGGCCGAGTGTCTTGACGGCTTGGTGAATGCGAATGCGCATCATCATCTTTAACATAAGCCTTCTCTCCCCCAACGCTATACGGCAAAAAGGCACGAGGGCCTTGGAGCCACATTCCTGGATTTGGCCAAGCGATATTGGAGTGTTCTAGAACATCTATTCCTCTGGTAAGCATAGAGAACATTTTACTTGACGTTCCATCCATCCTGCTACTTACTTAGAGGGGCATGCTGAAAGGAGAAAACGATAATATCCCTCACTCGTTCAAAAGGCGGAGAACGATGGGGTCTTGTGAGCCCCTCTGCAACAACAACCCTAATCCGGCCGTACATCTCCCCGGCGTCCCAGTGGGTATGGCGCAGGATCTCTTCGTGAAAGGGAGGGAAGCGAATGCAGTCTTGGTCTCCATTTTTGTCCAATTCTCTCCAACTGTCAGTAAGTTATACAATATGTGCAAATACGCCCTGCATGGACTTACGAGAACTCCATTCTATATGCACGTCAGCCTTGGGAGTCAGACATTGGGTATTTTTTCCATAGAAAAACACTTACCGACGACATGAGGCCAATGAGCTTTTTGGTTGAAAAGGCTTCCCCTTGAAGTTTCTCAGCAATGATGCCAGCTCTACCCGCTTCAGTTGAGACTTCTACTTACGAGACGCAGAATCCATCAATGAAAATCCGCACCTCATACATGACAGAGTCATCCGGCTGCATCACACCCTCCAGAACCCTGGTGGGGCGAGGCCTCTCCCAGCTATGAATGGAGACCCTAAACGGGTTGTCCTGGGGAAGACTTGGAATGAAAGTGGTGAGGACTGGAACCTGGCCAGGGCCACCCTGAAGACTGTTGTTATTCTGGGGAAAGAAAAGACTCGGGTTAATGAATGCTTGGGTCTGCAAGTACGGAGATTCTAAAAACTCCGCCATATAAAACTTAGCACCTAAAACTTGAAGGTTCACAGCTGAAACAGAAACAGAGAAAACGAACCACGGTCTTTGGTAACGAAGCACTGCGTCCTAAACTCCTGGATGGGCACCCTCGACCCCTCGGCAAAGAGGAGGACGTCCCAATTCTCGTAGCGCATGGTGTTAATCTTTCGAAGCTATACCAGAGCGGACTGTCCGTGGAGCGAGCAACAAGAGGGGAGACGGAGAGGATCTGCAAACAGCGAGCGAGGGAAAGCTATTCAGATGAACCATCGATGAGACTCGCCAACGACTGGCGATGGAGAGCGGAGGTTGAATGAAGGGCGGAGAATGTGTGTGTGTTCGTCAAGAGCGCAGCAGAGCCGCCAGCCGTCCATCAAGCCTTCTGGTTTCAGATAGGAAGGTAACAGGATGCGCCTCTTCTGCTCATTGAAGGAAGTAATAATGGATGCAAATGACGTCGCAAATTCTCCTTTCTTTTTGGTTCAAACATATTGTCTGGAAAGCTCAAAGGGGGGGGAATAGGTGCTTTCTTGTCAAGGCAACTCATCCATGCGTGTTGGACTACGCGCTTTCCACAACTCCACACTGTGACTACCCCCATTTGTATGGTTATATATGATTATGTGTAGCGTAGTATGCTATGCCTATGTATACATGTTAGTTGGATAGTTGCTACATATTAAACTAGACTGTTCATACCTGCTCATCTTGATTTGATCGCACAAGCCGTCGTTCTAGATGAAAGCCAGCTTTCTCTTGTAACACTTTTTGTTGACTGGATTGAAATCTGACAGTCTAGCATTGAGCTTGAAATCCTCATTATATATTGATATTCATGTCTCTTGTTTATTTTTATTTTTTCGTCAGAACTGTTCTCTTCTGCTGTCCTTGTCTGAGCTGCTTTTCTTGTAAAGTTCTGATCTGCTACATAATAGTTACTGGGTACTCCGTACCTAGTTAACTAGTTAACTAATAACTAACTAGTTAAACTCCTGACTTCCCATGTCTTTCACCCAGGCTTAGAAAGTTGAATTGAATCAACAGTGCAAACAGAAATCTTGCCTTGGGGTCTGTTTTGCAGGAGAATTTGCACAACAAATCAACCTTACCACAATCAAGATGATCATGAAGTGGAGGCCTTGTTCTGTGATGATATCTTTCCTAACACGCTGCAGCTTCCTCTTGGTAAAGTTATATTGAAATGTTGGACCAGAAGGTATATCAATGTGGGAGAGATTATGGTGGATGTCAAGCAAGTCCAAGATGAATGTTACTGTGCAGGAGAAAGGACGGGACAGAAGCTTTCTAAATGAGATGCCTACCAGTAAGTTTGCCTCTCTCTTGCTTACTCTATTGAGAGAAATTTCTTATGAAAATACTTTAGCTACTTTATTGGATTTTCTACCTTTACCTTTACTTTTTATTTTTATGTTTGGGCCTAGCTATTTTTGCTAACCAGCATTTAACCCATTGACATTGATCGTTGGCTAATATGGGAGTTCAAAAGATTGCCCTATTCTGCATCCAACACACTCCCCGGCTGTAAAACACAAGCAGTTTCGCCATCTCAACGGAATACCGGGAACATGTCGATGACATACTGAATGAGGAGGTTGGAGAACTTCACGCGGACATCCCCAATTGTTTCGAGGCTTAACTTTGGAGCAGTCTTGGAATTCAAGTTTGACTGCAAAATTGGTGTTGGACAGGTCCAAAGAAGGGGATAACCCTCTCTACTATGAAGAGAATAGCTGGAGGGGCTGGCCAGCAGTAGAAAGGGTTGTTTTAAGTCGGCTGGCAGATGTTCTATTGAAACTTTTTTCCCTTCCTCCCATATGGGCCTCAAGGAGTAACGTATTTCTTTTTCCGCCATTTTCGAGGTTCTCTTTCCCATGACTTTCTCCATGATCTTTTCTAGGGTGTTGAGCAAAGCGACTCTGCTCAGTAAGCCTTGGCTGGCCTGTTGTCGTTCTTTCCTGGTTTTCTGAGAGCCGCTGTCTCTGTCACAGACGCCCTACTTGGATTTTTACGGCAAAGGATGCCGTGAGTCCGTCGAGCGAGACATACACAATTACATCTATCCAAAACAGCTCCCGTCGATCCCAGAGACTTCTTTTCCAAGCAAGCCTCCTAGGCTCCCTTCCAGTGAAACGCCAACATATCCCCTTGCTGGCTATCAGGGCTGGGGGAAGCATCATGCATCTCATTGCCATGCCCAAGGCGAAGTTTTTTCTGGTATTGATGTTTCCGGCCCTCTCCATGCGTCCAATAGACCCAGCCTCCCAATACAAGAAGGGTCAAGAGGACGGTGGCCACGCCATAGATCCAGATCCAAGAGGACAGGACTTTTTGCTCCTGGCCAACTTGGAAGTTGAAAAAGGTGGTGCTACATAGCGTCTGCAAAATGAAGCAGAAATAATCAGTATCGAGTTCTGGCAATACTTTGATGTAACTGGGGGCAACTGGTGTTTCGATGGCGCCGAACACTCACGGCGGTGAACATTCCGGGTAGGAACAAAAGTGTGACCACAGCAATTATCCGCATATCCATGCTGTCACGCCTCTGGCTCTCGGCAATGGATCGGTTGAGATGGTTATCTCGCTGTCCGAGCAACGTGTAGATCTGCAGTCATGATTAGAAACATTGTCAGATTAAACAATAGGAATTTTCTTATCTACCGTCTGTGTCTGAGCTTGTATGCGCTTGTGGGTGTACTCTGCAGCGCCAAGGAAGTGTGTGAAGCTGCTTTTCATCAGGTCCAGTTTTTCGATCATTGAGGCCCAGTATAGGTCGCGTTCAGCCGTAGTAACTGCATAAGCAGCCGTTGACCACTGAGCTAGTGTTTCTAAGAACCGGAGCTGTGTTTGACAGATAAATTCTATATGAGATATTGCCCCTGGAAGAACGGTCAGTTTCCTTATAGTTCTGTCCAAATCCAAGGCCTCGGATCTGTTGGGATGATCTGGATCGGTGTTGCGATAATGTAGGCCCGTATCATTTTCAACTTCCCATACTTTATCGCGATGTAGTTGTAGAGAATTTGAAATTCTTAACAATGATTCCTCGATGAGTACGGACGGCAGAAAGAGCGGATGCGTAGGCTTAGAATCATGGACAGACCAGTCTTTAAGCCACATTTTGAGAGATTGGATCGAATTATTGTGAAGTCCGATGATTAGAGCACATGTTTCCCGTGTCTCTCCATTGTAGCTCATTGCAAGGCAGTAGAACCAATGCCCACCGTGGTTATTCCGCAATACCAGCCCTACATACTATTAACATATTCTCGTGCGTCCAGGGCGAGGAACATTCGCTAACCGGAGACACGATCGATCTGAGCCACGGCCTTTGCTGTATAACAGACTGACATTTCCCTCGAATCGGCAAGATAGGTCAAGGAGGGGAGGTTCCAGGCACGGGTTATACTCTGTAGAGTGCGCCGTGGAATTGCTCCTAAAGCCGGAGGCTCACCATCTGGAGACGCCGGGCTGAACCTTTACGCTAATCAGTGTGTGTCGTCAGTTGGAGGATGCTTCTCAGCGTACAGGACCCTGAGAGTTGCCTTTGGCCGAGCTTCACGAGGCTGCAGTGGGTAGTTAGTGGTGTCAGTCGGCAGATTGGCCCAAAAAAAAGGGAGGGCCTTAGGAGATACCCATTGCAGCAATTCTTCCTCGCTCAAGAATTTCTCACTGGAGCTGAAACCAGCAGGGCTGTTCTATCGGGCGCTCAACTCTTAGCTGAATAGTTCCCCGACCAAATTACAAGCCGTTAACATACGAACTCATCCCAAATTTCAACGTACTGCCACTCGCGTCGGGGTTTCAACACTGAGGTGCGTCCTGATTGCCCAAAACGGAGCGTCTTCATCTCGATAACCTCGATTCTTGGTTTTGACGAAAACGATAACCTGGTATACAAAAGAAATAACACATGCGGTATGGATGGGAGAGATGTCTGTCCTTATATGCGCCACAGCTGGCAGTAGATGTGAGAAATCTTTTTCTGGCGCCTGGGACGTTTTGCCCGTTCATTTTAAGTACGGACAAATTTTAATGTGCCTTGTATTTCACTGCCTCGCCTATCAGCCTTGTCGAATTCTTGATATTGAGCTTGCTGTACTCCGTACTGGGCGCCTTGGACAGCCTGAGCCGCAAGCTGCTTTTAGTGTAACTAGCTGTTTCAGCATACGGCAACCACCATTTCCTATACCAATTGCTAATTTAGAGGCCTCAATATCTAAATCTCAAAACATTTAATTTATTGGATAATTGGTACTTTATTTTCTTCGACTGACCTTTTATAATATTAGCATAATAACACTCTAATCACTAGGTATATAGTTAGGTGAGTACTGAGTCGTGCAGCCAGGGACACCGTCGCTTCAATCCTCTGTTAACTGATATTGTGTAATTGAATTACCAGGTAATAATCACGAACGGACAAACTGGGTATTCCATTCCGAATCTTCAGTGGCTAGTCCGTACCTAATCCGGTATCGCCATACTCAAGGTCGTCCGCAATATCGTACAAGCTCATTATATCGAACCGAAAAAAAAATAAAATAAAATAAAATAAAAATTAAGCAGCCAAATCCATGAGACGCTACAAAGAAAATGGCAGATAATAGTCGAGTACCATAGGAAAAGGGTTCGAATGAGCCGCTGCGCAGACTGCAGAATACAATTCAACCACCAAATTGGGGAGGGGGGAATATCACCTCACCAATTTTCAGAAAAGGAAAGCTGCAGTTGGAGAACTCCATGAGATACGATGCCGCTTCAAAGTACCAAATCCAGTTAAGAAAAGAAAAGGAAGAAGTCCATTGGAAGTAGCAGACAAAGGATGTATGAAGAACCGCGCTGGGCTAGAAGCCTAAAGTCACATACTCATATGAGAAAAAAGGACGCACCGTTTGGAGGCGGCCAAAGAAGAGAAAAAAAAAAGTAAAGATGTTAAAACGAGCGTCAGATCAGTTTACGAAACAAAGGGAACCGAGCGTCAAAGCTTGCGTGGTAACAGCGTACACAGCGAGAGCATCACATTCGTAGGGAAGAAAAAAAAAGGCGACTGGAAAACGGGCCATTGTTGACGAAAGTCAGAAAAAGTGAAAACATAATGGCTGACGGTGTTGTACACGTAACAGTTTAGCAAGAAAGCTGGGGGGGAAATAGACAATCTTGGGCGGAGCAAAGCAGAAAAACATTTCAATTTTGGCTGTTCCGTGACATGAGAAATGAAGAAAACTTTTTGCAGACTGCCAACCCAAGGGTGCGACCGAGAGAATTGGAATAGGAGTAGTACCGAAGCTTAAATAAATTGGACATGTCGCATTCCAGAATCCTGGGAAAACGAAGCAACACAACTAGGAGGCATGACAGTGCTGAATCAATTTGAAAGGGTAAAGAAGAAAATAATAGTAGGAATTGCAAACTGGGAAAACACTTCAAGAATAGTGAAGGGAAAAAAGAGGCAAAGGCTGAATCCGCAAAGAAACGTTTCACGAGTACATTAAGTGCCAAGCACAGGAGAAAAACGCCCATCAAGAGCCGTAAAGCAGAGCCTTGTTAAAATTGAAGAAAGACCTTAAACTAAATGTTGACACATGGACCCATCTTTCAAAGAGACGCAGAACTCCTGCTGGTGCTTAAACGAAGACGAAACGCTCTCACTTCTAACCAGTCAGTCAATTGTCCAGTATGGAAGAATCGCAGGGCTTCGAAGACTTTACCTTCATTGGCGCAAACCCGCCACCGTATTGGTGGGATGGCGGCATGCCCATGGATGGATAGATGGGTGGGGGTGGTGCAGGGCGATAGGGTGTGCCAGCTGGCCCGGAGTTGTTCTGAGACCGACCCCAGCTAAGTCTGACACGGGAGTTGCCAATCGGGTAGCCTTGCATCTGGTTGATGGCCATCTCTGCAGCATGACGTTGAACGAACTGTACGAAGCCGCAACCCTTGCCTGGGGGAATCTTGACGTAGGTGATCTCTCCGAAGCCTTGGAAGAAGGAGCGAAGTTCGTCTTCAGTGACATAGCCAGACAAACCGCCAACGAAGACAGTGGTGTTGTTAGGATCAGTGAACTGATTCATCGGCTGCGGAGCGCCATAGTAGCCCATCGGTGGACCTCCCATCGCAGGTGGATACATGCCAGCGGGAGGGGCACCGGGCATACCCATCTGGCCAGGAGCACCAGAAGGACCCTTATTCTTGGGAGTCGCAGTGGAGATGCGCATGGGACGGTTGCCACAGTACACACCCTGCATTTCAGTAAGAGCACGCTGCTGATCGGTCTCGTCGGAGAATCTAACAAATCCATAACCGCGAGACATGCCGCTGATTGGGTCGGTCATAATCTTAGCGGACTTGCAAGATGGGAAGCGACTTTGGAAAAGGGAAACCAAGACGTATTCGTTAACCTCGGGACCAAGATCACCGACGAAGATGGAATATTCGGGGGTGCGATCCTCACGACTAGGATAGATATTAGCAAAAAGAAAACCAAAAATCTCTACTGGGAGGAACTCACGACCTGTCGGACAAACCACCACCGGTGGCCCAGTTGAGCTTGAATGGGCGATTGGTGTTGGGCATAGGAGTTCCGTTAACCGACAAAGCCTTAGCAGCTGCCGCAGGGGTCGCGAAATCGACGAAACAGTATCCGGCGTTGCTCCTAAACGTATGCCTGGATCAGATACAGCCCTGCCAAGCTGGGGCCAGAAGATAAAAGAACATACCCAGAGAACTTGTCACGAATCATCTTCACGTTAACCTGTTCGCCCATCTGATACCAGATATTGCGGATGAAGTTCTCATCAATCCATGGCTCAAGCTCACCCATCCTATAAATGCGGCGTTAGAGTCGACGTGTTAAGTTGAAGAAGACGAGTAAATGTTGTTAGACTTACCAGAGAGTGGTCTTGCCTTCACCAGATTGCTGTCCACCGGGCGCAGCGGAAGCTTCACCTGGAGCAGGGCCTTGGAAACCAGGAGCAGTAGCATCCGGCTGACCCGTCATGGTTTGGTCGGCAGGAGGAGCAGGACCCGCAGGATTGGCAGGCGACTCGGCAGCGCCGTGCTGATTCTGAAAAGTATCGAAATTCTGGAACGACATGGCTACAGGATAATGATCAAGTTCTTCCGATATGCAACGAAATATACCGTCTAGATACTTTTCAAGAAATCGTCAAGGAAAAACCGTGATGGACCTACAGGGTTCCCAAAATAGTTAGCAACTCGAGTAGCTCAGCGAGTGGGTTTGAATGGCGTAGCCAATTGGGGCGACATCAAATATTCGCGTCCGTTCTCGAGAGAAGTTGTGCGATAGCCGACAGAGCTAAGGCCCTAATTGTACGATCGCGTCCGGTGAACAATAATTCAAGTCGACTCACCTTCAGAGTAAAAGCCTTGCAAGGTGCGATATGCTGCAAATACGGCCGTTGCGACTTAAATCGTAGGGTCGTTAAGGAAAGACGGGAACAAACACGAGGCTGAGGATACCCAGGTTGACGACGAAGAGAGACTCGCGTGTCTGTTGCAGAAATCATCACTGTTAGCAACAGTTCACCTGGCTGAAAACATCTAACATGAGCGACAACAAAAAGGAGAATAAAAAGGGAAAAAAAATGAAAGATGGAAATGCACCTAATGAAGGAAGCAAGATCAGAAGTGACTGAAATGACAGGAGGTTAATTGACAGTTAAAAATTAGAATCGCAATGACGTAGTCAAAGTCAGAAGGTGAACAAAGAAAAGATCAGACGGAAAGTGAATGGGAAATGAAAGCAAATGATGTTACAGCGACAACCGGAAAGAAACCCGCCGAACAAGAGTGAGAGAAGGGTGAAAAGGGAAGATGAAGAAATGTGGGCGATGTGGTTTGAGAGTGAGGATGTGGATTTGAAGAGGTCAGCAGGTGCGCCAAGCAGGATGGAGAAAAAACACGGTAGCGTGCCGAAAAGACACCCTAACTAATAGTGTCCTGGACAAAACAAGTTGGGAATCACAACAGGTGGGAAGTTTCTGTAGTCTTGCACACCAATGCACCATATGCAGCAACAATGCAATAAAGGCCTGCTAGTCCGGTTGGTTTTGCATCTTGCTGCGCATTATGTTCGGCGTGGGGGTTCAGGTCCTGTGCTGAATTGGGGCAATCCCACTAGACTCAATGAGTCGCTGATGGGAGATCCATGACGACAATATATTCTTTTTACACTTGTGTTGTTCTCTTAGCCAGTCGCCCACCGGCGCCTGCCAGCACTATCCTTTGTCAACAGCCTCAGTTGCGATTCTCATATCAAGGTATACCTGGCTGATGATGATGCTTAAGGCTGTAATGCGAGAGCAGGGAGCAAGTCACATTTCAAAGGGTTCAAGCGCTTTAGGCACGGCTGTAGGTGGCGACACTGACTAAAGAGGAGCAGGATGCGGGAGACTTTAAAAAGATGAGAAGATCCTGCAATTCGCTGCATCACACGCCAGTCTGGCCAACAGGAGTGTCAACCCGGTTTTGAGGCGTGCTCGACTATCAAGGGCGGCAATGGTGTAGATCGATTGTCCTTATAAACCTTTCGAAACAGTCCAGCCCGACAGGCGGGCGCAAGTATAAAAACCGAACAAACAGAATCCGCAAAAACAACAGAGTGACTTTCTTTAAAAAAAAATATAATAAAAAAAAAATAAAAAGAATAAACAAAGAAAGATGCTGCTATCAAAATAAAGCCACTCACCAAGCCTTTAAATGGCAAACAAAATGCAGGAAGATACCTTGCAGATTCAAATCGGAACGGTCGGTTGGAATGGCTGCAAAAAGGAACCCGAAGATTTTGGAACTCCCACAAGTTGCGCGCAAGAAGGGGGACACGAGCAAGACACGCAGGCTAGAGAACCTTGAACCCGTCGCGAACGAAACACGCAAGAAAGGGAAAAAGGAACAACGAGGAGCGATAAAAAAGAAGCAGAGCGAGAAGGGAGGGGTTGGTTGATAAAACTCGGAGTTGGTGGGATAAGAGATAAAAAAAAGGGAAGGGAAAAAAAAAAAAAAGTAAAAAGAAAAAGGAAGAGGAGAGGAAGAGGGGAGGAAGGGAAAAAAATAGCCTCAGAAGAGCGAAGATGAGGAACCAGACTTTTCCTTGCTACGATCACACCCTCTTTGCTCCGTCCACTACAATTATTAAATTCCGTCTACCATGGCCGTAGGTTCTCTTGAGTGATCAAAAGAGGGTACCAGAAAGAGGCGAAACCTATCCCAAGAGCGGAGAAAAATTACTAAGGGTACCAAAGAATGTCTCTGGAAAGAGAACGAGGGGTTTTGCACCCGCGCGCAAGGTTAAATTCGGTCTCAGCGATTCCAAGATCTCAGTCTCAGGTAACGAACGCGCTCGTATCGCCCGAACACGCAGGCGGTCGTTGAAAGAACAGGCATCCGCCGTTAAGAAGGTCTCCGACGAAAAACAAATAAAAATAAAAAATAAAAATAAAAAAAGGGGACAGGCGTGGTGACCTCACAGGCGCCACCTGTGCTAAAAATGGCCAAAATCAATTCAGGCCAGGCCAATGAAGCTGGTGAAAAAAAAAGGCGCTGGATTCGTTTTATCTCGGCCCAACAGGTATTTTCCTCCTTTGCTTGTGCCTGGCAGTTCTCGGTACTTTTCTGCGGAGGAATAATTACGCATAGGGCTCACCGTGTCGACGGTATTACGGTCACGCGAGTGTATCTCACCCGCGCATAGCCACACTCTGTAGGCGTCGGGGCATCTGATTGGGCAATATGTTTTAAAACATTACATACGCTGTACGAGAGAAACAGCACGACGCGTGGTTGCCGCGCTGAATACGGCGCTCAGTCGTTCTCTCGCTCTGTGAAGGGCTTTTTAATGACGAAAATTAATCTGAACGGAACCTCGTGGATCTGAAAAATTAGCCAATGATCGCCCTTCCCAGCACTCGCGATATGCAAGCAATGGCCAAGGGCCATGCTGGCGGAGCTCGCAGGGATTAGCGGTCACCCTCCGCTTGGCGGCTTCCACTGAAAGGCCTTGCCCTCAGCCAAACTACCCCTCCTCCCAAAACATCCAATTCCATTGAACTACCCTTTCTCCTCCCCAGACGCAACCCCCTCCCCGATGGCTGAATTCCGCCAAAACACGTACCTGCATGTAGCAGGACACATAATAATAGAATCTTGTACCTCTTTTTTTAGCTTCCAGAATTCCCAAAGAACGCGCTGCTCGAATCGCCCAGCGGAGCCATTCGTCCGTTCATCGATGACGTGACGGTATCCTTGATTAGATAAGCACACGTCATATCGGCGGGCTGTCAAGAGCGACCAAAATCGTTCGAGTCTCGGCTGGTAGAGCGAAGGCCCAGAACAGTACAACAAAATATCAAGGAGACCTATCGACCCTTCGCCGGTATTAGAACCCTCCCTGCTTCCCAAGCTCGTCTCCCAGCAGCTGTATAGTCCTCTCATAGACTTTTGCGGACTCCATCTCCCATCTACCTGGACCCGAATCAGCGACGAATTCGCCGGTGCCAAAATCACCATCATCATCCCTAGCCTCATTTCCATCGCCATCTTCATCCTCAATATCAAATTCCAACGGACCTCCCTGATCCTGCGTATCTAGAATCGTGATGCGCGTGCTCTCTGCGATACTCTTTATTCGTACTTTCTCCGTCATGGAGACCTGATTCCTCCTGGTCTCAAACCCCGGAAGGGGCTGCCCTGTTTCAACATCTTCGCCTTGTAGCAAAGAAGCAAACATCGCGTCAAGCTTCCTTACCAGTCGGAACGTAGACCTGGGTGAGAAAGGGTAGTCTGGAAGATACGTGTTTAAAAGGCCCGCTATGGAGATGAGATAGGGCGTCTGTAGGGATGCTAATCAAAAAGCAATCAATACCTCTCACATTCAAAACGTTTGAGAGAGATAGAGATTAGGTAGGAAAAGATTGTCACTCACGAGTCCCGCTCACCCATAGAACATCTGCAATGCCTTCGATATCTTTCGCTACTTCTCTGAATCGTTCGTATCCTCTGTCCTCATCCTTCTCGCCTGAAAAGGAACTGCTGAACTTCTTCGCATGTCGCCGGTTGATCGCTAGTATGTGACTATCCACGTAATTGATCACCGCTGTCTCCTTCGATGATCCGGGCTTAAGAGGATGGTGCCTTTGTTGAGGCAACGAATGGGAGATCGTGGCCGACGACAGCGCGGACGACGGAGCAGGAGAAGGGAGGGAGGAAGGGAAAAATCCGCCTTGCGGAGGAGGGGTATACATATTGTCCAATGTAGTGATGAAGGTAGCTTGGACTTCAAAATAACTAAGTGATGATGTCGCTGGTAGGAGTTGAGGAGGGGGTTGGACGGAGTACCTCGCGGATCTGACGTAGCAACTGGTAGGGTATACGTGACTAGGTCGATGAGAAAAGCCAAGAAGGATGAAGGCAGGGCGATTGCATCTAAATACTCTTCGGATGGAGGACTTGATCACTGTCTGCGATTGTGATGTGTGAACTCTCTCCGCCACTCGTTCAGCCAGTTACGTCAAAGCGCAAAAAGACCAAACCCATAACTACGGCAAATCCCATTTGTAGCTCGCCCAACACCAGATTCATTTACAAAGCTATACGGGACTTGTTAAGATGCTTGCTTGCTTGCTTGTATGTATGTACATACATAAATAACTCTGACCCTTTTGGTGAGCAGCTGACCATCGTCCTCCACGTAAAAGCAAATGGCACACCACTCCCTTTTCTATTCCGTAGAAAATCGGTATACTTCGGCTCCCAAGTATGCAATCGTATCTACAAACTTCTGGGTGGAAGGCCAAATGCTACGGGCACTATTTGAAAAGGTCACCTGTCTTTGAAGGAATCCCAGCATTATGGTAATTTTGGCCTTTGTGCGTATGCGCGTGACCACGTATTTGGCGATCGATTGCCATCGCCTCGCAAATCGGAAGTATACTCGGAGTCAATTGCTTGCAGTGGTCACAAGGGTAGGCCTGCGCAGTTACACGTATCTCCGAGGACCACTGAGAGGAAGATTCTATGTATCTCGGAAAGTTCAAGTTAGTCGTGTTTCAGCGGAAGTTTCACTATAGAAACGCAGCATATAAGACCAATTCAGAGAAATTGAGAGAAGATTTTGGTCAATGAGAAAACTGGAGTTCAAATCATCGAGATGACTATGCGAAGCCACTCGTTCATATGGCCCCAGCGGACTCATCTTGCTGGTGCTCTTGGAATTAAACCATAGGACATATGACTTACCCAGCGAAAATATAGTTGTCCTTGGACTGCTGTTTATGCACACCTGTACTTGATATTCTCAGGCTACGGGTCGCGGAAGCGTGGAGATAGTAGATATTCGATCCCATCTCACTCAGGCTGTATCAATCAGTTCCAGATATTCTAGCACAAAAGAGAAATGGAACTTACCCTGATCTTTCCTCTCCTCTTCTTCATTTCTTCAACCTTCTTTTTATCTTCCTCAAATCCCTTTAGCAGTTCGTTCTGCTTCTCCTTCCGCATCTCTCGCGTCTGGAACCGATAGAAGTCTTCTAGACCTTTATTCTTCTCTTTCTGTTTCTCAGCCAGAGCCTTCAATTCATCCTCCCTATCGGGATTGTGCTTCGGTCCCTTGACCACTGTGATAAAGCCGTCTTCATCCGATACTTGTGCTCCCGTAGTAGCTTCGCGGGCACGGGCCTCTTCGAGACGGTCAAAAACGAGCATATATTCGTTCGCTATACGTTTCAACTCCTCTCTCGGCGGATATCTGAGACGATTGTGGTGCTCGTATCTCTGTGATCCCAGAGGCGGCAACTTATCCTCGATACCTTGACCCCATACTATTTTCGTTCTAGACTTCGCGGCCTTTTTCGCAGCTTTCAAACTCGCTTCCATGCTCGGCTTGTCGACAAATACCACAACGGCATGCGCGCCGGGGTTTTGAAGCTCTCGATCCCATGTTTTCGGCAACCGTATGGATTTGAGTTCTTGCTCCAGTTCTTCGACCGTTTCCCTCTTGCGCTTTTTCCCTTTGCTCAACTGAGCGCTTGGTTTGACGACGGGAGCTGAGCTTGTGCTCTGGACATCTTGAAATCTCACTGACTCGACCCGACCAGCGCACAGCTGGGTACCGAAGAAGTGTTTGAAATGAGCTTCCGTAGCTGTAATGGGGACGTTCACGAGAAACAGCGAGCGGGATGAATCAGGGTCTGGGATTCTTGGCTGATGTGGTTGCAGGTAGAGGAAATGGGTTGCGGCCTTTGGCAGGGAAGGCAACGGTGGAAGCTCTAATGGAAGAACTGTAAAGCCAGATAGGCTTAAAGGATACTCACGGCCCATCTTGGAAATCAATGAATTACGAAAGATCTTGCGATCTTCGAATGTGTTTTCAAAGATGAGTTTTGAAGCTCATGTAATAGGGAAATTTTACGCGACCGCAAGTGAATTCTAACCTCGGAAAATCTTGCCTTCTACTCCCGTAAACTCCAGCATTCCATGCATAGCCCTCCGTACGTCAACAATTAATTAGCAAATATTGCAAAAGCGTCTGCTTCTGAAGATGATCGAATGACTCTGAAAAGTGGTTTTCAGAAAGCTAAGGGTCAACCTTCTATGCCTTCTCCGGGTCATTTATACCCCCGTTTGTGATAATGTACGTCGCTTCCCGTTCCGGACAATCTGCCCAGGAATCAGAAGGTCAGACAATCCAACTTCAGAGCGCCCTATATACCAAATCCATGATTCAGGCGACATACCTGGAGAGTCCTGGATTTTGGCGACTCTTTCTTCCCCACGCCCTTTGCGAAGAAACACCCGGGTGGTTGAGGCGTGAGCCAATATATGGCCGCCAACAGGCTTCCGGCCATCTGCACCCGCAAATAACGCGCTTGCTCCAGGATCACTCTGCACCTGATTCGTCTGGGTGGTGTGAGTTTTGGCAATCAGCAACTTTAGGGCTAGGGAGAATTTACCATGAGAACACAGACATTGAATTCTAATCGTGCGTGAGTATTTACTCGGTCAATTTACTTGGTGCGTTGACGGTCATACCTTCAGCCATATGAGCCAGTTTCATGAGAAACTGGTTGAGTTTCTGCTGGCGATCTGCAAGCTCGCCACGCCCGCAATAATCAACCCGGAAACAGTTCATAATACTGTCAATAATGAGCAGACGGTATTCCCCGCCTGCAAACTCTTTGGATAGAGTATTCAAGAGTTCCAACTGGTGCTCACTGTTTAACGCCCTCGCATACGCGATGTTTTCTAGACTGGAATCAGGATCGACTCCAAAACGTTCAGCGATCTGTCCGACTCGTTCCGGACGGAATGTCCCTTCTGTGTCAATATATGCAACTTTTCCCTCAGCACCGCCCATACTTCTTGGCAGCTGAGCGACAACAGACATTGTGTGCGAAAGTTGCGTTTTTCCGCAGCGAAATTCTCCATAGACTTCGCTGATACTCATGCTCTGGAACCCGCTTCTGAGGGTCAGCTTTCGTTATGGCCAGGCACACTCTTTCCATTCTTACCCGTTGAGGATCGCGTCAAATTGCTTACTGCCAGTGGAAATTCTGACGACCCTCTTTCTTTGATGGCCGAGTTCCATTGCCGTTATGAAACCCGAAGCCGAGGGCTAAGGCATCTTTGAGTCTTGCATGTTTATGTGTCTTACGGAAATGTTTTGAGATCATACCTGGCATTTCTGAATTGCCTCCTTGATCTTTTCCACCTTAACTTCACTGAATCCCTTAATTTTCAGCAGTGTTCTGCGCGTTGCGCCGTGAACGGACTACAGAAGAACAGTTAGCTGGAACATTGCAGCCATCTTCCCCGGAAAAATAGGGACCATTCTGCGACTTACAGCAACTGTATAAAAGCCGTTGGCTTTCAACTTTGTGATGTCAGAGGCACCAATCCCTGAAACCTAATAGTTAGCCGCGGGGCGGAGGGGAGGGCCGGCCTTTTGCCTGCGAAGATTGACAAACCATGTGCTTGAATGCCATCAATGTCAACAATGAAGTTCTCCTAAGTCCTCGCGATTGCATCAAAAGTTAATAATGGAACTCGAATGCCTTGTCTTGCCCTACAAGAACTGAGTGTTTGAGTGCTTACGTCTTCGTCAAAACTGCCGCTGGCATCTGAGGCAGGCATTGTGTCTGGAAAGGAAGATTGGAGAAGCTTCCTGGATACTAATGATGATGATGCTAGGCTCCAGGGTAAGTTCAAGAGATTCAAGGAAAGCTAGATACTCGCATGGCATGAGAGAACGTGAGAGTGACTGGGAGGGAATTCCCATTAACCCCTCCTCAAGTCACGAGCGCTGCCATATTAGGAAATCGGTTGCAGAGCCTCCTTGGAAACAACACCGCCTGCATGCAATGATCGTCCCATAGCCTTTGCAGAGAACAAAATAGAAGTCCCAGAACTACAAAAGGAAACCGAAATGAGACAGACGTGCAAACCAATCCCGCTTTTGGACCATGCTGGACTAGATGGAGACAAGAACGAGTTTAGCCCGGTAGAAGAACCGCCGGCATATTGTACAGACCCAAAGGAAAGAAAACTAAGAGACTGAGACCGACACCAGATAAAACCGGGTCAAAGGAAAGGGAAATAAAGCACAACTAGACATGTAACCAGAAAAGCCACGCCAGTACCGTAAAACTGGAAAGTCAGCACCAACGTCCATGGGCGGAGAAAGCCAATTCCACTCCGGCTCGCTTTAGTCCATTCCATCCTTTCACTCCGCTCAATTAACCCTCAAGATGCCTTGCTCTTTCTTCTCTTCCTGATAGTACGTGAAACGCAGATGAATTCCATTTTGAAAGACACTCGACGCCGAATTTTTTTTTTCATGAGGCTTGAGCCATGCTGGACCCGGGTCGTAGAAACTAGGACATCGTGAAACCTTTGCTCGTCGTATACATAAAATATTGGTACTGATGATTTGTTACGGGCGTGATATGTGCAATATATGAGATGAGACTAATCCAAAATCAATGATAGAAACCGAGTCAAAAAAGAAAAGAAAAAGACTGAAGTTAGTAAAGAAGGAGCGGGGGCGTGCTCTCAACGGCTGTAGTCTACAACCCTCTATGCCACTGCTGGAGTCGTGGCAGCGGCTGGAGCCTGAGGAGCCTCAGTGGTAGTTTCTGTTGCTGGTGGAGCGGGAGCTGTTGTCTCGGCTGTAGGCTGAGTATTAGTCTCGGTAGTAGTATTAGCGGTATTATTGGTGGGACAATCCCGGGAAATGTGGCCGGCCTGAGAGCACTTGTAGCAAACCTTGCCTGCCGAGCTCAAAGGTCCACCGTTGGGAGCGGTACAATCTCGCGAGATATGTCCCTTAAACAATGTCAGCTCTGGATAAAACCTCCGTACCAATCATATCTCGACTTACCAATTTACCGCAAGCATAGCATTTCATGGCTTGGGCCTGGCAATCTCGCGCGAAGTGATTCGGCCCGCCGCATTTGTAGCAGGTTGCCGCTCTTGGGTACCCTCCGTAACCACCACGGAAGGGTGCATTGAAGCCTCCGCGAGCACCGCCTACGTTGCGCGGAGCGCCTTGCATTCCGGCATTGTGGCAATTCCGCTATATGACATCAGGGTCGGGTTACTCTTCTCAAGGACAAGCTTAACTCACGGCTAAATGACCAGGAAGATTGCAGTTGTAACAACGGCCACTTGTCGCTCCTCCGTTCAATCGCAGGGTAGGGCAATCAGCCTGGACGTGTCCAAGGCCCTGGCAGTGATAGCACTGTTTCGCTGAAAGAGAGTTAATGGAATTTTCTTCGTGCCACCGTACCCGATAAACTTACTTTCAGTAGTACGAGGTCGTGGACAACCGTTTGATTCGTGTCCTGGCTCCATATTAGATTATAGTGGAATAATGTCGAATGTTACCACGAGGCGAACGTACCGGGCTGCTTGCCTGTACATGTGCGAATCAGCATTTGTCCGGAATAGGTGGGCTCTTATGGAGAAAACCAACAGTTATAGCAAAGGCGTTCGGAAGACGAGCAAACCTCTGTCCTTATCAGTACGGAGATCCAACCTATCGCGAATCCATAGAGCCAGATACACACCAGCATAGTGGCCGATGTTGCCACACTTGTAACAGGCACGACGAGACAACAACATTCTATAAGTACACCAGGGTGTTAGCTTCCGTGAATACCACAGTCACCCCGATTCGCTCGGGATAGTACTTCTGCAAGGAGTGTGCGGGCAAGCCGCTGAGCAAGAAAGCGTATTGGTCAAAGTCACTCGGAAATAGACAAGGCTTTCGGATGTAGCAGCGGTCTCAACGCTTCACCGATTCGAGCTTATGGGATAATGAACTCACTTTTAATATTTGAACACTCAGATTCTTTCTCAATATCCAATAACCAGCAGTCCAGGACCTACAGGGCCGAATTTCAATGTCTTAGCTACCTTTTCTTTTCTTTTTGTTTTAAAAAAAAAGGGCGACAGGTACAGATAACTAAACGATAGGATAACTTACTTCTCAGCACTCCAAACTAAACCCTCACGGCTCTTCAATCCCACCGAGACCACAGTCGAGTTCCCTATCAGTTGTCCAAATGACCGTGCGTTGGAAATGTAAAGATACTCCCGAAAGATACTTAGAAAGTGCAGAATGATCCGTCAGGGTCTTGGGGTGGATGAAAATCTTTAGCTCTTTTGCGACTTTCCCGAATCGCGTTAGCGCCTACCCCAGACAAGGTCATGACTCTGCGTAAATCCATGGATTGACCCAGACCCAGTCCTCGTCTTTCTCGATCTTAGGGCACAGGGAATACGAATTGAGGCATTTCACTTTCATGAATTCTATGATATTCACCCTTTTGGTTCACTACCACAATATGGACTTGAAAATGCTATGTACGTAGCCGTAGAGTCTTTTATATCCGGAGTAACACGCAGTGTTGTATTTCTCCGAGCTATTTCCGCGACAAACATGGGTGTGGAGTCGGATCCTGCATCCAATGGCCTTAAGCAGCTACATCCTCGGTTTCAATCAACGCAGGAGCCTTGATAGTCCTTCCCTTGAGGAACGCCAATCCTTCGCCGCTCTGCAGTAATAAAGTGAGTACAATTTTCGGCAAATATTAGTTGCTAAAGGGAATGGGACTCACGTAGCTAATGGAAGGCGACACCTCAACACCGGGAGCACCCTCGGACTCGGACGTCACGATAGCTCCCGCAGCTTCAATCCATCGCTGTCCTTGGTTCATGATATCACGCTTGCTTGTATCGGGGTCATCCTCACCGGTTCCCTTGGCATTTTTCAGAGGTGAGAATTCATCCTCGCGTTTGACTTCGATAGCAGCGAACTTTGCAAGCGGTGTCAATGGGAAAACATCGAACACAAACTGCTCCAATTTGATCCCGTTGGGCGTCTGGGGTTTTATGGTCGCTCCGGTATTTGTGTCGACACAGGGGATCTTCTTGCGAGCAACGTGATGTGGGAGATCTGAAACCCAGCTCTCAATTGATTCAAAGAAGTCGAACGAGTAATAATGGTTGACGATATTTGCGGCCCGGAATTTCAAAATTTCAGGGTTTTTGGGGTCTTTGGCTTCCGCTGTATTTTTGTCGATCTCTGAGTATTCAACAACATCTGGTTTGTCATTCTTCAGGAGAATGAGGCCCACGGATTCGGTAGCATTACGCTTTCGGACAACCTTTGTGGCAATATCAACCTTTTTGGACGCAGAGAATCCGATAAAGGTAGGGTCAGCAACCCGAACAAGGCAGTTGTCGACGCAATAGGCATGAATGTGCTGGATTCCACGCTTTTTCATATCGTCTCTGGCACCCGAAGTCACCAGAGCTTGGTAGATTCCGCCGTTACCGTCGGGAGCGACTGCAACCTTTCATTGATAATTAGCCGCATATTTAACCGAGACCGTTTGGATGAATAGGAAGGTACCTTTGATTTGCTCTCGAGTAAAATTTTCCCCTCGTTTGAAATGCACGGCAGAACACCTTGCTCAAAAACGAATACATTCTCTTCCTTCAGCCCAAAGTAGCCATGCTTTTGGAAGAATTCCTCTGTAGGGTTTCGTGTTGGCCCACTCGTCATAACATACCAAGGAATCACCACATTCTGCTTGCCAGAGCTCGCTTCAGCTAAAGATTGCAGCTTCGCGATCCGTTCAGCTTGTATTTGGAAGAGAGACTTTCCACTCGGAAGTCCGATATCATAGCATCCCTTCGGAGCAGAGCTTCCCAACCTTGTTCCTTGCCCACCGGCCATAAGAACGACCGCAACCTTATTCTCTGCTATCAACTGCAGGCCCTCGTCATACCAGCGTTGAAGAGCCTTGGGATCGGAGTCGAGGATCGACGCAGTAGCATTGTCTGGCAGCGGTTCGAGTTTTCCAGAGCCGAGCCCCGTCGAAGCTTCCTGGGACTGAGTGGCGCGAGTAGCAAGGACGTTGATGCGGTTGGGATCGAAGGTCGAGAGCTGATGGAAGAGCTGGGCCTTTTCGGTGGAGCTCAATTCGTCAAAGAAGGCGAAGACTTGGCCTTGTCCAGCTTCGTCGTACTTCTGCCGGAGCTGGTTCAGCTCTTCAGCGGAGGGCTCTTTCGAATGAAAGCCCATCTTGCCCATCAGGTTGGAGACCGTGTCTTTCACTGCTGACGCCATTGGTGGGGTAAATATTGTGATCTAAATGCTGACTTGGATATGGAGCTTGCGCGCTGAGAAGAAAGGCGCGCTGAGAAGAAAGGAGCGCCTGGGAATTGAAGAAATGCAATGGACTGATTGAAATAAAAACCACAAAATGTTATTCATGCAAAGAAAATATGTTAAACGCTCAATCGTGGAATGCTTCAATTATGCTTTTTAATTCGCGGCTGGAGGAGGGTCAGGCCGCCGCCTCAAGTGCCACTCCTGAGGTGGGGTCGTGTGTTGAGGCTGGCCGTCAAGGTTCTACGTAGCTGGTTCCCGCACAGCTGTGTTCCGCCAACCGGCCAAGGCTAACCACAAAAGCTGACGGAGGACTCCGTAGTCCTCCGTGAGCTTCTCTCGCTCCTGTTCGCATCAGGGACATCGACCAAGAACCCCCTTAGCAGCTCGGGCCTCTCGTTTGGTAATACAGAAGACAATGAGAAATTCCAAGATTATATTTCCGACGTTATCATGCCTCGGTCCAGATCAAACCTGCACGGGCTTGGAGGGAGTTCGTTATACATTTTTAAGATCATAACGGGACATATAATACAGCAGATATGCATGATTATTTACCCCACAATATCATTATTATCTCCGTCGTCGCTCATTGTCGTAACTCCGGTCGTACCGAGAATCTGGACTACTACGCCTGTATCGCCTCTTGTCATCGTATCGTCGAGGGAATGCGTGGCGATAGCGTCGACTCGGGCTTCTACTTCGTGATCGGTGCCGCGAAGAGGGTTGGTACGATTCCCTGCTAGCACTTCCCGTGCGGATATCTTCCTTGTCAAACACCATTCCATACCGGTCGTGTTGACGAGGAGCGTCAGCTGCTCTGTAGTGTCGTTTCTTCTCAAGACTAGATATGCCACCAAATCCACCTCTTTGGCCGGCTCTTTTAGCATTCGTAGCTGAACGCCAGCTATCTGATAATTTCGACACCTATTCGACAGTTAGCAGAAGGAGCAAAGTCACAGGTAGAGCTTAGCATTACGCTTTGGGAGAAGTCCACATGTATTCGATGGTCATCGATCAAAACCCCTTGCATCTTAAAATAGGCTTGCTCGCAATCCTTTTGATTTTCAAATTCTATAAAGGCATATTGCAGACTGTCTCCGGTTCGTTTGTCTCGGATAACTTCACAGGATAAAATAGGGCCAAAACGGCTGAATATTAAGTTTAAATCCTCATCTTTCGATAGGGTTAGAATCAGACGTTGGTAAAGCGAGAGGATGTACGCACCTTGAGTAACTGGGTTCAATTTGCATACAAAAAGGACGTTCTCTGGCGGCTTGACTTCAGCGAAAGGGAGATCCCCCACCATTTCCAAAGTCAAGGCCTGCGCCCTTGCTTCGCGCTCTCTCCGCAATCTCTCCAATGACTCTTCATCTATGTTATCATCGAGCTCTTCATCGTCTGCTATCATTACTGTGGCTAGCTGAGCTTTGGAGGGAACAGGGCTTTCAGACGGCGCCACCAAGCCTGGAGGGTCGTCAAAAGGATCGTCCAATATCACAGTGTGTTTAATCCGTATATCTTTAAGCGGTCGTCCTTTCTCATCAACAAAAGCACTATCAATCTTTTCCAGGACATCGAAACCTTCAACCACGTTGCCAAATATAGCGGCTTTGCCGTCCAGATAGTCCAGATTGTCGCCGAGGGTTATTATGAACTGACTACCAGCCAGGCGGGTATCGGGATCCGTTGACGATGGCACTGTAGCCATACTCACAGTGCCACGGCTAGTATGCTTGAGCTTTGGCGCAAATTCGACCGGAAAGGTCTTCTGCGACGGTCCGTTTAAAATGCCCCATATCGATGAGCCACCGTCACTCTCTGCCGAATCTGGCCCGATCGGGTCACCGGTCTGAAAGGAGAAGGACTTTTGCACACTGTGAACTGGCGAGAAGTTGTAGTACTTGATTTTGCATAACTTTAAGAAGCTATATCTCGAGCTCTTAGTACCATTCTCAGTTACCGTTCACCCCAATAGCAAGCTCCGAAACGAAAATGGATTCTTCGAACTCACTTTTCACACGCTTTTGGCACCGAATCGACAAAGAGGTCAACAACAATGTCTCCTAATGATGTTTCCAAAAGCACACTCATCCTTGTTCGTTTTAGAGCTGACTATTTCATATCGCAAAGATGTTGGCTTGTCTTGCGACCTCCACAGGTTGTCACGGCGAGGAGCTGTTGGCGCAGACGCTAGATGTACGGTAAATATGGAGTATTGTATCATACATACCTATACCTGTACTACTTAGTGATGTCACACCAGGAACCGATCATATTCGCGCAACCCAGGTGTATGTACTCCGTACATACAGGGACCATATGGGTGTGTGGCAGAAAGGTACATGGCTAGAATCCAAATATTCACCCTGATCGATAACAATTAATGTACTCCGTACGGAGTAGTACAAGACGAATTCGATAAGTGTTTCCAACTTCCAACACCATGCGTGGGAGGACCTTTCTCCAAACGTATCTCTGTACCTAAGTTCCATTATTACCGCTTGTGCTGATATTACGTGTGCAGCGCGAGTCGACGGCGGTGCCTCAGCAAGGCTGCTCGGGCTTGGACCACATCCAACGACTCTCCGTCGGCTGGACAATGAGCAATAGGCCGTATACTCCGTACCACTGCAGCAATCATCTGAGGAATAAGTGGCTGCTTTTGATTTGGGGCTAAAACCGCTCTAGGAAGACTCACTTCCAGTGCCGTTTTATCCCTTGAACATTCAGTTTTACTCTCTGACACTTAGCCGCCGTCGAATGCTGTCAACTGCCATGTCAGTCCTTCAGGATCCTGAAACCCACTGCTTATGGCTGTTTTGTTTCTATCCTAAACTAATGAACCTGGATCTTACATGTCCAACCTTGGTTGTTATTTGTTTGCTCGTGGTTCTTTTTGTCTCTAACGCCCCTTTGACTGCATGGCACAGAACCAGTTCGACGACCCGGCCTTCAATCTTGCCCCATCCGAGTATCAGTGTTTTGTGAATGTGGGCCTTTACCATAACTAGTTGCGTAAAGACGCGATGTGCAGTACATACATAGCCCAGTGCTGGACTTCCACTTGCTCCGCTAATGTTGTACAGCAGAGAGCACCGGTTGAAAAACGGTTCGGTCACTCGCATGAGCTTACGGTTTCCTGTCAGACCGCAGTGAGCATCTACCATGTCTCTGCTCTGAAACACACGTGGGAACACTATTTTGCGCTTCAGCAGACCGTATGCTACATTTTTATCCTGCCTAAAACATCGATGCTCGTGTTTAAATTCGAATTTCAGCTGTACTTTCTAGAGCAAGTCTTCACGCGTCTGGAGAGTGCAAGCCCGCCAATTTCGTTACAAAATTAAAGAGTTGTCCAATGCAGCCCAGTTGCCAAGCCTGTTGAAGAATTATGGACTGGTGCATATGATTGATCGATGTTTTATGCGGGCCGTCCAGGGAAGACCCTTCTCCCGCTGTTCCAGAATAACTTTCCTCGCTTGTAGCTCAACGCTTCCGCTTTTGATCGGGATGTGAAACATACATATTTCCTCTACGGCTCTCCCGTTCGACAAAAAAAAAGAAAGAAAGAAAAAGAAAAGAAAAGAAAAGGCCATTTCGTGTGAAACTTTAGAGGGGACAAAAAGGTATTCTGAAAATTTTTTCTAGTGCAGTTCAACCTAGGCCGTGCCAATCTAGAAGCTTTCTCCACACCGCCAGGCGTTGACCGCGCATCTATAATCCGCTCTAAGGTATGTGACCTCTAGAAGTCATTATAATACATGGGCTTTTCTTCACGTGGCTTGAATCACTGATGAAAGGATCAACCTTCTGTTTGTGTGTCTTGTTGGAATGCCCTGAAGCCATTGCTTCGCCTTCCCATTCCCTATCGTCCTTGAGCTGGGTCACAAACAGTCGAGAGTCTTTGCTTGTTATCTTTTGGGCATATACAACGCTTTTTTTTTCCGGGGATGATGTTTGATTGGGGTAACCATGCTGATCAACACGGGTTTGATTGGCATTGATGATGCAAGACCATATTCCGCTCTGGAACCAATTCTAGGATTGTTTGCTCGAGTACCTGCAGCTTGCATTCCACCTAAAGGTCGAATCATAGCTGAAAGCCAAGCATCTAGCAAACATTTGATGCTCCAGTAGCACATAGCATCAGGAGATGCAGTGCATACCTTCGTTCTATCAAGGCAAACGCTCTGGCAGCGGCTGCTTGCTCGCATTTCGTCGATTCTCACCAGAGATGGCTTACCGGCTGCTCTTTGTTTGTTATCATTTTCTATCAAAGTGAAAACAAGTCCTGAGCTCCAAAACCTTTTGCTGGCGAGTTACTCAAAACTCCTTTCCGGTCCTTTTTCTTTGCACGGGGCTAATCACAGCCACCTTATCTCAAGAAGTTGGTCTACCCTACTAGCATGAGGATGGCATATACCTGTGTGTGTGACGTTGCTCTGTGATACATCCTGGTGCCCTTCTAAATTCCAGGTTTTGAACAGATTAATGTATGCTTTCTTCACGTTAACCACAGCTTGCAGACTGTGTACCGGAGACACGCATGGAGTCCTGGTGAAACATGATAAAGAATTGGGTATCGTTAATTCACAATTCTTTAACGGTTCAACCTGGAGTTTCAAATTGTGGGGATTCTGTTACTCCTTGTACATTCTGTCCTATATCCATTACGGACAAGGATTTGATGGGAGCTGTACAGCCAAGTTAACAAGGAGTCAGCGTTGTTTATTTGGCTTAAACCAGCCTTGCTCCCTAGGTACATATGTCGAGCCATTCTTGTTCAACCACCAAGGACCCTGGAGAATATCAAACTCGACTATTGTTCCCATGCTGTGGGGCTCCTGTTGAACACAGCTCTCCAATTTATTCTGGCTGCCTGTGTGTGCTCATCTCTGCTCTGCCATAGAAAGAAAGAGTTACACAGTCATTGTGGGTTTGATATATACTGCTCAACAGACCGGCCGTGAAGCATGCATGTCTGTTGAAGAGACACCTTTACTTTTTAACTAGAGGAGAATTGAAACTGGGAGATTTGCCACCCCGAGAGCTCTACACTCACAGCCTTATGGTTCAGTCAATGAGAGCGGAGAACAGACAAGATATCATGTGTGGCAACTCGAGCCATAGCAGATCAATGACGGAGCCTGAAGGCAAGCCCAACGGGAGGCGTCGAACGCAGGTGGCGGTATGGTCTTGAATGGCCCATTATCTTTTTATGACTTTCCGAAATGGCTGACTTCCCGTAGTGTCAAAGATGTCGGCAGCGCAAAATCAAGTGCAGTGGAGATACCGGCGACGGCCATGGGTGTACAAATTGTCGAACCTCAGGGACACGCACCTGCATGTTTTTAAGAGTCAGCCACATATGATGGAATTTTCATGATTCGTTGTCTAATGTGAGGACAGGTCAATTCATCTGTATTGCATGCACCATACGTTACTTTGCCATTCCCTGCTTTCGGCTCCAATGGAGCTCTTTCGACTGGAGGATTGCACCAGGGTAGTTACGACCAGCATGCACTCTCGCGACCAAGTTCAGCTGCTCTACATTCCACTTCTACAAGCTGCGCTCCTTATTCCTTATTTCACCACAGCTTTGACTACGGGGCAAACAATGGATCAAATTTTGCCCATCGTCCACCGTATGTGTCCGGCTATTCTTTAGGCTATGATAATGACACGGCCTATCAAGCGCAACAACAGCAATCCAATATGCTTACTAACGGTGATGTTGCGGGTGGTAATGCTTCTGGAAGCACGGCCGGGTCAAAACCGTGGTATGAATCTTGTCAAGCCAAATCTTTACCAGGAATGTTTACGGATCCCGATATGAACAACTCTATAACGGGCCCAGGCTATCCTTTTATACTCCAACAGCCCCATACGCCAGCTCCAACTGATAATGTATCCACGTTCCCTCTGTTAAGTTCACAACCAGCTGGCATAACATCATCCGACAGAATATTACCAAATCCTGTTGGCCACCGGAATAGCACATTCTCACCCGTCACAGCTGTTTCGGAAAGTTCGGCAAACGCGTCTGCCGCTCCAGGCCAAATATCAAATTACAAGTCTTCCTGGGCCTTCGATAAACACTTTGTAAACGACTTCCATGTCCCACGCGCAGATTCGAGCGCTATGAGTTCTACAACATCGTCAGGCAGGTCCAGGCTATCACCTTCAAGTCCCTCTGATATTGGTTTCGGATACATGCCAATATCCAGCAATCAGTCAACACCAGCTCTTATCTCGCCTTCATCCACTTTGCCTGAAATATTAAGTTTCTCGGACAGATACCATTCAGCCGACGAATCCCGACGTCCAAAGGCCTCTCACCGGGAGAGCTTTCCAGAGACGTACACATCTGAGATGTATGGTTATAGCAGAGGAAGACACTCCAGAGGTACTTTGATAAGTGGCCATGTTTACGTACGAAATCCGGCAGACAGCGAGCCCCTTTCAATCCACCGGCCGGATTCGATACCGCGCCCAGCGCCTCTATCGCCCCTTACTCACGCTGAGGGAATTTGATTTTTTACCACACAGGATGGGCCACGTTCTGCAGACTAGTCTAATTCGAACTGATTAATTTACAATAATTGACGACTGAATTCTTCGAACACAAATTCCTTCCTACGAGCAAAGTTTACTCAATGCAATGAAGTAAAGGGGGAAGCGAATGTCCCCCTTGCTAACGGCACGGCTTGATTTTGGCAAAATTTTTGGTTTGTGCAACCTACAGTCGCCTTTTCAAAACCTCGGCGGGTTAAGTATGGAATTTTTTCCGGGCCATCTACAGAATACACTTCCCGCATATGTCCCTAGCCGGCGCCCTAGCCGGTGTCCTAATTCTTCGCACGTGGCTTACCCTGGGAGGTCTGATTCATGCTGTCTTTTTTTGCACCTTGTGTTTGATTCACTTTTATTTTTTGTTGTTTCCAACGCCTATAATCGCTTGAGCCAGGGTATTTCGGGCTCCTGAATATGGTGTGGATCGTTTTGTATTGGGGGGCAAAGGGGGGCCAAAGTCGTTCAGGGACAAAATTTATGGATAGCAAGGGAAGGTAATCTCTCAAGTCTCATTTTGAAGTTTGCCACCTGGTTCAGCAAAGGACGAGGATCGAATTCGCGAACAGAGCAAATGCAATTTCGTAGTTCAAAAAGACTTATTTTGCTTCGTAGAATAAAACAAAGCCAGAAACATGTTTACCACAAGGCTTGATTCGTAGCTACAGTACAGCATCGGTATCCCTGAGGTGCATCACCCAGGGTGCTGAACAATCCATCGAAGCAGGAACCAAGCACCATTGCCAACCCTATAACACCGAAGTTCATGTCGTCTATTTGTTCTTCTTGTCTTTCTTGGGGCCCTTGGTCTTTGCTGTGCCTCTGAATTTCTTCGATCTGTTCTTTCGTTGCTTGCCTGTTCGTAAAATCAATCAATCAGCCATCCCGTACAAACGTCGCCAAAACCCTAAGCTTCTCCGTCCATAGAAAAAGATATAAGCAGATAAGACGTACGTTGTTGTCTGGAGGCCTTTTCAACCTTATCAGCAGCACCAATACGGACGAGACGGTAGCGGGGTTCAAATTTCTTCAAGGCTTCACTGGAGTCGTAGATGAGGGCGAAACCGGTAGTCTTTCCGCCACCATATTGTGTGCGAAGACCGAAAACAGAGACTTGGTCCTTGTTGGACTTGTAGAGCTCGGCGAGCTTTCCGCGGAGTTCGTCCTTGGAGATGTTGGCGCGGTTGGGATGGAGGATATCACTGCCGGATAAGAGAATCCGTAAGCATCTGAACATCTAGACTTATCCCCCAAAACTCCTTCCAAAAAGCCGATTCCAGTTTGTCGCAGCGAAAGAGATGGATTCCAGCCAAGCTGCCATGTTTGATGATAGATAGCGATTTTACTTACACGACCATCTGCTTGCGGCTCAAAAGCGCATTGCGGAGGAACTTGCGTGTCCGCAGGGTAACAGGAGCGTCAGCCATGGTTGCGGGTGTGCCGATAAATCGATCTGAATCTGCTTTGACGATGGGTTCGCGCAAGCAGATAAATCGATTGGGATGGGTCGCAGGCTGCTGTTGGCGTTAGTTGTCGCTGTCGTTCTGAAGTTCTTCAGTCGCTAATTTCGATTTTGCTGGGTGTGGGTTTTCGGCTAGGGCCAAGAAATTCCACATCTGCGCTAGTCCCAGTATGGAAAGCATCAAACTTTCCCGCAGTCCCGGAGCACAGCGCACACAGGTGGGATGCCTCTTCTCCTCGCTCTTCTGCAACGACACGAGAAATTTTGCAGTCAGGAAACTGAGATATCCATTGGATGGATTCGTTATCCCCAGAATATGAGTCGGATCTCAGGATCTTTGCCGCTCAGTATTTCCAAGTCGTTGACGCGCAAAGTCTAATTTTCCCGTCCAACCCGGTCCTCATCAAACCTGCGGCCCAGAAATGGGTTTACCAAAATATGTTCAACGAAGATGTAATCTGGCCAATTCCACCAGCAAGTTACCGTACGCGTGTTCTTAAAGCTCTGTTGTCCAGGATTGAAGACTCAATTATGGACCCTGAGGAGGATGTATGAATAAATTCCACTGTGAAAATGTTCTGTTCCAGCATCATGTTCTCACGCATGATCAAGCTGATGTTCCTCTCTTTCCTTTTCCGTTTTCGCATTAATGATATATCCTGACTGTTATTTTCTTCGACAGGAGATCTCTGACGATCTCATGGCTTGTTGGGGTGATCTGATTGCTCGCCCAAAACGGCCACCGCTAGAGGAAGCTCAGGATTTGTCTTACATCAAGTACTCACCGCCAGGAACATTGGGCCGCGGAGAATCCCAGGCTATCGTAACGTCTGAGAATCGTGGGCTCATCCTGTCCTCAGGTACTACAGGATTCCGCACGTGGGAAGCAGCTTTGCACCAAGGGACATATCTTTCTACCCCGGCGGGCAGGGCTGTGGTCTCAGGGAAAAACATCGTGGAACTGGGCGCCGGCACCGGGCTGGTTTCAATGTACTGCCTAAAATACCTAGGTGCTAAGAGAGTCGTGGCTACGGATCGGGAGCCGGCATTGATTTCTAACATTGAGGATTGCGTGGTACGAAACAACCTTGACTGTTCGAAATTCCATAGCCGTATTTGGGAGTGGGGTAGACCCTTAGAACTTGCGGATGATTCAGGTGCAGATCATCCAACTACTTTCGATGTTGCACTGGGCTCTGACTTGGTATGCGCCTCTTAAAACCATCTACATGTCTCAGATGACTTGAAGGCGCGTGTGCATCGTACTGATCCATGGTATGATTGGCAGATATACGATGCTGACCTCATACCTGTACTTCTGTCAACATTGCGTGACCTATTTGAAAATTATGGTCTCAAGGAGTTTTTAATATCGGCAACGCTCCGCAACTGGAAGACCTTCACAATGTTCCTCAAATCCTGTGGTGTGCATCCCTGTCAATCATGTCTAATGTATGCAGGGTGGTACACCAAAAGTCACTAACCATTAATGACAATAGAAGCAAATCACTTCCATGCACAACCAATCGACTTCAATTCTCCTCCCCTGCAATCACAGGATGGCTTTTTCCATAGCACCAATGTGCCTATCAGGACGTACAAGATAACCACTCGCGAAGCCTAGGCATATGTTGCCTTTTACAGAACACCACCTATCTTGGCTATATAACTCGCATTCCACGGGCCTAACTGTATGCATCTAGGATAATCCTTCCCACTAATGAGTTCCACTACCATCGTCATCAAACTCCCTTGCTTCTGCCTCTAAATATGCGATTTAGTAACCTCCAGACTTTTCTACCTACGCTGGTTTCTGAGTGGCATGTTACATTTGGCATAACATATGTGTATCTTCAATCTTGTTAAGAAGCAACTTAGAGGTGATAGGTGGCTGATATGTTCTTTCAGACTAACGCCTTAGGCCCACACCATGCCCTCAAAACTCTGAGACTTAGCAAGGGGAGCCTGGCATTCCAGTGGAGACTGAGCTTGTTCTTCTGTTTGTAGCAGTTTGCTGCTTGTGGTTGACAACCTGGCAGCATTTCCCTCCTCCCTGTTGGGTTGTCTACGTGCATTACCCGGCGTTAGCTCCACACCGGTCTTACACAAAAGCTACCACACATATTCCAGTGACGTTTAATTCCTGGGCCATACTATGATCTCCTTGTTCTATGCCATATATCCATGACTTACAGAGTCCTAGTGTATAATTGTACTAGCCAATAGTCCTGCTACGCAGTTGATACATATCCTCCCATAATATTTTGCTGGTGGTACGTAACTAGTAGTGCATATAGGCAGTTGTTATAATAACTCGGCATGGAATGCGGTGCTAGGTAGCTTCACTGCCTGTTGTCATACCCCTGGTTGGCATTTGTACACTTCATTACTCCTGGCGCGGGTATCCGGTGGTCTGTTGCTATCCTTACATGTGGTTGGTCGGAGAGTTACGAAACGGTGATAATGGATGCATGTAGATACACATGTGAGTTCACTGTAGAAGTTGATAATAGTCTAACTTGGCGGACGCCCTGCAATAGCGGAGATGGGGCGGTGCATAGTTCGCCCCTAGCTTAATCTGGGATTTTCTGCCTGTGCTTACTCTTGGGAAGCCAACATATGTATCTGATTCTTAATTATGTGTATTTTTGAGGCATATATACAGTTTAAATAAGCAAATAGAAACTGATAAAGACACTGAATAGGAAACACCAAGAGAGAGAAGGGGACAGCCTACAGAAACAAGGCTGCCAGGAATGTATGCAAGTGGGTATCAATACGCTCAATTCAGTTTCACCAATGGAGCAAACAGGACGACGGCTCAGGAGTAACAATGCAGCAGCCTCAAACATAAACGCCGAGATGTATACAAAAAGTAGGTGCAATGATGGAGATGCTGGCCAATCCTAGACCTAATATGGTCTATGCATAATGTATTCGAAGAGAAGCCCGAAACAATCAAAGGGGGTATATAATGAAAGTAGGTAGTAGATGTAAGACAACAAGGAAAGTCACAAAAGAGCGTTCGTAATACATATTGGAAAAGGGAATGTGGAAAACATGGCTACTCTGCCAAAGCTTCATGTAATAAGGTCTCATCGAGGTGTTCTGGGTGTACTGAAGTTGGCGCCTTGTCAGGAGGACGCAAGCCAAAAATAGGTCCGCTCTGATTTACACCTGGTGGCCTGAATAATACTGGTGGTAATGATTTGGCAACGTCTTCGTCTGTTGTAGAAGGGAGAGACGAATGCGAGGTTGAACTAGAGGTCTCTGGAGTGGTCGTTGATTTCGGCTTTATGTACTTTGGCGTTGAGGTCCATTTTCCCAAAACCCAGCCTCCCATGCGACGTTTAATGCTTTTGGATTGGGAATCCTGTGGAGTGGTCGACTCAGAAAGAATCTCTTGCGCAACCGGAGTGGCGCTCGTGGTGGGATTTGCTGCAGAAGCGACGGACGACAAGAGAGAAAGGGGAGATTTATCTTTGCTGATTGAAACTCTAGGAATGGTTACGTTTGTCCGAGAGATGACAGGGGTAGTTGATGAGAATATTGTTCCGGCTGATGCGATACGTCTGGGAGTCCTTGGTACAAATGTCGGGGTGGAGCTGGTTGAGTAGTTACTTGTCAGGTGAATATCCATCCCTGAAATTGACAAAAGGCTCTCGTGAGACGTGGATCGACGCAATTGGGGAGATCGCAGCGGCACAACAATCTGGTCGCCAGAATGATGATATGAGGTTGAGGCTTCATTGTCGTCGTGTTCTTCCGGGATTGGAAGTCCAGGGAGCGAGCAGACGTTGCTTCCGCCAGCAGTACCATCAGCCTCAGCAAAGATATTAACTTTACTCAATGACCTTGGATTTTGTGAATGTTTCACGATCGCGGGTGTCGACGGTACATTGTCTAGCCATCCGTCTTCAAGAACAGATCGGATTGAAGTGTCGGATGGCCCTTTCCGATGCGATGCTCTCACGAGAGGAGAAGTAAACCCACTTTCAGGGCTAGTCGGGCGAGATGAATCGAATCCCAGGTCGGAACGATCAAAAATAGACGCCGCTTTATATGCAGATGCGGGGGAACTCGGGGCAGAAGGAAACGTTGGACCAAGCGTTTGGTCTACCCAGCGATTGGTGCGGGAGGACGGTGATGTTTGAAACGTAGAAGCTGGGGAAGCGGTGTCAATAGTATCGTGGACGCTCAGAGGACTCTCGCTGGATTCTTTCGTTGGAGACTCGAGGAGCGTAGGCGGGAAGACAGCTTTCCTTCTTCGTTGTCGACGATGTGTTGCCGGCTGGGATCGATCTTTGCGTGAAGCTGAAACTGGGACAGCGGTATGGTAATGGTGGTGAATGTGAAATTCTTGAGGAGCAGACTGAACATTCTGCAGCTCTTCGCTCAGGAACAAACTGCCACTGTGGAAATTTGGACCATCTGGATCCCCAACCAGTGGCTGATGGACGAGAAGCTGCTCCCTCAAATTTCGAACCTCCTCATCTGAACTCTGGAGCAGTTCCTTCAGCTCCACAATGTTCAACTGGAGATTCGCATTGTCTTGAAGGATATCCTTAACAAAGTGAGAGACAACATTCGTTCCGTTCTTGTTCCGCCCCAAAGAGGCCGCTGCAGCAGCGCCCTTGAGTCTCCCTGCAGCAGCATGTAATTCTCTTTCCACTGATCTCTTTCGCTCCATTCGACCTAATAGCTCCACATGTCTTTCTCGCTCCTCTCTTGATTCCTTTTCAATTCGATCTACCTGTTCATGCAGATCTCTAAGCGTAATCTCTGCTTTTCGCCAGCGTTGAATAGCTGACCGTTCATTCTCCTGGGTGATGGCGAGAGATTGTTCCAACCGTGCCTGATCATTTTCCATCTCATTCAGCTGCGCTTCGAGGAGAGCAGCTCGAGAAGCGGCCGCTGTCAATCGTCGGACCTCGAGCTGGGCAGTTTCTAAGGAGGTACTCAAGACTTTGATATGCGCATCCGACTCCGATATTACGTTATTCAGCCCCTCCAAGTCCTCTAAAAGGTCTTTATTCTCCTGTATGATTTTTGCATTTTCCGCCTGCACCTCTCGCTTTTGTTTCTCTAAATTATCGATAGTGGCAGCCATTCTCGCACGATCGGCTTCCGCTTCGGCCATGTACGATTCATGACGTCCAAGGAGGGCCTATAGGTTGTAAAAGGAAACAGCGTCAGTTAGAGTCATTGTGACTTGTCAGGTCGATTGGTAAAAGAATGTTTGATTGGGCAGACGTACTTGGCCAAGTCGAGCCGCTGTGTCGACGTCCTTTTCTAAATTCTGGAGAGCAGCATTATTGTGCTGGAGGTATGCGCAATCGGGTCTGCCACAGCAGCACTTGATTTTGGACTGATCCATCGTAAGATCGATCGGGTGCGACGTGCAGGAGGCTGGAAAGCTTCATATGGATCCGAAGTCCGCTCGGTTTGAACGGTCACGAGATGCTCAGTGCTCCTTGACGTGCTTGGATGAGCGGCTTAGGTCAGGTATTCTGGCTTCTATCTCTTGGAATCCCACAGCCAGGAGTGTAGGTAACGATGCTCCAAGAGTTGAGTGTGATGAGATTGGCTGGCAACTCCCAAAAGAGATGTGGGACTAGTTAATGTCGTCACGCGTTGGATGAGGTTCTGGAGCCTGGTTTCATTTATCCAATCCCCCGCATCAAGCATTTTCAGTCCGGGACAGGGAATAGCCATGACAAGGCCGGATTACAGGATGAGGAGTAAATGGATCACAGCGCTTACCAGGGGGCCACATATGAAGCCAATAATATTTAAGTTATGATAGGATGCCACAAAGTCTAGATCTGTAAAGTGAGCAGAACTCATATTTAGGTACGCGGCCCCTATTAGTTCAATGCTCTCACTGTTCTTCAAGATAGATGAAATATTAGTGTATGAGATGTGAATGGGCCAGGCGCCCTGAGCTACTGGAATGCAATGCATATAGGTGAAGTGCGTACTCCGTAGTACTTTTTAATGAATCACATACTACCATGCCTGTTGAATGACTAGCTGGCAATAACATCCTATCCATTCTCCTCGAACGTGATGGCAACAAGACACATTCAACGCTCTGTTAGGCTGTTTCTAGCTTCAGTGTCTATCATTTTGGGTATCTATGAGGGCTGAAATATTGTACATTATGTTAAGTGCACCACAACCCATTAGTGCGCTTAACCCGGGATCCTTCGATGCTCGGGTAAATATCCAAGCTTCAATTCATATATGGAAATATATGGCACGCAGCGAGCGTGTGGAATATCCGTGAGTGAAGAGTGTCTTTTCGGAGAAGTTTCGGAATAAACATAGTTTCCCGCGGTCGATTTCTCAGAGTCCTTGGGAGGCCGGATAGAACCCCTAGTGGTAGAGGAGCGGTGCACTGAATCGAGAAAGTAACTCAGGCTGGCGTCCCGGGAAGAGGGGTAGTTGATTTTTCCACCCTGCAGATTTTTTGCGATTGGTTGCGCTGGAAGCTCACAGGCTAAGTTCCTGGGCTCACTCCTGTGCTGCCACTAGCGGCCGGGATACTCCCGTCCGATACTGTTTGAATCTTCCGATACTCCTCCTCCAATCGCCTCTGCATCTCAAAATCCAACTGTCGTTCGCGCTTAACCTTCTGGTTTTCGAGATCTCTCAGCACGCCAGCATGCATCGCCTTAGAAAAGCCCAAGTTGGTCAGCAATTCCGCTTTAATTGCTAATGTTAGCGTAAGCAAAGGTAGCACATACAGCTTTATCTGCCTCCTGGGACCAGTGAACAAAATAGACTATGCCTGCGGTCGCGAGCGAGGTGCATGCGAATGTAATTTTCGAAGCCCGCGACATTGTGACCTTGCTTTTGAGAAAACAGGCATGCAAACTTCAAACCAGTCCAAATTAATTCGTAAATCGGGAATCTCTTGATCCTGGAGATGAAAAGCTGGACTGGGACATTTCGCCCATGAGAGATTTGCTGCTTGAGACCCGTGCGATGTTTGAGGCTTGGCGCTCCGGCCAAGGCGGTGTGACCTGGCAGATTCGGGCCGTGATGACGGTGTCGGCGGGCGATCAACCCTAGGAGGTGTTGAAGGTAGCGAAGCGATTTCAACTGCAGCTTCAAATAGATCTCTCATAGACGCTAGACTAACAAAGATGGTAAGATTTGACTTGTCCTTGGCCGATGATGGAATGATTGAAACTGATGTGATTTTCCCATTAGTCTGCCCAAAACTCAGCTGGTATTCAGACCCTCCTGGACGTACGTGTCGAGAGCTCTGCGGAACCCCAGGTTCAACCCCGCCGTCACGGATAGCAGCTAATATTGCAATTTGACCAGGCGGAGAGGGAAGCACAAAAAATCGTACAAAGCGGTGAGCTTATGCAACTTATCATCCTAGGGAACCATGCGGAGGCGTCCACTAATGGCCATTCATAGCCCGAGAATGTTAGTAGTTGTGGATGGAGCCTGAACGTGCCCTTCTAATTATACTTCTAGATCGCACAAAACGCATAAAGGACGCGAAAGCCGAAGCACAGAAGGAGATCGAAGAGTACAGAAGACAGAAAGAACAGGAATTCAAACGGTTCGAAGCTGAGGTAAGACTTATGGGGCCTCTATGCCCAGTTCAACACAGATCCGTCCCATTTGAAAATTCTCGATGCATCCGATATTTACATTTTTGCTAGCATTCGAGTGGTAACAAGAAGGCTGAGGAAGAGGCCAACAAAGACGCAGACGTCAAGCTTAAAGACATTCAGGAAGCGGGCAAAGCAAAAGGAGAGCGTGTTGTTGACGACCTGATCCATGCAGTTCTGGATGTGAAGCCGGAGGTCCCAGAGAAACTTGCAGCAAACGCCTAAGATCGGGTCCAGATAGATGTTTTCTCGGTGTTTTAGTCTTATCTTTGCCAGTTGTCCGATCATTAGATACCACTAGCCTTTATGGGAGGGTTGTTGAAGCTACTGCACCAGGGCAGCTTGCTGCGGGTATTTCTTGTTCCACGACGCTCCATGGCCTGCGATTTTGGTAGAGGGTTCAGTTACAGCAAACGCATTTCAGTTTACTCCGTACAGGTTCTAAAATTTAGAATTTCTACGGAAGGGAGCATTGAGGTGGATGGGACTTTCACGGAAGTCGTGTCATAGTCGCCGAGATGGAGTGGTCTTAAGGAAGACAAGGATTAAGGCGCCTATCTATCTACAAAATGCTGCCCAAACATGGACCGAAGTGACCAGTCAATATTCGAGCAAGACCATCATGAAATGTTGAGCTCGTGCTCTTCATTCCATTGGATCACACTCATGTACTGTAACCGCATGCTCAAACCGTAAAACCGTATTCGGATGCGTTGACAACTTTGACAGTTGCATTGGCGGAGAGTGTTGTGGAACATACCTTCGAGCCCTGACGTCTCGCATTTCCTGCATATTACTATTTGATGTAGAGTTTGTTGTCGAATGAGCGCCGGACGACCAGATCGCGGCTGAAGGAGAGGCCGCGTGGAAGTGGCTATGTCGCCTGGGGGACCCTCCTGTGGCGCAGAAGGGACCTCTCCGACGAGCAGCCTGCCACATCTGTGCGCGAGGGTCCCTGGTTAGGGCTGCTCGCGATGGCAGCGACTCACAACCAGACAAAATCCTTCGGCATGCGGTTCATGCAGCGATCGAGAACCATCTGCAGAATCTTTCAGCCTAGCTGGGCAAGCGAGCCGGTCTTCCGTAAATCTGCGGAATAGGAGGCCAGGGTCAACTGTGCCGCCCCTGTATCTCAGCGGGGTACATGGATGGGTACATGCTCCAGTAGCTACTCCTGGGATCCGGTCTAAGATCTTGTGTTGTTGTGGAATTCGAAGACGAGAGCTCTAACATTTTTTTAAAACCTATTAGACAAGCCAAAGATAACTGACTCCCGCATTCTTGTTAACGTTTCCCAACAAGAGTTGGGGAGTGCCGAGCAAACGTCATTGCTTGTTTTTGATCCCAGAACCTTATCAACTTCCTTGACCCTCTTTCTGGCCCATTTGGATATCAAATCGGAGGACTTATCCTGACGCTTGATGACCGGAGAAACTGAAGTATAAACGCTACTATAAACCTCTTTAGGTTCCAATTACAGCAAGACGTTTTGCCCGTCCGGACCATGCAATAGCTCTTCGACGGCTGCTGCACTGGGCCGTCGCCAACTGAACCACCCTCACCATGTCGGTCCAAATCTTTCTCGATAAACCCCACGCACACTTCACCAATCTTGATTTCATCACGGGGAAGGCGGTACTCACATTAACATCGGATACTCCGATAACTTTGATTGCCGTAAAGCTAGAAGGCGAGAGCCGTACACGACTTATTGCCCCGAAGTATCCGCACAGTGAGCGGTCTGATAAAAAGAGGACGGAGGTAGAGTCACATAAGGTATGGATATTATCAATCATGGTTGGGACACGAGTGTATGGCTCGAGGACTTAATCGAACAAAGATGCTGATTTCGTCATTCCTAGCTTCTATACAAAGTCGCAACCCTCTTTCCCACAGCTGAGCTGCACCCACTCGCCACTCCAAGTACATACTATACACTCAGTCCCGGGATATATGAATATCCCTTTCGCTTTAAAGTGAGAACTGGAAGATCCTATGCCAATTTTAACTGGATGCTTACTCGTGATGCTGCAGTTCCCATTCAACAATGATTGTATTAATAACAACTTGTCGTCGAATCTCAACATGGCGGGAATACGGCTAGAAGTTGCCCGAGATGGCAACCGCCACGTCAAGAAGACACTACCTCCGTCTCTAAGCGGCTTTCCGGGTGAAGCAGAGATCAGGTATTATGTGAAAGTTACCGTAGTGAGGCCGCAGTTCTATAAGGAGAATTATAGAGGGGTATGTCTGGTCCAGGATGGTTTGTCTGAAGAGTGCATTGATGCTCGGCCCCAGCCTTTCTCCGCCCACAGGAACCGTGAATGTGTTTCTCTGCTGTGGATTGACTAACCTGTGTTCGCCGGGCTATATAGTTCGCGGATTTCAAGTTTCTGCCTATTGAGCCTCCAAGAAAGAAGGAGCCGGACAAGGAGACTTTTGCTCGACGTCAACATCAGTTCAAGAATGCTCGCCTCGTACAAGAAACGAAAGGACTTTTTAGAAAGGGCAGCGTTGGCGCAATAGATGACACTAGCCCTGCTCCCAAAATCTCTGTGGATGCGAGATTACCCAGCCCAGCCATAATTACTTGCAACGAACCTTTGCCGCTAAGAATACTCATTAAAAAGCTGACTGAATTTTCCGAAACTCTTTACTTGCAATTATTCCAGCTTGAGCTAATAGGATATACCAACATTCGGGCCCATGACCTTGTTCGCAAGGAGAGCAGCAGCTGGGTCATCGTTAGCCGCAGTAATATGAATATACCACTCGGTAGTTCTGATGACCCTGTTGGGAAAGAATGGAAGGTAGATCCAAGGATGTGGAATCAAATTCCATTGCCAAACTCCGTGGCCCCGTCTTTTGATACCTGCAATATCTCGAGAACGTATGAGCTGGAAGTGCGTGTGGGCATTTCTCGTGAGGCTCATACGGCAATGAAGGTATGGATTACCCTTTGGATATGTATCCGCTCCCTTGCTTTTGAAGAACCTCCTCGCAACACGGGAACAATGAGCCTTTGGGCTAAGTCTGAATCTAGCCGGATCTTATCGTCCTCCCGCTCCGTATTTCCGTTTATGTCTATTCGGGCGTAGCTCCTCCAGCAGCGCTACTAGAGGCCATGGGGTTTCCCACTGGTGCCACCGAAACTTTACCAGAAATTCTGCCTCCCCCGCCACCACCTCGACCATCGGCACCCCCATACACTGCACCGCCGCCCCCTATGGAGGAATATGAGGACGCTCCGCCTAGCTATGAAGATGCAATGGCGGAGGCTCTTGGGCCAGTGGACGGCCCGAGGCGCGAGTATAACCCACTAGATGCCTCTCTTTCTGGAAACTTCTCACGGATGGGGACTGATGCTCAAGGTTCAGTGGGCAATTCCAAAGGCAGCGACCGTTTATTTCCCAATAGCGGACCCTTAAACTCATCGACAGACTCCTTCGATATTTACCATCAGCTTGGCCCTGCCGATGGTTTCTCACCTTCGGACCGCTCGAGGACAGCACCTTCAAACCTCGCGGAGGAACCGAGTTCGTCTCGTCCTGCACCAATATCCGTCCTCCCTGACGATCAATCGTCGCCGGTTACCCTCTCACCAGCCTCTATGGAATCCCGCCCAGAATCGTCCCAACGGAGACCGCCTCCCAAACTTGGAATACCGAGCCGAAAACCCGTTCCAGGATCCGGACACTCGCTCCCCGATCTAGGGCAGTCGCGCAGATGAACTTCTGCATTGGATTGGACATCGAATACGGGGATATCATCAGAGTTCATTGTTATACCAGCATTAAGAAGGGTGTTCCAAATCACTTAGTTATTACACATAAAGATACCTTTTTAACTTGCATTGTGGTTCTTGTTCATATACGCATATTCTAATGATGGTGTGCGGAGGCGTATTTTACAAATGGGACATGATTATGTACTATGCATGGCTGAAGAAATTTGCCTTTCTCTAGGTTGAGAGCAGGTGAATTATTAATTCCATAGTAGTGTTAGCATTGCTAACATATCTTGCACCATGACTCTTCCTATGAATAATGATATGTGAGATGTAATGCGATTAAAAAGACCGCTAGTTAGTCAATTAGTCTCGAATTTGATGATACAATCACAGGCAAACCAATTCTGGAGTCTATGTACTCCGTAACTACTCTCTGTATTCCGGAATATGCCTTGATGAGCCATTGCTTAGAGTTTGCTTACATAGACATGTGCTTGACGGGCAAAGAGAGCAATTTTAAGCTTTTGCGGGAAGAACCGACGCGATAACGCGCTTTTACGACCATCCCACTCTCCTTTCTCTCTGTTGTGAATTTGCGTTGCATGCTGAGGACCTTTTCAGGCATCAAGGTATAAACCCCAAGCGGTTCACCTTCCTGGTTAAGAGGTTGCAAACTCACGTCGAGTGGATTTCGAAGCCCATTCTCAACAATGACCCGCGGGTAGAATCGCACGACTCGCAGAGCTATAACTGCACGCGAGCAACACTATGCGTCTTCACCTAGTTATCCACAGGCACGACTTCCCTGCCACCCGGGTCCTCTGGTCGACTCCTTTCCGCTCTCCGGGTTTATCAAATCAACCTTCTGCTGCATCCTCTTTCACGGCGGCTGGGTCTCAGGCGCTCAATGCCGGGAGACGACTTAGCGGGAGTACAAGCTTCAATACGGCCTTGACGTCGCTTTCTAAGGCTGGAGGGTATACAATTTCCCAGCTGCTAGCAGATATTAATGAGGTTGTCCCTCTCGAAACTCAGCCTAGTCGGTCGGGTTATCGGAAAGATGAAGGACAATGGGGCTTGGAAGACTATGTTGTCGAGTTGATGGGATCTGAGTGCTTGCATTTTATGGAAGTTGATAATCTACTGAGGGATGGTGATGAGCTTGTGTGAGTCAATCTCAAGGCCGGTATAGGCGAGGCTATCTCGAAGATCCTTTTAATAACTGATACCGTGGTGGTTTAGAATTCGTCCGTTACATTATGAAGAATTAGAGGTACGACAGATAGGAGGACGTCATCAAATCGCGACAGATGGTACCCATCTTATCGACGGAGTTGCATTTGGGAAAAGACCTCTGAAAAGAGGTGCACCTTCTCGCCCTCCTATCAAGATTCCTCCAAGGAATAAAAGGAGACGCATAAACGAGGCAGAATGGGTTAGCGATCGCTCCGTCACAAGATGCTCAGGGACTACACCTTCACCTCCCAGGCTTGAAGAAGGATGGTGTGTTCACAGGAGCCTTAGCCCAGCTCCTGCTGAAGTCGGGCCACGTGGGGATGCCAATGGCCAACGATCACAGGAACTATCGGAAACGGGAGATAAAACCGACACACAAGGAATTGAACAGCCGCCACTAACCTCGGATAGCGCTGTGGTCATAAATGCTGTTGATAAATTTGATCATGATGCTATGGTGTCAGGTGAAGAGACAAAAGATAGCAGCAAACCGGCTGGTAACAGGATATGGACTGTGGTGAAGGAAGAGAAGTCCATCCTCTCATCATCGAGCTCAGACTCTTCGGAAAGCGAGAGTGGCATGAGTTCTTCCTCCGAAGAGTCGAGTGAAGAAGTGGATGATTCCAGTTCGGATTTGTCGCCTAGCGTTTCTAGTACGAGTGCATCGTCTTCCGTGTCATCTTCCATTAGTAGTGATGATACCTCTTCCGCCTCTGAGTCGGATGTCTCTGTGATTGAAGTGCAAAAACCACCCGCGAAACCTGAAGCTCTCACCTCGGAGATTATTGCCCGGCCAAATATGAATCCGCCCGGCATGGGTTCTCGCAGAACGAAACACAGTAATTTGCGGACCAAACTTCGAAAAAGGCTTGCAAAGATGAAGGCTGCTGGGATTCTTCCTCAGGATGCGAATTTTGATGACTTGCGTGCTTGGGATCAGGCCGGCGTAAGGAGAAGTGTGCCGAAACCTCTAGAATGTACAGCGGAAACTGACAAAGTGATGTCTCCTACCAAAGCCGAGTTCGAGAAACGGCGAGCGCAACTGTTACGGGATATTGAAGCGGGAGGCGTAGACGTGTCTCCAAACTCTGCGCAACAGGATCCTGAGGCTGTACAGCCTAGTTCTTCGGTTGACGCGACAGCAACGCCTGTTTCGGAAGATCGACTGCCTAACAAAAAGGCGAAGTTAGATTTAGCCAGCACGAGGCGTCTTCTTTTTGGCTCCCTCGGCCTACGTACCCCGAAGACCAAGAGCGACGCGGAGCGTCTAAAAGCCCAGCTTGCGGAAACATTGAAGAAACCTGGACCTACAGCCAAAGAAGAGCAAATCAAAGAACCGGCAGAATCAACGAGAAAGAGCCAAGCTCTTATGCCAGTGGAGAACTGGCAAGATTTCATCATTCTGAAAGCTACCGAATGTATATATGAAGATGTGAAAGTGCCGCCGCCACCATTTCCATTTGTTCAAAGATGGGACGCTGAAAGCCAAAAGCAAATCCGCGAGCGGCGGAATCGTGGAAATGGTCAGAATAAAAAGCGGAAAAGGAAATCTTTAGTTTATGAAGAGGAAGGCAATCAATACGACGGTCCCGAAAGCTATTTGAATACCGAGATTACGCTAAATTATTCTGAAAAGGAAGATAATGTGCAGGGAGTTTCCCCGGCCGTTGTTGAAACTACTGAGAAATACAACGTCCAAGAGCGGTCGGGACTGGTTGAGGAAGACCTTGTGGAAGCAAGCCCTACAGAGGCAGGGGAGGATCTCCCATTGTTCGGGAATGTATCGTCCCTCCCGAATGCCACTGAAACCGATTTTAAACCTGGTGCTATTATAGCATTTAAACAACTGGAGGTTTCGAAAGCGACCAACTGGCAGCCCGTAGTCTCAGACTATCGCACAGCGGTCGTAGAGGGGATTCTGGATGACGCTTGTGTCCAACTTCGTCTCGCTAAGCGTGACAGAGAAGAACGACCACAGAATCAGGATACAGGCCCACGCGAATATTCAGGATTTGAAATGCCGGGTTATGATGAGGATCAAGGCGAAGACGACGGGTTAAGAGATATGGAAGTGTGCCAGTTGATGGAGGCAAAGCTGTTACAACATGCACCGGCTGAAGACGGTGAGGCTGAAAATTTGGGAGAGGTAATTGTCGAAGATACCCAAGCGAATGTCCTGTCCGTATAATATTTCCTTGCTATTGTTTCCTTTTGAAGTTTGCGGACAATTTTGTGGCTCATTCTTTCGTATGAGTTAGTCCCGACCGCATACCCGTATCTGTTCTACAGGAACCCGAAGAGATGGAAATAGTTCAGGTTTCCTCTCAGACCCGACGAGACATTTCAGAGTTAATAGACGATGCTGGATTTAGGTCGGGCATTGATTCTGATTTAACCTTTCCTCATAAACTCCTTCCCCATGCCGATGCAACCAAAGCCGTGGAAGAGGAGGACAAGGGCGTTTCGGAATTACAAGGGGATGAGGACTATGCGATAGCGTCTCCAGCTTTCAGCGGGTTTGAAAAGACTCCGGTCCGCGAAACAAGCGAGCGGCCTGACCCGGGGGCGGCCCTGCGTCCTATCACCGGTTCTACTGGAACTGGGAATAATACGGCCATCAGCGAATCTCCTTTGGTGCAAACAAGCTCTATGGAAAACGCTGCCCAGGAAGTCGATCCGGTTGTTTCAGCATTATCTATACCTTCTGAGGATGGTCTGCGCTATATAACCGATCTCGATGACACAGGGCCAGGCGGGCATATTATTGGCGAGAGTCAAAATACCAGGTCGAAATCTCCAGTCCACAGCGATGCTCATGATTCTCAAGAGGAGGAAAAACCGTTAGGAACTAGCCAACCGGAATCACTTTTGTCCATTGTACCCTCTAGCGTCCAGGACGACACGAAAAATGACCGACCCGGCTCATCTGCTAGCTCAATGGTGACAAATCCATTCTATGAAGTGGATCGTGTTCTGTTCGGGGAAACCAGCGATGGAGCAGCGCTAGATGCTATGATTGCATCCACCGCGCCTCCTCGGATCACTGAGCCGTCCGAACCCAAGAGACCTGCTCGAGTTCGGCGACCGGTCCTTTCATCTCCGCGCCAACGATCTCCTGAACCGTTGTTCGTTTACGGGGATGATGATAGGGACGGGGACTACCAACCGGATATTTCCGAGCAATCAAGTTCCAAGGAGAGGTCAAGATCCTCCCAGATTGTTAAGGAGGAACCCATGAGTTCGCAGGCCCCCAAATGTCAATTGCAAATCCCCGAGGGCTCCCAGCTCGTCGACCTGACGCTGTCCAGTGATCCTGTATCGCCTGGAAATAGCGATGGGGATTTTGCAAAGTCGCAAGGGCTACCCAGCTCGGTCCAGTACCGAAGACGTCGACCAAGGAGGGCAAACTCGTCGATGAAGAGGAACGGTTCGCTGGAGCGAAGGGTGAAGACGAGGAGGAGCGCGATATAGGCCGCGTTTCTTCCGGCGCCGTGATGTTTTGGCTCGGATCACTTACCGGATTAGGATTTGTACTATTAAGCGCTGATACTTCTGTCTGCACCCCCACTGGATGAAGGGCATGTTGATTCCCAAACCACGCTGCTGCTGCTGATTCCATGCATTACAACTTTAGCAACGCCTGAAGAGGAAATTGGCGTCAGAGGCGACCAGCCAATCACGTCGCAAGTCCCCCGCTGACGAATTGCAGATGCTGATTGGCTGGCTGGCCCCGCAACTATGACGCCAACTGTTTTGAGTGCAGCCTCAAAGCGCTTCGCAGCCAGCTCGCGGCGGTGCAGCGGGATCTGCAGACGATGAGCGGCCTCGTTGAGTGGGCAAATTTTCTTGTTGAGATCGCATTTCCAGTGTGCGGGATTGCCGATGGGCTCATGGACCGTCTTTGCTGTTGATTGAACCGGTCCATGTCCTTCAACTGTGGTAACTAATTCTTTACGGAGTAGATGTTATGAGATAATACCACTGCAACAATTAATCAAGGATAGCATGGTCTTCCCCTCTCAACACCCCGCATCCCACCTCACTGCTCGTTTTATACTTCATTGCTGGTCGAAGCGTTCTTTTTCATCTTTCTCAAGCCATCTGCGTTCAAGGCCCATATCTATATGGGGTTTGTTGTCTGATTTCAATTCTTTGCCCATACGGCCACACTTTGCAGGTCCCAAGATTAGTACTAGGATTTTCACACCGAACCGGCCATTCAGTAACTCGATCGGTTCACTGGCAGCCATGACTTCTGATTATAAACTCAAAGATCTCGCCTCTTTAGCGGACCTTAAAGATGGGGAGAAGAGAGAAGTCAGCATTGAAGGACTGGAGGAAGCAAAGCTGCTCTTTGTAAAGCTAGACGGCCAAGTCCATGCCCTGACAGCGAGATGCACCCACTATGGCGCCCCACTGGTGAAAGGTGTGCTGACTCCGGATGGAAGAATAACATGTCCTTGGCACGGAGGTACGTTGGTCAACCCCAATGCCTAGAGTGATATGCATGCTAATAATGCTCGTTTCTTTTCCTTGTAGCTTGTTTCAATGTCACGACCGGAGATATCGAAGACGCGCCAGCACCGAATGCACTGGAAAAATTCGACGTTTTTGAAAAGGACTCTGCTGTCTATGTTAAAGCGGATGCTGAAGCCTTGAAGCGCAATGGGCGCCAGCCGATTAATCAATGCTCCATCGTCGGAGATGACAGGATCGTTATAATTGGAGGGTAAGAAGCAGTTTATCCTTCACAATTGTTACTGCATTAGAATGTTGACCACATCATTATTGCACAGTGGAAGCGGTACATTTGGAGCTGTCGAGGCCCTTAGGGAACAAGGATTCAAGGGGAAAATCACCATCATTTCCCGAGAACCAAACCCCCCGCTCGATAGGACCAAGCTCTCCAAGGCACTTATTCCGGACGCGAGTAAACTACTTCTTCGCCCTGCCCAATGGTATGCGTCCGTAGGCATTGACCTTGTTTCAGATAATGCTACGGCTGTCGACTTTGATAAGAAAACTGTTTCCACTGACTCCGGAAAATCATTCCCGTATACAAAACTCATCCTTGCTACTGGTGGAGTCCCCAGAAGGCTACCTATGCCTGGAATTAAGGATCTTGGAAATGTCTTCGTTCTACGCTTTGTGACGGATGTTCAGGAGATTCTCAATGCAGTCGGCGACAAGAACAAGAATATTGTCATAATTGGCAGCTCTTTCATTGGTATGGAGGTTGGCAATGCCCTATCAAAGGAAAATAAAGTCACGATCATTGGCATGGAATCGGCCCCATTGGAGCGTGTCATGGGCGCAAAGGTTGGTAAGATATTCCAGAGGCTTTTGGAGAAACAAGGTGTCAACTTCCACATGTCCGCTTCCGTGGAAAAGGCCTCTCCCTCCGAAAAGGATCCATCAAAGGTTGGCGCGGTTCATCTGAAGGATGGGACGGTTCTCCCAGCTGATCTCGTTATCCTCGGAGTGGGAGTATCGCCGGCAACGGAATTCCTGAAATCCAACGAAGCAGTTACCTTGGAACAAGATGGCTCTCTCAAAACTGACGAGTCATTCGCTGTGAATGGCCTTAAAGACGTGTATGCCATTGGCGACATCGCTACATATCCCTACCACGGACCCGGAGCCGGCCAAGGTGATCGAACCCATGTTCGGATTGAACATTGGGATGTTGCACAGAATGCTGGCCGAAGCGTGGGTTTCACTCTTGCCCACGCTTTAGCCTCTCCACCAAAGGAAGTGCGCCCGAAAGCATTCATTCCCATTTTCTGGTCTGCCTTGGGCCAGCAGTTACGGTACTGCGGAAATACAATGAACGGATGGGACGACGTGATTTTAACCGGAGATCCGGACAATTTCAAGTTCGCTGCGTTTTACACCCTTGGTGACACGGTTGTTGCTTCCGCGAGTATGAACATGGATCCGTTGAATTCTAAGTGTGCAGAGTTAATGAGAAGAGGAAACATGCCGACGAAGAAGGAATTGGAGAAAGGTTTGGATATACTGTCGTTGGACCTCCCCAGCACAATAAGAATGTAAATTTTCCAATTGGTGCAGTGCATAATTTCGTGTGCTTCTGGTTTTGTAAGAAGCAATTTCATAAATATGTAACAAGTCGATATAGTTAGAGCAATACGAATAATATTAAGTCAGTGAATTCTTTCAGCCGCAATTTATGTTATCCAGCCAGTGTTTAACTCCGATGCAAACTTCCAGGTCAAACCTCGATTCCGTACGAATGGCTCCTAGATCAGTGAGATAGGTGTACTATTGCTTCGACTTTTTCTTTCTCTTCTTCTTCTCTTTCTCCGCACTCCCTGCTGCGCGATCGTCGCGACTTTCTTCGGCCACGAGGCCTCCAGACATCTCCACATCACCATCACTGCTCTGAACGATAGTCACGCCTTTTTGATACCCCAAAATCCGTCTCTTCTCTTCTGTAATCAGCTTTCCTTCTTCCACCGGGCTCAACATTGTTCCTTCAAGACTAAGGAAGCCCTTATCCCACTCGCTGCCGGGAATTACATCCACATCCCTCACACGGAACTTAATCATCCCACGAACCCGTTTCCCAGAACGCGTCTGGAAATACCCCATCGCTGCAGACGCCTCATCATCATGCTCATCGGGAATATGTTTATCGCCTTTAAGCGGGCGAAAATTTTCCGTATCTGAGTTGGTGTCGGAATCATCTTCGTCCTGGGTCATGGTCGGTGTTGATTCCGGTTGCTGGCCGGGAGCTACCCATTTCCAGTCTGGGGGGAGCCGTTTGCGTTCGATTCCGACGGAGAAGAGATTGAGAACGACGGCGCCCAGGAAACCTTCCGATTGCACGTTTATCCATCCCTCTAGAGTCTGGCCGCGCTCCGGGCGAAAGACGAGTAAGGTGATCGTTAGATAAACGTACAGGACGCCGTATTCGCCAGCAGTTACGGCGAGAGTAAGCGGTTGCGGAGTTGTAGCGCTTTGGTGGGAGCTTGATGAAGGGTGGGGAGGTGTGGATGAGATTGACGGGTTAGAGAAGGCAAGGACTATTCCTCGGACCGGTGGATAGTAAGTTAATAGTAGTGGCGCAACGTGTTCGGATATCAAGCATGAGAGAGCGTGAGTGGGAGAGATTGAGATCGGCGAGAGAGGTAGGTATAATGTCGTTTCGACGAGGTGGAAAGGCGAGGAATCTATGGGGTCTTGGGAGTCGGCTTGAGAGCCTTGCGACTTGCTGAGAGGTTTCGTATGCTCCAAGGAGAATTCTGGATGTAGTGGCTCAGCATTGCTTTTGTGTTTGCGGTGATGCTTCTCCTTTTTCTTGTGTTCGGGACTGGAGTGTGTGCCGGGATCATGGTGTTTTCGCTTTTTCGACAACTTGTGGTCTTCATCTTTATTCTTCCGCTTTTTCACAGGCGACGATACCAACATTGTCTCCATTGTTGTGTCTGTGGTTAGGTATTTCCGTCCAGTCAAGCGCTGCAGCCGTGGTATTTTTTTCGTTGCAGAGAAATTTTCTCCCATGAGATTTGCGGTTTGGCGGTCCGGCTTGGGGCTCACTAGCGGGAACTAGCAGCCTTAAGCGCGCGCTTATTTCGCTGCAATAAAGCGCCGCGACGATGACAGCTATCATATAACAGGGCGCCAGGGCACATCCACTGCGATGAAGGTGACATTGAATGGGCGGTAGACTTTCTCTCCTTTTTGATTTTGCTTTCTTGTTCTAACTCCACTCTAATGAGAGTATTGTTTCCTTACTGAATGCAATAGAGAATATGAGCGACATCACTGGTTCTATTCTCTCCTTTGCTGGCTGGGCCTTTCTCCCCCGCGTAAGTCTCCGCGTCTCATCCACCGGACATTCAGTTCGCTAACCAAGACCCAGTTTATCTCCTCGTTCCTCCAATCTGTTTACTATCGTATTACCATCCGTGCTGGTTCACCGCATCCACATCCTTCCTCTCCCTGCTATGCCCGCCATTATCGCCGAATATACATATTTGTCGTGACGAGCTATCTTCTCTACACCTTTTACGACGCATACCACCGCATCCGCGCGCAGGGAGATTTTTACCAGATCCTCGGTGTGCTACCTACCGCCGACGATCGGACCATCAAGTCCCGATTCAGGCGACTAGCCGCGCTTCACCACCCTGATAAACAAGGTGGCTTTGAGAGCACGAGCACCGGCGACCTTTTTGTCCATCTTAAACTTGCGCAGGACACGCTGCTTGACCCCACCAGGCGATTCGTCTATGATCGATTTGGGAGGGAGGTCATCGAAGGCAGAAAGACCTACACCATTACGCAGCTCCTGTACGAAGGGCTCTATGCGTTACTACCGCAGTACTTTGTTGGATTAGTCACATTAGCACTTTTGAATACATTTTGGTTTTCGCCATGGGGAAGATACGTAAGTTTCGCGTAATCCGCCGACTCATCGATGAGATGCTGAAACCTCAGTCAGTGGCGATTCTATACGCTGTTTGCCCTTTTTGTCCTCGAAGTGTCTCTCCTCACGCACCGTGATGGAGTATTCATGCCTGCTACATACCTCCCAGCCTGGCTCTCCAGTCTCTTCAGCCTGAATGCATTTTATCTTCTTCCGTTCCAGATTCTAAGCCTCGCGCGCACCGCGTCCGTCACACTGAACATTTTCATCTCCCAAATCGCCCCACCACACGCCTCATCATCAAATCAGCCATCCGCGAGTCTCTCGCCCCAGGCGCAACAGAAGCTGGTGCAGCTGGCTCAACTCAGTCGTACTTGTGACATGGAAGCCACTAAACTCCTCCAACTCCAATACACACCCTTCAAGGGGCAGAAGGAATCTGTTTCCAGGCTGCGGAAAGGTATGAAGACCAGCCTAATCATGGGAACAGTGCAGGAAAGCCCAGGGGTTCAAGAGACAATTCATAATGTGACAAAACCGCAGGGTGTATAAGCACGGACTTTGTTGTCTGTAGATGTCTGCCTTCATTTTTACTGCTTGCTTGGTGCTAGAATCCCCGCATTCTGAGTTGTTTTAGACTTCTTCGTATGTTCAGAAAAGATTGGAACAGCCATGGTACACCCTGATGTATTGCTAGATTTCATGCTTATGCTTGATTTATATTCACTGTATGTATTATCTCAACATGGAAAGGAAAAGTGTAGCCAGCCAATTCCTCTGATTTGCCTTATTTTTTTTGACCCGTCTCGAGCCGGCGAGCGGGGCTTCTCTGGAGCCGTTAACTACGGAGTGGCGTTGGAAAACTGGAATGTCACTCGCACGCCCTGATTGGTCGATCATCATACGGCGGCCCGGCAGTAAGAAGAACGGCGAAAAGACACGAGGAATATAAATATATCAGGCAAGTGTCCCATTTGCACTTAATTTTTGCAGTTCTCTTCCATAGCAGGCTATCCAAAGGAAACATTATCCTCCCACACGGCACACATACGTACAAGGATATCTACCACTATGGACAACAAACAAGTCTATGCGGACGTCCAGGAGCATTACAGCTCCGCCGCCAAAACCACTGATAACGAATACAGCAAAAAGGTGGCCGAGGCATTCGGGTATAGCGAGTCTGAGCTCACCAGCATCCCCAAAGATGCGAATCTGGGGCTGAGCTGCGGAAATCCGCTGGCCTTGGCGAACCTGAAGGAGGTAAGGACCCCCCAATATGACGGTGATCACGCAACGAAACCACTTAAGCTGACCCATGGAAGGGAGAAACGGTTGTCGACTTTGGCAGCGGAGCAGGATTCGACGTTTTTCTGGCGGCCAAGAGAGTTGGTGCTACAGGGAAGGTCATTGGAGTCGACATGAATAAGGTCAGTCCACTTCACTTCCTCGAAATTCGGCTGAAGATATCTCTTGTCGGCCCTTTTAACTGAGTATGAGCTAATTTAGCTCCAGGATATGCTTGAACGAGCACATAAAAACAAAGAGACTGCCAAAGCAGATAACGTGTCGTTCGTTGAGTCTCGCATAACCGATGTCAAGCTGCCCGATGCTACAGCGGACTGCATCATCAGCAACTGCGTGGTCAATCTCGTCCCAGAAGCAGAGAAACAACTCGTCTTCAACGAAATGTTTCGACTCCTCAAGCCTGGTGGTCGTGTGGCCATCAGTGACATCCTCGCGAGAAAGGAGCTTCCACCAGAAATCAGGAATGACATGGCTCTCTATGTTGGCTGCGTAGCAGGCGCGAGCCAGGTTTCAGGCTACCAGCAATATTTCCGCAATGCTGGGTTCAATGGTATGTTGATCCCCGTTTGGGAATACAAACTCAATGCCTGAAATATTTCTGACGCAAGCAGACTCCGTAATCGTGGACACGAACAGCGACTTAAATATATATACTACCGCCAAAGATGACGGTGCCGACATGCCATGCTGTGGAGGCACCAACACCTGCACTCCACTCAAGCCGACGATTAAAAATATTGATTTCAATGAATGGGCAGGTAAGATACTTCAACTGATCGGGAGCCGTACGTGATTTGTTGACACCATCATAGGCTCTTTCAAGATTTATGCCGTAAAGCCTTGAGATTCGATAATAAGGTTGAGACGGTTCTTTCGTCCAGTTATGGGAGGATTCCACCGTAAAGTGTATCAACGGTTGTTGATGCTATTTCCACTTACGGGCATAGAATGTACCTAGAAGTCAAAAGGCTTGTCAAACATCTTGCTAACAGTAGCCGAGCCAAGTATCTGGTAAAGACTACATTTCTCTCCCCCAGTAAGGCGTAGTTGTGGAGATATAGGATTATCCAACTTATTATCCAAGCAACGGATTGGGAGACGATATAAAAATCATCAACGTCAGACATTTCTGGCCAGGTTATTCGTATATAGGAGCTGCGAAATACCAGGTTTTGAGAACGTTACGTGGTATTTCGTCATGGCAAGCTCGTCTTCTTCCTTGAGCTTCGTAGTGAAGCTCAAACCTTTTCCTCTGTTCCCTCTTTTTCTCTCTTTTCCCTTTTTTTTTTTTTTTTTTGTTTTTGGTTTGTTTGGGGGGGAGGACTCTAGCGCTTGGATTCTGAATGAATATCCTCAAGGGCGTCCTGAAAATTGTCATTCGAACTTTCGTCGCTCCAAGACTGCCACTTGATATTTTGGTCACTATCAGAGTCCGAGGAGGACAGACAAGGAAAGAAACGCCTGGCAAGCCTTTCGAAGCCTTGCCCATCCTCGAGAACGATAGGTGAAGAAGTGCAGGAGTAAAAGCCAGCCTCCAAAATGCTTTCTGTGCCCTCCCTGGTGTCAGGCATGTGGTTTATAATATCCAGCAATTCATCAAATGCAAAGGCTAGGTTTTCTGTCACGTCTGGACGTTTGAGCAAGCGGCTCTTGAAGTCTCCGAGTGTGTACTGCCTATCACTTCTCAGTCTGAAATGCTCCGTGCCCGCTAAAATATTGATGGTTTCAATATCTGCATATAACGCAACCAGCTCCAAGAGATTGGGCCCCTTCAGGCGTGGACATGAAGAGTACTCGTGCCATCTGTCAAGGATTAATCGAAGGACATTGTGGCTGTTGTACGTAATTGCCGTGGTCAAGGGTGTCGACCCGGTGTCCGTGAATGCATTTATATCCGCGCCATACTCAAGTAGAAGCATGGCAAAACTCGAGTTATCCATTTGAGAAGCGTGGATGAGTGGTGTCTGACCATCAGTACCGCGTGAATCGACGACTGCGCCAAAGTCGAGCAAGCTCTTTAACAACATTGGGTCTACGGCGTTGCGCGTTGCGACGGTGAGAGGGCTGCCTTTCCGTACTCCGCTTGGCAAGGGTGGATCGGGGTCGGCACCAGCCTCCAGTAAGAGGCGAACGCAAACTGTATGACCCCGGGCTGCAGCATTAGACACAGGTCCAGATAGCTGAATGTCTGTAATATTTGGATCAGCGCCATGGCTAAGGAGAGTGACAACACTCCGGCTATCTCCACGCGCAGCAGCCCAAGCAAGGGGGGTTCTGCCCATGGAATCAGTTGCATTAAGATCTTCAGGATGCAATACAATCTCATCCTCCAGGTCAAGAAGGGATAGACCCAGTACAACCCTGTGGATCTGTGTAAAGTTTGAGTCCTCGATAAAATCTTCAAAATAGCTCCCTTTAGTGATGGTCTTAAGGGCGACTACGCCCTGGTCAGGGAGGCCACCCTCAAGTAAGAAATGGCATGCCTTAATTCGTGGACTGTTGTCAGAGCCTGCCAAAGGCCTGTAATCGGGGTCTGCTCCTGCATATATCAAGAACTCGCAGGTGTCGTACTGTTTCGCGTAAAGTGCCCATCGAAGCAGGGAGTATCCTCTACTAGTGCTGACATCACGAGGAGAAGCCAGACCATGGGTAAACAAGTGTTTTAAACCGTCGATATCGCCTTTTACGGCAAGATTCACGCACTGGGCCGAGTCAGGCACTCTTGTCAACGTATCGAGATGAAAGAGTGATCCCATGTTGTGATGATGACCAAGTTGCATTCGTACGATAGTGGAGGAGAAAAACCCAAGGGGAAACCAGTATTCTAGGCTAACTTGACTTGCTTGAGATTTTCTGCAGCTTTCGATGTCGCACTTCGGGCTGACGAAAGGTAACCCTGCATACCCGATGAATAGTTGCCCAAATACACGGTTCAAAAGCGCCGGGGTTGATGACTTTTGTTGCTTATGACATGAACACCGGCAGTCGCTCCGGCAGGACACAACATAAGGACTGACGCGCACCGCCAAACCCTCCGAGTTTGGAGTGGTTACCGTAGGATTATTTGGCCGTGATCGACTTTGGCGCCGGTTGGTCCGACGGACATTGTACAACGCACCAACTTGTTGGAATTGGGTCGCCTGAAGCTGATGAGTTTGTGTTTGGAGCATTTGCTCCACTCGAGTTATTCGCTCATCCACGGTCGTAAGGGTATCTATGAATTTATCTTTCATGGCAACTTGTTCCTGTGAGGACTGTAGGGTGAATGCAGATATGGCTTGAATGCTGAGATAGATCTGAACCATATCATGGCTGAGCCAACCGCCTCCCAGTCAGTATGACTTGGTTAAAAAGCGTTGTGACCGACAATCATAAAGAAACTGCCCGTAGCAAAACGTACGAGTTCGAAGCTCCAAGTAGGATGTTCAAATTGCACTTGATGGAGCGGATATCGTCTTGGAGAGCTTTCAAAGTATCTTGCTCTTTCCGCCAAGCATAGGCGCCAGAGAGACCAAATTTAGCTTTGCCGACGGCGTCGAGGAGCTTGTCAACGACGCTTTTAAGCTCGCTCAATTTGAGAGCTGCCTGTTTCAAAAGGTACGGGATCGCAGCAATTTGAGTCTCCGGCAGGATATTTGCTCGGTTTTTAACCAGTATTGCCACCTGGTGAAGGACGACCTCAAGATCTGACACTTCGTTGTTGATTGCGTGAAGTCGCCCTGGTAAGCTCTTACATAGGGACCGCAGCTCAGCGAGTGATGAGCAGATTTGAAAGGCGAGAGTGGTGACGCCCGCGATGCTTGCGGTGATTGAGAGCGGATCCATGGTGGTGACGGGTAACCAGTTAGGCCGGGAAGGGTAGACCTTGTCAAAGATGGAGTGATCCTTCTCTGCGCTGTGGGCTCTTTGCCTCCATCAAAGCAAACGACCCTACCTACCACGGTGACATGACAGCGTGCAGCCAAAAGCAGCCAGGCCCAAGAATATCACTTGAGCGCAGAGGGATATTAATGATGTCCTCTTGAGGGTCGAAGAGACCACGGGGCGACCAGGCCCCTTTTCAAGGCTCAGCCCCCCGGTCGCTCCCTGCAGCCCGTTGCGATGAAATGTCGGACGTCCACGGCCGGAGCCAATCACAAGGACAGCTTGGCTGACATAATGGTGCTAGCCTCTCTGGGCCATCACGGTGGGGTTCGGGCGGGATTCCCGCGCAGCCCTGAAGGTTGATTGGTGGAAATAGCCCCACCATCCAACAACAACCCCGCACCATGCGGCTGCTGGAGGCTGCTTTTGAGTGCAGCATCGCGATGGTCCGTCCTTCGTGTGCTGCTCGACCGCGCATCCGTTTGACAGAATGAAGTTTGGTCAGAACTTCCATCGCCATCAAATTCCGGAATGGGCCCCGTATTATGCCCGCTACAACCACATCAAGGCTCTGATCAAGGCATCTCAGCCGGGAAGCAGCCCTAGCCAAGAAGGTCTGTGGCTTCAGGGTTTACAGGTGGCACCCCTCAGTTACAATGCTGACAAGGCCCATAGAGAGCTATGAGTATCTCGAAAGTGATATTAATGTCTTCAAAACGTTCCACCAGCTTCTATACAGCTTTCTAGAACACCAGGAGAGAGCACTCTGCTCAACATACGGTTTGCGATTTCCAGTTTTGACAATCCCAGACCTCGCATCGTTGCATGAATGTGAACCCCGCCATATCCTTGAATCCATTCTCGAGCTTCAAGCGGATTTAGCGAGGATACAATGGTACGATAGAGTCAATGGAGAAGCTTTATCTAGACTGTGCGACAAGCTTGAGAAGATCAACGGAGGCAATAGCCCGAGGAGGCTGTTAGTGGATGTCCAACCTACCTTTGACGCCCAGTGCAACAGTGATGGCGAAAGATTAAGAAGCTTGGAGAAAGATATCGCTCGTTCTCTTCGTGACCGGAAGGCGCAGTCTCCTCTGCGATCGCTCTTTCTCTCGAAAAGCAAGTTTCCCTTCGCAATTTATCCCGAACATGTTCTCACAGCGATTGTGGGCGATCGGGATACGGTCCTATCAGAGCTCCTAGCCCAATATTCAACAAGAGATCGCATAGAGTATTCTGAAATGCTGGAGCTGTTGATGCAGTTTTGCACAGTTTCTCAATCTAGAAAATGCTTTGAAATATTGATCACCGAACTCGGGAGCAAAGGCCCCTTCATGATTAATTCTGGATTTCTAAACCGCTACATAGCTAGCCTTGGTCGAGGGAGAATATCCAAAAGCCGTATTGATGAGCAGGCATCTGACAATGGTATACGAGGCGACGCGGACAACTCCTTATGTTTAATCATGCGTGATATGATTGAATCGGGTCGAATTGAAAAAGGTTGTCTACGAATCGTTGATTTTCGAGGGCGTCTTCCGCTTCATTATGCCGCTATCCATGGCATATACCCATTTGCCATGGTTCTTTTACCTGACACCGCATTACATATTGAAGAGGCATTACTTCGGAAGGATTGCGAGGGTCACACACCCCTGCACCTGGCCGTGATATACGGCCATACAGCAATCATCAAATTGTTTCTACAAGCGCTCAAAATTACTGATCAAGCGGATCAAAAAATAAAGGACACTCTGGCTCACCTGTTGGGTGACATCCTTCTAATCGCCCTCAAGTGCCAACACGATCACATAGTCTCTTTATTATCCTGGGCACAATCACACGTGGATTGCCATTCTAACCAGGGAAAAACCGCTCTTCATGTCGCCGTTCAGATCGGCCGAACAGACTATGTGAAGATAATCCTTCAAGCCATGTCCCACTCGATGGCCAGCATCGATGTAGCCGAAACCACACGCGGCTGGACACCACTCATTCTGGCTTGCATAATGGGTCACCTCGAAATAGTCGAGATCTTGCTACAGGCAAAGGCAAGCCATACGCTGGTCGACCGTCGTGGTTGGACTGCAAAAGAACATGCGGCTTTTCGAGGTCATCTCCATATAGCCAATCTGCTCCCAATGCACGAAAGTTTAGGTCCATTTGGCGGGCCTAGCAATTTACAACCAGGCACTGTGAGCTCCAGCTTTACGACCAAACGTGATGAAAGCTGTCTAGTCCTGAATCTTGGTCCAATGCAAAGGAACAAGCAAATGGCAGCCGTTGCGCTTAACTTTGATTCAACACCACATCCCGAAAGCTTTTCGATCGAAGTTTCTTTACCGGGCGGTCCAAGCTATTTACTTCAATTGCCCATACTGGACGACGCGAGTAACCCATTGCTATTCCCAGTAGGAAAATCAGCTACACCTCAAATCATATTCAAACTTTTCCGCGGTGTTGGCACAGGCGGTCAAAAGGGTCCTCTTGTTGGAGGTGGCACTGCTCTTCTAGAGAACGCCTGCCCTTCCTGCACTCCTGATCGTGAATCCCTAATAAGAACACGTAGCATTTCCATCATATCCAAGAATACATTAGACTTTATAGGCACCGTCTCGTTCACGTACGTTATAGCAAAGCCCTACGCCAGCACCGGTCGCCCATCAGCGCAGCTCATACCAATATCAAACTCCGTACAGCTCGTGGGCCACAGAGGTACGTTTGATACCTATATCTCAGCTGTTAATTGCTTACATTTAGATAGGCTTCGGCCAGAACACAGCAGAGCGGGACTATCTTCAGCTAGGGGAGAATACAGTTGAAGTAGGACAGGTGATACCCTCCTAGCCTTCGGGACATTAGACTAATAGGACTAGTCCTGTCTTTCAGCGAAAACAATGGGCGCCTCATTTGTGGAAGTAAGTCATTAAGCAAACTCTTGTGCAATCCTGTCTAACGGCTTGCAGTTTGGTAAATCGTCATCATCTGTTGATGTTATCCTTGAATGCTAAACCACAATCGTGTAGACGTTCAGGTAACAAGAGACCTGGTCCCGATCATTTATCATGATTTCTCCCTGAGCGAGTCAGGAACGGATGTGCCGATCCATGATGTGAGCCTAAATCAGGTAAGCTTACCCGTCATTGGTAGCTGTCATTTGTTAACAGCTTTAGTTTCTCTATTCCGGTAAATCTGCACTTCTAGATGACTTGGTCCGGAGCTTGCCAAATGATCGAGCATGCCAACGAAATCCTCGCTCACAATCGTTGACGAGATACGACGATAAATTTGCCAGCGCCAATTATAGACTACAGCACACCGTAGACTTTATGAAGAAAGGGTTTAAGCCTAACAGCCAGGGAACTTCCATACAGAGTCCGTTTGCGACACTGGAAGACCTATTTATTAAATTGCCCAAGGATCTTGGGTTTGTTATTGAGCTAAGTAGGTCTTCGCACGGAAGAGACGGCAATAAAATAGCTGTTAACCGAGCATCACAGAGTATCCTAGACCGCACGAAGCTGCAGATGCCAGTGTTGCACCTGTTGCAATTGAGGTAAACGCATTCATCGATGTAATCCTCGACAAAATCCACCGTTTCGGCGCCGGGAGAAATATTGTTCTGGCGTCATTTACCCCTGAAATTTGCATTCTTCTATCGCGTAAGGCTAGGGGGTATCCGATCATGTTTATTACCAATGCTGGTAAACGTCCCATAACAGATATGGAGAAGCGTGGAGCCAGTCTCCAGGTCGCTATTCAATTCGCAAGGCAGTGGAACTTTACCGGTGTCGTTCTCGCCGCAGAGACCTTTTTATTGTGTCCGCGTCTCATTCAATACGTACAAAGGTCTGGGCTTCTCTGCGCTTCATACGGACTAGTGAATAATGTGCCGGAAAACGCAAAGGTTCGTTGTCTGACTTGGACTCGACGAAGATATGCTGCATGTCACGTTGTGCTAATGTTCCTTTCCACTTATACAGGTACAAGTTGATGCTGGAATTGACATGCTCATTGTCGATCGTGTTGGCCTAATTGCGAAAGCATTAGCTTCCACTCAAGAGGTGGTGAACAGGAATTAGATTTTAGGACTATGTAGCTTGTCATTCGTAGACCCGAAAGGGACGTTTCGCGTCATAAGGATCGGTGATTCTCATATCCCCTAAGCCATGTGATCGGCGCAAAATATGGACATCTGGTGACTCCGGCCTATCATAAATGCGAAGTATGTGTGTATGTAGAGTACATACATACGCAGTAGTTTCCGTACAAACTAAGTCCACACATGATTGCAAACCAAAGTTGATGCCGCTTGAGTTGTTCAATGAAGGATCTACGCCAGTTAACTTGACATATAACAACCACCTATCCACATGGCAACATTATTACGGGTACTGTGGATGAAGCAAAGATGTGGGTACAACCATGAAGCATATAGGCCAATCCGAGGGGAAAGGATATGTTGCTTCCATTAAACTTAATATTGCTCATCAGCACGCCCTTAAATCAGTAATGACACTGGTATATAAACGCTGCAGAGTATTCCGTAGACGGATAATGAAAAGGAATTGACTGTGAATTATGTAGGGAGTATACCGCTTTTCGCGTAAGTACTGCAACTACCTTCCGCTCCCTATGCACGTTCATCCTAGATACCTAACCCCGGTTATTCACGGGCATCTCATAATAAGCACTCACATTTGACATTTCCGGCAGCGGACGACGTGCCAGCGGCTGCGCGGGAAACATCGAAAGCCGCGGGTCGCTCGGAGGGGTATCGATGGGCGAAGATGTAGATGTACCACCGAGATGATTTGACGGCACGCTGGCGACCGGTTTGTAGTCTTCGTATCTGCTTCTTTCATTGATGCCGGAACCACTGCCGGTTGGTGGTTGTTTCTTGAACCAGCCTCTTCGAGAACCGATGAAGAGAGCCATTGCACAGAATAAAATCAGCGCTGCACCTCCGATCACGCCGCCAACGATGGCGCCAATTGGGGCGCTGGTGCCATCTCTATCGCCGCGGCCGTCGTCGCTGGAAAGGGAGTTGGCGGGCGCAACAGTTACTGGAAGTGTCGACGTCTTTGTTATTAGTTCGCCGTCGCTGTTTGTACTGGTGATCAGCGTAACAATGGTCTGTGTCTCGGTCTGGGTGACGTAGCCGGACACAATTACGGATTCTGTGCGTGTAGGAAAGCCGCCGCACTGGCTTCCGTCGGGGCAGCATGACGACGTCCATCTAGATACGTAGCATATTCAATTACCCAACCGTTCCTTTAGGCCTCTTCTTTTGCTAACATATGCATGTATGTATTCGCTTACGAATCTGCGTATGCAGAGTAATGTCCCTTCGGGCAGCAGGCATCGCCGCAGCAGCTCCCGAAATCGGATCCTCCGCAACAGAAGCCCTTGGTGGTCTCGAGCTTCCGGCAGCACAAAGCGCCGTCTCCAGAACAATGGTTCGGTTCGTCGTCATCAAAGTGACAAGAGCGCTTGAAGAGCCTTTTGATGATACCTCAGGTTGAGTTATCGAACGGGACGGGTTCGTTGTAACCAACCGGCAGAATGGGCTCTGGAAGCGTCAGATTCGGACGAACAACCAGCGCCGTGGTTGTTTGGAAGGCGCATAGTTGAAGGGCAATAGAAAAGAAGAGTAACATATTTATATATATATATATATATTATTTTGAAAGGTATCTAATGCCACCAAAAGTCTCTCTGCGGGTTCAAGGGCGTTTGAAACTCGCAAGGTAAAAGGCCTGGAGAAGATGAACACTCTCAAAGCCATCGGGCTGAGAAGTCAAAACAACTCCGATTTCGAGGTCCCTGGAGTTCGCAAACCTCACAGGATGCAGAGGCAGAGGTCATTAATCGATTCTTCTGCACTTCTGCCACGCGTAGTAACATCTCTGTGTACGGAGTAGATGGAAGTGACCTATCGCGCTAAACATGCAAAAGTCCAACACAAGAGTTACAGATGCCGGCCAATAACCGGCCCAAAATGCATCTTCTTATTGTTGGGTCAAACTTCATTCGACGCTCTGGGTTTCTGCAAAGTTTGAACTTCTGAGCCGTCTGATGAAAATCGCAAAAAAGGCCGCTTTTGGACGTATTTCTGAATGCGGTTAGACGCATAATTCGAGGGGTGAACACGATGCCTCAGGCAGCAAAATGGGTGTTCGATTCCGAGATCAACAGGAAGAACCATCCCATGTCTGCATACGATTGTTGGGACCATTCCGAAACCTGTTTAGGCCTGAAAGGTTCCCACAGCAGGAATGACATGTTTAAGGTAGTTCACCACTAAACAAGCCACACCACTAAACAAGCCACACCACTAAACAAGCCACACCACTAAACGAGCCAAATGCTCCATGCAACGAATTTATTAAATATCTCAACAACCAGATCTTTATTATTAAATAGCTATTAAATATTAAATGAATGTATTCTTTAAAGCATAGAAATTAGTATAGTTAGGAATAGAGTGGTATCCAGTTCCGGGATTTCCTGTCCTGGTCCTGGATTCCTGTCCCAATTCCTGTCCCAAGGACAGGATTGGGTTGAAGCTCAGCTCAACAGAATGGGATTGGAATCAGGATCAAAATCTAGCTAATAGAATGGGCCTGGGACCTGGCCATGACAAAATGAGATAGAATCAGAATTTCAATATTGTATATGAGACAGAACCAGTAAAGTATAAAATGGGACTGGAAATTCTGATTCTATTTGTGTTGTTAAAAGATAATAAAATTTAGTAACAGTTCTAACATAATTTTATTAATTTATTTAACTTTGAAAAAGTAACAAAATTTAGTAATGCTCTTTGTATAATTAGATTATATTGCAAGTTATTAGACTTTAGCTACTTGAGTCTATTTATTAATAATATTAACATATTTTCTATTTCTTATCTGAATTAAGTAGTAGATTTAGCAGGCTTGCAATCTCTTTCTGTACAATCTCTAAAATATCTTGATTATCTTAATTATCTTGAATAACTTTCTTGATCAACTTCTCATGTAATATAAGTATTTTATTCAGTATATGCATCTTGTCTCTATATTTAAGTAGTATGATCTTCTTAATTATAGATGCATAAAGTCATAATTATTAATAATAATATGTATTCTGAGCAATATTAAAAATCTGTTCTATCTTAATCTTTGTTAAAAATACAGCCAGAATATTTCTTGTTATCTGAGCAATACTTGAAAAATCAGACTCTAGTATTCTCTACTGTTCCAGAATTGGAGCTTGAGATGATATTAAATTCTTATTATTTAAATATTGCTGCATGTCATTTTGGAAATTTGCTTGTCTTTAATAAAGTCTCTTAACAATTATTTGCTCAATATTCTAAAGAAGTTAGCAGAGAGAAAATCAGAATAATACTTATAACAAATATATATTATTTATATCAAGTATTACTTTTCTTAACTGTTTATATTTCTTATAATGCTTTTTGTAAAATCTCAAAATATATTATTAGCATGTTTCATACTTATCACTGGTTTAATTCTCTAAATTATATACTCTTATATAGTGTGATGAATGAAGAGCAGTAGCTATAGCTAGCAGCTCACTCTTTGAATACTTAGTATTATTATAGTATTTCTGGAATTTCAAGCTGGCAGCTTTGATAGCTTCTTCAATATTCTCTCTTATTATTAACTGTTGAGTCTTATTCTTCTCTCTTTCTAAATGCTGAAAAAGATAATTATAGATTACTTATACTAGATAAATTGTTGAGTCTGTTATTTTAGATAGTATCTTAATAAATTAACTGAATAACTGCAACAGTTTAATTATATACTTTATCTGCTTTCAGTTATGGTTCAATAAATAAAGTCTTTGATATTTTGGTGATGAGTCTTGAATTTATAAGTTCACAGCTTGTTAAAGCAACAAGACATAAACATATATCTTATAAATAGAATTTTATCTTGTGCAAATATCTTGAATTATCTTGTGCTGGTTCTTTTGTTAATATTCTTAGAAACATGCAGTGAGTTGAGGAAAGACATTAATTATATTAACAACAAGATAAATCTATTGTTAAGCAAAGATTAGTAAATTAACTCAAGTATATTTAGAGTGGTATCTGGTTCCAGGATTTCCCATTCCAGTTCCAGATTCCTGTCCCAATTCCCATCCCAAGGACAGGATCAGGTTGAAGCTCAGCTTAATGAGATGGGACCAGATTGTTTAACAGCATATTGGGACAGTTCTGTGGGAACTGGAATTGGAATGGGATTAGGATCAGAATCAAAATCTAGCTAGTAGAACAGGCTCAGAACCTGACATGACAAAATAAAATAGAATCAGAATTTCAATATTATATATGGAACAGAACCAGTAAAGTGTAGAATGAAACTGGAAACTCTGATCTTATTTGTGTTGTCAAAAAGTAATGATTTTTGGTAACAGTCTTGATGCTAATTAATGAAAATAAATGCCATCAAGGAAATCCATCACTTTCAGAGCTCTACCAAGCTAATCTTGCTAGTGACCCCATTCTAGTAATTGATTCAGGAAATTACTTTGTTCTGTCATCAAGAACATGAATATTACTAGTAATGTACTATCATTAAGTCACTTCAGAAGACAGCTGAAGTAATCTTGTACACTCTATTTGAGTGTAAGTCACTCTTAGTAATAGCATCAATAATTATACTAAGTAATATAGACTCTGTTATGGCAATAGCACACCATAAGTGTATTATGATTAATGCTGATAATATGAAGCTCATTCTTGACATTGATATCAAAATTGGGTTGAATTATTTTGGCCTGATTAATGCATCTGATTATTCTGTCTCTGCTGTCATTACTTACTGTCTGTGTGCTGCCCCTGTCCTGCCAACTACTGCTGCTGCTGCTCCACTACCACCACCATCATTTATCACTATCTTTCTGTCTTTCTCTGGCACTGTCAGGGTCTCTGTCTGTCAAATAACAGATATTAAAGCTTCTGTCCAGTTCACAAAGCCAGTTCTGGAGAAGCAGGAGAAGAAGAAGAAGGAGAAGAAGAAGAAGAAGTAGAAGAAGAAGAAGAAGAAAGAGAAGAAGGACAATAATAATAATAAAGATGATGATAATAATAATTAACTTGCTATTTAGACAGTTTCTGTTTGTTTGCTGGCTTCAGCTATTAGTTAGTTTTAATACTTTGTTTCTTTTGATAATCAAATTGATTTTTCTATGGGTTCTGCCTTCATCAAAAAAGTAACAAAATTTGATAACAGTCTACACAAAATTTGATCAGTTTGACTCTTCTCTATAAATTTGATACAATGGGACCAGGAATTCTGGTCCCATTCCAGTTCCACTATGGACCTGGCTGGAATAGGAAATGGGAGTCTACCATCTCTGCTGGAATGGAATATGAGACATAATTTTCTATTTGAGGATGGGACTGGGAAATAATTTCTGGAATAGAAATGAGAACAGAACCTCAAGCTCCTGAGTGAGATGAAATATGAGACTGAGATTTCATATTTGAGATCCCAGCTGTTTCTAAATTCAGGACTGGAACCAGGTTTAATGGGAAATGGGATCCCATTCCAGTCCTGAATACCAGCCTAAGTATATTAAGACTATTACCAAATTTTGTTATCTTTCTAAGAGTATTTGTAAATATATCTGTTAATGCTAGATTATCAGTAATTAAGCTCTTATTAAAGATAGTGAATAAAGTATTATTATCTAGCTAAATCTTGAGACTGCAAACCAGCTCTTAAATCACAAGTTACATTATATAAGCAAGACAGAGTATTATTTTACTATCTGTATTTTAATTAGTTGTCTTGTTCAACTGCTGCAATACTGGTTTCAACTAATATATAAGATATGCTTGCATGATATTATTATTTGATGCATTATTACTTATAATTATAAGAAGATTGCTCTTAAGTCTTTATACTGCTAATAATTATTAAAGAATCTCTGTCATATTCTTGTTAGTATAAGCACTCTCTAAACTTTCAAAATTCAGTAAATACTTATAATACTTCTAATTCTTTGTAATGTAATAATTATTAATTGCCATAAAGACAAGATTATTGGGACTTGTTCAATTATCTATTATTAGAAATATCTTGATTGTTGAGTTATAGTTAAAGAGAAGATTTCAGAATAGCTGATTGTATATATTATTTATAATCTGATATAATATTTCTTGTGTAGGTATCTGTAATATCATTGCAGGGTTGAGCATGATTATTAATGTGTGGAATACTGAATTCTTAATAGTATAAAATGAGAGATTCAAGAATATTAATATTTGCACAAGCTGCTGAAGAAAATTGTCTTAATTGCATTCAGAAACAGACAGATCTAAATCTGTTCAAGAATACTTCAGAAACTATTGCTAAGATATCAGAACTGTTACTAAAATTTATTATATTTGGGAAATTAGAATTCATGATCTACTATCATGTTAATCAAAGTGTTACTCTGTCTGTCACCAGTTTTTGTACAGTCTTTACTGATTAAATACTTCTTCAGACTACTTGTACCATTTCAAGAAAAGCTTAAATAACTGAGAAAGATTTGACAATGCTTATAAATCACTTCTGAAGTACTCTTAGAATACTCTGCTATCTGATCAAATTTTGATTAAAAATCAGAATAATATTGTTTTGCCTTTCAGTTAAAGTCACTATACTTCTTATTCTTAATTAACTGAGCAGCTTCAGTAGTTAATTATCAAGTAATAAATAACTTGTGATACTGCTCCTTTCACAATACAAATTATTTTTTTTTATGTTGAACTATAGTTAATTCTGAAGAAATCTCTGTAGATTTTGCTTGTTTGCTAGCTTTAATTATTAATTAGATTTTTTTTTTTCATAATCAAATTGATTTTTCTCTAAGTTCTGTCTTAGTTAAAAAAGTAACAAAATTTGATAATAGTTCAAGCAAAATTTGATAATTCAGCTAGTTAGACCCATTCTACTCTGCACAGTAACTAACTACAAAATCATTATCTACAAAATAAAACATTCTTCTTCAGAAAAATAAAATATTTTGTCAATTTAATGACACCCCATTCTTAAATGAATATAAAAAAAGAACTAAAAATCTAACTTTCTTCTCTAGATATTAATAATCTAATTATTATTCATCTTATTGTTTTTCTTATTGTTCTTATTAGAGAATATCACAATCTTGAAATCATCTTTCTCCATCTTTTCTGGAACAGGTGAACTGTTGTTATCTTTTATTGAACTTTGTAATTAGCTCAGAAATTCTCTTATCTTCTTCTTAATTCTCTCTCTTGATATACTGACTGCAGCAAAACAATCATAATTATGGATTATAATCTTGATCTTAAGCTTGGCTATTATTTGACAGAACTGAGTCTGCTTATATGCAGTAATAGAATACTATATCTGACTTGTTTTAGTTTAAATATATCAGAACTGTTATCAAATTTTGTTACTTTTAAATTTTATCTTCTTGTTTTGCTGAGCTTTATTCTTGATCTCTGTAATTTCTTCTTGATAATGCTTCTTCTTCTTCTTTCTCTTCTTTTACTGAGAGATCATAAGCTGGTGCTTATAATACTTTTTTGACTTGCTCTTGACAAATTACTTGATTATCAGCTGTTCAATAGCTTTATTCTTAATTATCTTGTGATTTTTCTTACTGCTATTCTGCCTGCAATAAATATTAATATAATTTAACATAAATCACTAAAAGTGTATACTACTTATAATTGATTCAGATTCTCTTCAGCACATTATAGTATATCTTGTGATCTATCTCTTCTGTTTTGAATATATCTTTTTAATAATCTTTCAAGACCTGATAATACTTCTGTACTATATAAATCTTCTCTCTTATTGAATATTGCTTTGGCCCCATCTTCACAACTGTATGTAATGAGTTGAATTAGAGACACTGTGTGATAATGTAAGGATTCACCTGCAAACCTCTTATACAGACAAATAACACCTGCAAGAGTCCAGGGCCTCAGCTTGTGAGCTGTTGGAAGTACATGTGTTCTCACAAGGTATTAAGTCATGTGCTTGCAAGCACACATAAAAGATCACCACTGCACAAACTTCTTGCTAGAAGCCAGTGGCAATCTTGTCTAGAAGTCATATATAGCTGCCAATATCAGATCTTTTATCTCACATACTCTTTTCTATATACAATTCCTCCTATAGATTTATTGTCACACCAATTCACATACAATTCTCATATTTTGCCACTCTTCTTTAATGATGCCTGATAATGGTATCAACACAAAGAAGCCAACTCTCTGAAGCTTGTGAATCTGGAACACCAGCAGAAAATCTACCTGAAGAACAAACCCAAGTTTGTGAGGAGATGACAAATCTTGAAACCATCTCAGCTCTCTCAACCATGGATAAAATCAAAACTAGCATTACAATCTCAGAGAGAGAGTTTATCTTAGCATCAAGAGATGAAATTCAACAACTTTGCAAGAAAACCAAACTACTAAAGAGAATGGCAAAATAACAAGAAAAGTTGAATACTCTTCAGACCACCTAAAAGCACTTGTAAAGTGAATCTCTTAATATAATTATCTCTAACTCAATACCTGCAAAGCATCCATCAGTCTTAAGATCATTATAATATATAAAGCTCTATCAGACTGGCTTCTATACAAAATATCAGCAGTTCATCTCCAGTATTGAATCCACTCACAACACAAGCAAATTGAATGATAAGGAAACCCTCACATATATTCTTACAAGACTTGATTACATTGAAAAAGATCTCTGGAAGATTTACTACAAAAACAACCTATTAAAGAATAACTGGAATAATCTCAAGAAATTTCTATATACAAGGCTAGAAGATCCAGTAAATCACATGTGAAACTCTTAACAAGCAATCTTCAATCTTCACAAGAGTTTGGATAAAACTGATCAAGTCTATCACCAATAATTTCTAGAGCTTGCAACAGAAATTGGTGAAGAATTTGAAAGCTTTGAAAAAATAAAGAAGAACCTATATATAGAGAACTTGAATGAGCCCATACAAGCTAAACTGAATAAACAGCTGGAAATATCAGATAATATTAATAAGATAGTAGCACTGACTACTCAACTCCAATCAAGTATGACAGCAGTTCTTGAAAAGAATGTCTTGCATGTAAAGTCTATCAATTCAGTTAGAAGTGCTTACAAAGATATAAAAACTGATAACTCAAGATCACAAACAGATAAGAGAAGCCAATTTCAGAGACCTGCTCAGAAGATAGAGAAAGATCTTATCAAGAATTATAAAGCTTTAAGAAAAGAAGAAAAGTGCTTTAAGTGTAGTTAAAAGAGACATCTTACAAAAGACTGTCTCAAGAAGAAGAGTAGCAAATAGAAAATTGAGGGGCTACAAGTAGATAGAATCAATATAATAAAGTTGTTCAAGAAAAGTCTTCTTGCTCTCTTTTTCATTATTCTAGACACACAAAGCCCAACTGACAGAAGTATTATCTGGTCAGCACTAATAGACTCTGGTTGTCAATCTCTAGTAATTAGTTTACAATTGGCCACAAAGCTAGCACTAGAGGTGCACAAGATGCCTATAGAGATTGAAACTGCTATAGATTATGAGAATGTCATTCTTACAGAAGAAATTGCAAATATATTCTTTAAAGTCTGTAACTCTCAGAAAAACTGGCAGTTGTTCCATGAACAAGTAATGGTCATAAATATAAAAGATGAGATGCTAGTAGATTTGAGCTGGCTGCAGCAATACAATTCCAAGATATGTTTCAGAGAACTAAGACTAGAGTTCCAAACTGTATATTATAATTTACTCACAAAGATTAAACCAGTTAATCTCTCAGAGCTAGTAAAGAAAGGGAAGCCTATCTACATAATAACTCTCTGTAAATCAGAACAGGTGGTGACAGCAGATCTAGATCTTCAGATACTGGAAGTCTACCATAAACTTACAGAAGTGTTTAGCAACAAGAAAGCTTGAAAGCTGCCACTATACTATAAAGATGATTTGATTATAAATCTTGAGCCAGAGAAGCAGCCAGAATTTGAAAGAACATACAGACT